TTGTGGGTCATTCGATTGGTTCGCGGTCCGAGATACTGGGCTTTAGAAGTTGCTGACCTTCATGCCGGTTGCGCTTCTGCCTTCCATTCGGCGGAAGGAAGAGGGAGGTTGAGAGGCTTCAGGGCCCCTCCCTCGAGGCCACACACCCGTGGCAAGAAAGCAGAGAGAGGCAGTGCAGGTCTCAACATGCAAGTGTTTCCGTTAAGGTGGAATGTGCTCTTCAGGTGCGACCCTTGGTGGCAGCACCGTCCGGGGCTCGAGCAGAAACTGAAGATACTTGAAGTGGCAAACAGGAACGAATCGGATTTTCTGTGTACTTGCAAAGGTGATTTTCAGGACTGTTGAGGCTTTTGTTTCAGCCGTGGCCGTGCTCTCGCGCTTGAAGTCCGTTGCAGTTCTACGAGTCGTGAACTGAACGCGAGCAGTTTCCCATGAAGTCTGTGAGTGGTTTAATGTAACCGCACTATCATATGGTTTAAGCAGCACATCTGTACATGAGAAGCTGATGTCACTTGCCCTAATTTGCTATGATGGTGCTTGAAGTGCGAGTCAGGAGGTGCCACATCCCGGCAGTCGCCAGTAGGTCGAACAGGTTCAAGATTGCATGCAGCACGACACTGTTGCCCGACGCACCGCTTCGCTCTGAATACTTGCCACTGCAAAAAAGACTCAGTTACTCACGCAGAGCTTCTCTGAATGGGCTGTCGTGGGTGCTTTGCCCAGGCTTGTGTTGCCTGAAGCCACTGAAGGACCCGCAGCTGGGTTTTCGAATCTTCGTACCGGTTGGATCAGTCGTAGGGTAGTGTTGTCTGGGAGTCTTTTTGCAATAAGCCAGGCAAATCGCTGGCGTTGGTCAAGTTACTGCAGGCAGAAAAGTGGCTACACGATTCACGATTTAGGAACAGCTCGGCATTCGATTCATGCATCGGCAGCAGACATCACGGCATTTCGCCGGTGGTCGGACAGCAGCCCTCCCTGATCCCGCAAGTGCGACGCAGGACCAGAAGCGATGGCTCTAAGTGGATCTCAGCTGCTGGTGGCCCTGAGTTCGAGACTGAAGGCTTGCAAGCTGAAAAGTTAATGGGCGTGCAGGGGGCCGCTATGCTGATGCAAACGGAAACTGGTTTCGGATCAGACAAGATGCCAGGTGCAGCATCCCATCTCCAAACTAGACAATGCCAGTCGACAGACCCTGGAGAACACTGTTTCCAGAGAACTGAGCAGGAAAACACGAGGGTCCTTCCAAGATTCCGCAAGTCTCGAATTTAACAATCTCAGGCGTGTCCTAGTCTTTGTATTGTGGTTCGGCCCAGTGAGGCTTTTGCATTGCCTCTGGTCCTGCTTTGACTTAGCCGATCGTCAGCGTTTGTTCCGAAACAGTATGTGGAGTTCAGGGTTTCGTGCACTTTGTAGGTCAGAACTGGCTAGGGGCCAGGCCTGAAACAGCTCACCATGCAACATCCGGGGGCTACTTTTCGTGGTAGGTTGTTTTGCACAGATCTTTCCACAGCTGACTCACTGCATGCGAAAAGCTAAAAAGACCATGACAAATTCGTTTTGGGTCTTAAAGATTCGTTTCCCAGGCCGGACTGCTACACTGATTTCCTCTACATACAAGTTTGCTACGAGCTGCTAGCATCAGCGTAGGATTAAAGGCTGCAGCTTACAGTCTTTCGACAGTACTGCTGTCACAGACCCCCCCCCCCCACACGAACGCCTGCCTCTCTGCCAGGTGTGGGATCTTTCGCAAACAAGGACTGGGGCTTGCAGGAAAGTGACGTGCTTCCTGATACATGAGTTCGCCACTCGAAAAGGTGATAACGCTACGCGTGTTCAAGTGGCATGCGACACTTGACTCGTGGGGGGCGGGGCCAGCTATGGGCCACGTGCCACTTGCTTGGATTTAGGGGTTAGGGCTAGGGTTTAGGCTTCAGTGCGAAAGGCACTTGCAAAGGAAGGAGCCACGGAGGGTGGCAATGGCAGAGAAGGGGGAGCCGTGTGTACTGAGGCAGAAGTGCGGCAGGAACGATTAAGTAGCACAGGTGGCCCAACTGGCCCAAGTGGGAAAAATGGTGAATCCAAGTTGACCACGTACGGGCTCAAGTGCCGCAAGTGGGGTAAACGTGGTGGCAGTAGTTGGACGGGACCTAAAGGACCAAGTGGATAAGTGGCAGAATTCAATTAGCCATTTCCTAGTGCGTTGCCCTTTTACACACTGCCCGGCCATGCACCCATCATGAGTTGAAAGTGTTTTGCCGTGGACGTGCTTCCATGCTTCATGCAGCTTTTTACTTTGAAGTCTTATGTCGTTCTGCATGCTCATGTGGCCAACGCTGCACTCTTACAGAGAGGTGACGGAGGACAGTCATGTTGTCTTCCAGCAACTGACGACGCCAGGCAGCTGGGCGAGTGGACTTGGGCACCTGCAGCGTCTGGATTCAAGACGGCAATTCGGCATGCGTTTCAGGCTCCACGTACCGGCAGAGCTTGGCATGCCGGCCTGAACTACTGTCAGACGGCTAGGGCAGACTGATAGTGGTTGCTTCCCTGCCCTCCAAGGTTGGAATCTGCGTTTTGCCCGATGCCAGTTGCCGTTCAGAGCAAGGCGACGGGTGGATTTTCGATCAAGCAAGGCTACAATAGAACACACAGGCTCTGTTCTTCGGGGATGACTCCCGGAGCCGGGTCCGAATGTGTGCCGAACGTGCGAAAGATGTGAAACCAAGCGCCACTGGGCGCCTGCAATTGGCGAGCGACGGGAGCCTCGTACTTCTGAGTTAATGGAAAGATACCGATGTGCCGCCATTAGGCTGCGTGGTCATGGATCCATCATGATACATCCATCATGCAATAAGAAGAGAAGTCCGCTGTGAGCGATATACCTGACACAAGCTGCTTCAGTTCTGACGACTGCCCCGTGCAAGGGCCCGCCAGTGGGTGTGGGCTCGAGACACAAAGCTGCACCATGAAGTTGGTGTGAGGGTTGGTTCGGAATGGTGTTGGCATCTCACAGGTTATGCATGAATTGGACTGGCTGAGTTTCGATATGTTTCGGTGGTGGTGGACAAGTTTGAGAATCACCCTGAGCGCAGAAAGCGTGCTGGGACAACACGTAGGACGTAGGTCTTGCGGCGGCATGCAGTTGGCTTGGTGGGAATGGCGGATTCGGCTTGATACAGATCAGCAGCTGACTTTCGAAACGAACCTGTCGCTGCTGCACACAGGGCAGAACCCTTTCTTCTACCTTCAACTGGGAGTTTCCAAAATAGGGGACCCCAATATAGGGTAAGCGCGTAATATAGTACCCTAAATAGTAACTCCCAACTAGACAAGGCACTGGAAGATGCAGGAAAAGAGCACAGGTCGGCCTGGCTGCTGCTCGGCCACGGCCCCGTTGGGCCGAGCCTTCATCGGGCTTCCAAGCAGCTTTGAGGCGTAGCTTTGTTCATTCAGGCTGTTCAGGCTGGGTGTTTCTGTTCAGGCTTCCATTGTTGCTTGTGGTTTGTGCTTGCTGCTTGCTGTTGTTGGTGTTGGCGGCGGTGGTGGTGGTGCTGCCGCTGCTGGTGCTGGTGACCGTCGTAGTCGTTGTCGGTCGTGGCCGTCAGCCCCATTGCTACCCTCGCTTGATCGTCATGATTGTCGTGGGCGTCATCCAGATGACGAGTCGCCTTATCCCATGGGCACCTGTCGATGGGTGTGGGATTTATCACACAAAACAAGCCTTCAAGCGATTCAAGAAGGGTAGACGTTGGTAGGTAGTTGCCTGCTTTGCCCTGCCGCGGTCGTACACATAATGTAGCGTTCGGAACTCGGTTGCAACCCCTTTGCGCAGCGGCTCTTGCCATGTCGAAGCACTCGTGTCATTTGTGTGCTTTCTCCGGTGTGTATGCTAGAGACAGCCCCAGAGATCACAAGCCTCGAGCCCAGCCGATTTACTAACCGCGCCTTACATGATGTGCCGCAGCACTCAGCAGTACCTTCTCTTGTTTCCAACTAGACATGCAGAATCTTTGGACACCCCGCCACGAACGCTTCCACCAACTGTTGCTCTCGTGGAAGGCGGCTCCCAACGATGTGACCTGCCCGGCAACACTGACGGATAATGTTTGCCGACACTCCGCTAGCCCAAATTGGGCAGGCACAGTGTCCCTGTACAGATTCAACAAAACAGAACCACCTAGTCGGCGGAACCTCCGGCATGATTGCATCACTGAATAATTTGTACGGCAGTGGACAGGAATGCGTTTTCCGTGAGGTCCAGCCCACTATGTGCACAAGTTTTAGTCATCAAAGTTTTAGTCATCATGTGAGACCACAGCAGCAGATCCAACGAGAAATTCCGAATTCCAGCTAACATACCGAAAAAAGGTGTTGCAGGTCCATTTGCCCTTTCGTGTGGCTGCTGCCTTCACATGATGTAATGATCTGCGCAGCAAGTCTGGCGGCCTGCTGTTTGCAGCATTCATGGCAGCTTGTTGGTCCAGACGGCAGGCATGGCAAAACGACATGTAACTGTGCACAGTGTCGGCAAGTCGGGCAGTGCCCACATTCCGGAGCCTGGTGCATTGATTCTCGCGACCAGACGGACGCTCTAGAGATGAAGATCCGGTCCTTTTTTGTTTTCACGGTTGCCTAATTTAATCAAAAGCAGGGCGGTAACTGGCGGGATGCCTTTGACCAGGATCTAGCATCCGGATCATCCTGCGAGCCGCTGGCTTAAACCTACGAAGGAAAACATGTGTAATCGCTATGATACGCTTAAACACCACACACATAAGACCGAAAGTGTCTTGCTGGTGGAGTCTCGGTGACAGTCGGGCCCGAGGCCCAACACTTCAACACTCCTAAGACCTGACCTTGAAGCAAAAACACTTCGATTTAGCTGAGGCTCTAAGCGGCGTTACCAGCGTTGCCGTTGATCCCGTCTCCAAACCCATTGCGTAGGTCCAACGTCCAGCCCCCTCGAAGCTCATATACTCCGAAGCCAAAGTGATCCGCCCATGGAAAAACCGGACTCCCTGGAGACCTCGAAGCGCATTGAGCGCGTGCTCTTCGACTTCGAGGCCGAGGTTTTTGTGCTCGCGTTCTCCTCCTCTGCTGCAGTGAATACGCGAGCTCCACGCTGGCGGATGTGGGTTGCTGACTTGTGGATGTGAGGTCAATTTTAGTATCTTTTGAGAGTCAGGTTGCCGCTGGAGAGGAAGTGCTGCTTGCGAATGGCCAGTGCTACGCAGTGTAGGCGGTTCAAGGGAGACGCTCCATGGTGACTTGCGACTGCACGTCCGTAGCATGCCTTTTGGGTCGATTCTCGGACTGAAGATGCTTGACAGGAGCTGAAGTTGCGCTGGGCAGCCGCGCATGCTCGAGTCGCTGAGAAGACGCGGTTGCCAGCTCGGGCATGGTCCTCGGTGCAGGGTGTGGTGCCGTAGACTTTTTTGGCATTCGTCCTTGACTTGGCACCCGAAACCGCTTCGAAAATGGATACGCAGTTGCATGCAAAGTACAAACGACAGTTGCACACACACACACACAAGGCCAGCACACGGCATCTCTGTCCACAGTATATGGTACATTTTCATGTGTATATGTAAATATCTATATCTGTAGATCATTATTTCTAAGGCATATACAAACATGATAGAAAAACAAACGCTCACTCAGCCACCCATCCACCCACCCACCACCCGCAGACGCACACTCAGAGACACACTCAGACAGACGCGCACACGCACACATACGCACAGACACAAACACACCCCCTCTCACTCCACCACTTCCATAATGAAACAATAGGCCGAGTTGACTCTTTGGAGCTGTTCCCTGGAGGAGCCGCCGCCGGCCAATCCCGATGATCTGGAGCTGCTGCGTCGCCGTGTTACGGAGTTTCTCTGAGTCAGATTAAAACCAGAGGGCGGCTAAAACCGACAGCTGCCGACAACAAAGGCTCTTTCGTATGCGTTTGCTGTGAACCTGAGCTCTAGCATTGCGGCAGTTCTTTTCATTGTCGTTGTGATGTACCATCACCTTCATGACCGTCATTGTCAGTGTTGTCGTGGCGGTTACTGGTGCTATGATTCTTCTGGTTCAAGGCTCAAGGCAGTTTCGGCTCGTGTCGATCCGGTCGCGGGATGAGTACGGCTAGACGAGGCAGATGCTGAGATGATGTGCGTGTGTGCGTGCATGCTCGCGTGCGTGCTATGTGTATGTATATATATATATATATGTATCTATGTGTATATATATATATACATATCCGTGTGTGTGTGTGTGTGTGTGTGTGTTTGTTGCTCGTTGGGCGACAGCTCCAAGTATGTTTTCGGTGCAACCAGAGCTCGCCCATAGATGTCTGTCGGTTAACCGCTGGTTGACGGTTGCAGTTGAGGAGAATAAGGAGGACCCGGAACTGAAGATGCACCGAAAGGATGACAAAATGTTCTGTGAACAAAGGCCAAAGGCCCTCGGCCGTTCAACTCTGAGCCGTATTACCTGAAGGGACTGAAGCTGGCATTCACAAGGCAAACAGGATTTGTTCCACTCCAGGCTCCTGAGCCTTCGTTTTTCTGACACAGCTCCCCTGACCATGTCAGACATCAGTTTGCTGGTAGTGCCGCGGCGACAGTTGGTTGCGAACCATATCCAGTTGGCAGTCAGCATTTGTTTGCTACGGTGCTACGGCTGCGCTCGTGCTGCACTCCGCCAGCTGCCACAAAGAAGGGTAACTCCTGTCCATGACAGACGACCACCGTATGCTCGTTCACACCCGCCATGCTCTGCCGGAAAAACATCTTTTGCGGACCAGCATCCTGCACCCAGCAAAGAGACTCGGATCTGAAACAACCGTCCACGCGGTCAGCAGTGAAAGGAAGGCGCATCGCACTTGTGGCGAAAACGCACCACTCATAAGCCATCGCTGCACGGTGCAGACAGAAGCTAGGAAGCGCACATGAGCTAAAGCCAACGAAGGGGAAGCAAATCTTTCTTCACTTGCTCAACCTGCAGACCGTAAGGTGCCTGAGGCATGATGCCTGCACAAGCTCGGGATGATGTAACTGCGGTTGGGATGGGGTCTTTCAACCAAGCCTGATTGAACCAGGGGTCAGCCAAGCTGACTCCACTCTTTCCACACAGCTTCAGCACGCAGGATTCTCTAGTTTCCACGAACCCTGGTGCCTAAGTTTGTCTGCCATACTTCGACTTGTACCATCGTCTACCATCTTGATGACCTGGTGCCTAAGTTTGTCTGGCATACTTCGTCCTGTACCATTGTCTACCATCATCGAAAAGAAAGGCCATGAGCATGTGATGCTCGTGGTCCGAGGCTCGAGTCGGCCCTCCAGGCCGCCATCCTCCGGCTCGTGGAGCAAGGGGCCAAAGTGAAAGCCCAGGCCTCCGGCGAAGGGCTCGCCTCAGCCCAAAACAGCTTTAGCCTTTTGAATTAAGTTAGGATATATATATATATATATATATATAGAATTACTATATGTATAGTGTCTTGTAGCTTTAAATATATACATATGTTTATGTATCTGTTCACATACAGTTATACATACATATATATATATATATGTATACACACCAGAAGGCTGAAGGTTACCTCGTCCTTGGAGATTCGCAGATGTCCGAAGGGACCCGCCCGGACTTCAAGTCGTGCTTGGATGCCGGGAGGGCGGGCTGGCTATGCAAGCGGGATCTGGATCCGATCCGATACAGTACATGGGTTTGCATGGTCAAATTGCGAGGCTTTTTGAGCCGTTGCTGGTGGGTGGGAGGCAAGTCGGAAGCCAATCTAGAAGCAAAGGGTGAAGCCAGAATCCGTTTCGCAAGCCTGCCTAGCCCTGCTTTAGCCACTACTGGCATCCGCCCACACAGTGTCGCAGCACCACCCGCCAGCACGAACACCAGGACTGCCACCACCCAAGCTCCGAGCCTCCACTGGAGGCGTCGATTGAACTCGGGCATCTTCCGGTACCAGCCCCGGCGAAGCCTGCAGCTGCAGCCGCTGCGAAAGGAGAGGAGAGGAGGCATGGCAGCTGAACCCGGCTCGATGATGGCATGGAACAGGTATCAAGCCGGTTTCTAAAGGATATCCATCGGCGTTTGATGGAGTACTTCATGTACATGCTTGTTGGTGTTCATACGAAGAGTGTGAGCGGACGCCAGGGCCTTGAATACTGCAAGGTCACGACAAAGAAGGTTTTGGCGGGCCTGCCTATCCGCACCGCTCAGAAGTAGATGGTCTCACACAAGGTTCGGGTTTGACGCGAAATCAGCAAATCGGACAAGTTCGAGCACTAAACGCGGCAAGCAATCTTTATGACCAGCATGTACCATCGATCACGGGCAGCACCGGTAGCTCGCAACAGGCAGTCTCATACACTGGTTGCCCAACAAAGCTCGTCAAACGGAGGGAATCGTTTGTCTGGTGAGTTTGGGGAAGATGACGGACCTCGACAAGCGGTATGTTCTTCTGTTGCTGCAAAAAAGAACTCCGGGAGTCAGCGAAATCGTTCTTTAGAGTACAAGCCCACACAGGCACGAAGCAACGATGAGATATCTCATGGAGAAGCTGGAGGAGACGTTGACGGTCGCTTGGTTTGCAGACTATCGGCAAGCAACAGCACGTTGTGTGAGTTTTGAAAACGCTGTGTGGGTACAGCAACGCATTTTTGAGGATGCGGCCGGAAGTGGATTTGCGGATGTTCTGGCCACTATTTAACAGACTCGCTGAACGAAGCACCTCTCTCTCTCCCTCCCTCCCTCTCTTTGTCTCTGTCTCTGTCTCTGTCTCTGTCTCTGTCTCTGTCTCTCTCTCTCTCTCTCTCTCTCTCTCTCTCTCTCTCTCTCTCTCTCTCTCTCTCTCTCTCTCTCTCTCTCTCTCTCTCTCTCTCTCTCTCTCTCTCTCTCTCTCTCTCTCTCTCTCTACACACACACATATATATATATATACATATATATATATAGATACACATGTAACACTATACGGATCGCAAAGTGCAAGGATCGCAGACGCTACTTCGATCGCTCCCTGGTGCTAACGACCAAAGACTTTCGCAGGACTCAGCTTAAGCGGATGCTGTTTTGGTCCAGGGCCACCTTGATACTGATCGTAGTCATTTACTTGTAGGTCCCAGTCCTTGCTGATGATCCAGTCCGCATTCAAGTATTCAGACTAGAGGCATGACGGTGGAAGGCATGCGAGGCAAAAGGTTGCGCTGAACATGACATGTGTACATCTTTTGGTACCCAGATCTCCCCAAATACCTGCTACCACTACTACAAGCCTGCACCCACTTGCGAGACTTGTTCCCGGCGAAGCGGATAGTCACGTTTTGATATGGCACGGTGGTTTCATGTAGCAGATGAGGTTACACCACTCTCCGGGAGCTGGTCCTGAGCCGCTCCTCTTTGCCCCATGTGGCAGAGCGACCTTGCTGCAGTGCGAAGAGTGCACAGAGCATGGGCTTATGAGGAGTTCAACTTTTCTATGTGACGTGGTGTGGTGAGGAGAATTGCCTCATGCTCTCAGTCACAAGGGCCCCTTGACTTAGCCGGAGGTCTGCAGCGCGCGCTTCCGGCGAGGTTGGCCCTCGACTTCTTGCACATTGCCGCCTTGTTTCCATGCATGATTCGGTCCTGGGATACCGGTATGCAGTTTTTGATCGACGGCCTGGAATTGCTACAACACGAAGCGATTCAGTGGTCTCGCCGCGGGTCTGCAGGTTTAACCATTTAACCAGTGTCTTGGGTCCTTTCAGGTGCATGGGGAGAAGCACACGAAAGCAAGCGAGTTTGCAGCAAATCAGGGGATAAAGGGCAAAGCTTGACTATTCTAACGGTGGCCGACATGAAACCCGAACAAACTATTGCAGAGCCAACTTCATGACCTTGCCATCAGCATGGGTGGAGGCCCTCAGCGAGATGGAGAGCAAATGGATCCTGAGCGATCAGGTACCGGACGGGTCGTGTGGGCGCTGTGTTTCCAGTATTGAGTTCCTCTGAATCGGAAGCCAGCACGCCACGCCACGCTAAAATCGCTAAAAACCCCAAGCACATATGCCAAGTTGGTGGTGGTGGTGGTGGTGGTGGTGGTAGGCACCCCACCCCTACCAACTACACTTGCTCTTATTCATGCTAAAGCGACATGAATGACAAAATTTACTCCTTATTTACAGCACTCTTGTCTTTAATCGCAGGCGCTGCTGGAGGCGCGGTTGCTCCGAGCCCGGGGCCGGCACCGGAGTCTTTTCGAGTCCGTGCGGCGCAAGGCACCGCTGAAGGGGTTTAGGGTTTAGAGTAGAAGTGGTGGAGTCAAGGGAGTCAAGGTTTGGGGTTGAATGTACACGTGTTTGTTCAGGGCTTGTGAGGAAAATTCCTGCTTGCGACGAGGCGGGACCGATGCTTAGGATCATACTCATGGCCGCTTTCGAGAGCGTCATGACATGTACGTCCGCTGCCCGTACATGTACGGTGCAGTCTGCATCTGTCGCGTTTCGCTGTGCATATGTGCACTCGCGTGCATACGTGTTGAATGTACTTTTTTCTGCAATAGAGCAACGCTCGAACATGCGCACATAGCGCATATTTCTGTGCGTCGACTGCTATGCAGCTCTTGTTGCTGGGACCCCGAAAAATGAGGCTGGGTGGATGTCTCCCAGGTGGCACGGGTGTGTCCTGTATGCAGCATTGTGCACGAGGAATGTGGAAACGTCCGGAAGGTGTTCCACGAATTCATGCTTCCTGCGTAGTGCCTTTGGCAAGTCTCTTTTCCCATCAAAGTCTTAGGGCGCCAACTGTGCGGACTCTTCGATTATGCAGAATGGTGAATGAGTGTGCGTAGTTGAAGCTATATATCTGGGTGCTTATGTGTTCGCTTCCATGTACTGGTGTGCGCGTGTGCACGTGTAGGAATATGTGTGTATATATATATATACATACATACTTACATATACACCCGCACTGTCTTTAAGACGAGTGTCTCTGAATTTTCTTCTTAGTTTTTTGCTCAGGTCTGGAACCGCGCGCACGCACACACGTGCACACACCAACAAGCACTACAATGCGCACCAGCGCATCCTGTGGCTACTTACATCGTCTTCTTCTCTACACGGCAGCTAGAGACAGACAGAGGCTGGGAGGATGGGGAGGCGTCTGTGCCGAAGTCGATGACTTGACAGACGTGTGCAGACCTAGCACCCACAAGCCGCACGTGTGGGAGGATCCACACGTGTTGGGGCAGGAGTACCAGGTCGACGAGGCGCTGCGCTCTGCCGAGGCTCGGCGGCCGACAGATGCCGCGCTGCTCGGGCAGAACTGGCAATGTCTTGTTTCCATGGTAGCGCTTGCAGAAGCCATGGGTTTCATGAGCTTAGGGTTTTTAGGGCGGTATGAGCGGGTGTTGGATGGTGTTGGTGCTGTGGGGTGTGGCTGTTCTTGAATCTGAATTGGGTTCCTCACCGTACGACGAGCTGTGGGCCCGGTCTCATCTAAGTCTGAGCATCGTGTGACCCCGAAGGACGAGCTGAGTAGACGTCCGAACCTCCGCTCTTCAAACAAAGGTCACCAGGTCCTGTTCAGCAGCCACAGAGAGTCCAGGTTGACGAGTCTTGCTTTCTGTTCTTGGCTTGTCGCACAGACGCTTGGCAGATGCTAGATAGATGCTGCTAGCAGCTACATAAAGTCGCAAGGCGCGAGGAGCTCTTCCAACGACTGGGCGTGCTTCCTGCTCCAGCTGTGTGGCGCTGGGCTGGAAAAGAGATCCTGCATGCATGGGGTTCCGGGGTGCATGGCCCAGAAGAACTCCATGCGTCACTGCAAGCAATGTTCAGCAGTGGGTGACAATAGCATAGAATTGCTGGAGGATTGTCACCGGCTGTTTCTCAATGGGTCACAAGCTGTTGGACCGCACGGCGCGGATAATTCGCCGCTAGTTACCGCTAGTTATTCCATGTTTGAGATGCTGGAGTTTTGGGGCGGAGCGTGTTCGTAGCGACGAGGACTTGCGATCCTATACTCTCCAACAGCATGTCGCCCTGGTCTCGAGTTCACATCCCGAAGCCCGCGGCAGGCATCCTTGAGCATCTGAGTCGGCTGCATGCATTCAGGGTGCAGTGGCAAAGCTCTCGAGCTCACCCAATGTGAGTCCTGCGATTGGTTTGAGTTTCACTTTGTCGTCATGGTTGATGGGCATCGGTCGGTGGACTGGCGACAACGCCCACCGTCCTCCAAGTCGGGCCGAGGGCCAAGCCTGGCTTTAGCAATACTCAGAGCAAGTGCTGACAGATTAGAACCAATGCAATGGCCGTGCTTGCCTACCTGAGTCGGTCATTCTTCTAGGACAGTTGGTTCAAATGTCGTTTCGTCTTCGCCCCCTCCATCTCGGAACCGTTCTGGATAAGTTTCTCTAAAGCCATGATCTTGCAGACGGTTGTAGAGATACCTGCACCATGCATGTGGAAAGCAAGACAGGAAGGGCATGATCTCTTTTGAGTTCTCCTCTTGTTCTGAAGCCATTGGTCGGAGTAGGACTTCAAAACGCCATGTCGGAGCTCTCTTTGATTTTGGAGGGATGCGGACGGCGGTCGCGTCACGACATGTTCGGCATCTTCCGCTGCACCGGCTCCCAGCCTAGCCGTTTCGTTGCTTGTACGATGTCCTGCATGACCAGACGCGCGGGCAGCTGGGGCCTGAGATCTGCTTCTTGCGACTGAGGGGAAACTAAGGCCCCAATATCTTGAATCCTTTGTAGAGTCTAGACCAAGCGAGCTTCCACCCTGCCGGAGGAAGTCGTTCCCGCTTGTGGGGCGTCCAGCCTCGGGCTTCCTGTACCGGTTTGTTGCTTGCCTTGCATGCTCGAACGCTTAGGTCGGGAGATGCCTTGCCTGGGTGCTTAGCTACTCTTGTTGCTCGTGTTTTCGATAAAATCGTCGTTTGGTAAAACTGCAGGCGAACGGTAGCAGCAGACGGGTCCCAGCATATTGTTGACATGTTGCATTATCGTTGCCGTAAGGAAGGGCAATCCCGTGATTGAGACCATGAGCGGCTGGTCACCAGCGGCACCAAGGTGCAGAGTTCATGAGACAGCATCAGGACTGTGGTGACTTGGCGTGTTTGCCCGTATCCATCCTTGGCTTGGATTTGGTAGGCCCTTCTCGCCTGCTGCGGCGGGTGCTGCTGCCGCTAGTGGCGCCAGCGGTGCCAGTGCCATGGGAAGTTGGCGCCGCGCTGCCAAGTGCGGACAGGGCAATTTCAGGACGGTTTATGAAATCCTGACTTGCAAGTATGGATATATTATCACCATCACTGATCCTTGATCGCACTCGCAACAGAAGTTCGTGATACGGCGGCACCCTGCTCACGAAAGACCTCATTCCCTACACCTGTATATGTCTCGACGTTCTGAGAGCAGGTTGACGAATGTGAATTTGTTGGCGCAGGATGCTTTAGGCTATCGTGCAAAACCCAGGCTAGGCTTCTGTGAGGGCTTTCTGGCCCGAGGTGTAGTGGCTGTGCATGTAGTTGCCAGCAGAAGACTTAGACAGGTCTAGAAAGTGCAATCCAGATCATGTTCTCTGCGTCACGCGCCTAATGCAGGCGATGCACCACCGCCTTTCTGGCTTTCCCCATGCCACCTGAGGCTTTGGTCCCGAAGTGAGGCACGTCGAGGCTCCAGCATCGGAGAAGGCCGCCGTGTAGACGACAGTCGTCCTTTTGCCTTTCATGCTCTCGTAGCCTTTCGACACTTCGTGCTCCCTGATTACTCACCACAGCTGAACATGGCTGAACTGGCGAAAAGACCTGTATTGCGTGATGGAGTCTATGATATTTGGGTCGATCTGCTTGAGCAGCACCAAACCCACATGAATAGCAAAAGAGTGAGAGCGCAGAACATGGCTCCGATTGCGACAGCTAACAGAAACAGCAGCATGCGAAAGCCTTGGGTGTGGCAGTGAAGGTGAACCAGCTCCGACGGTCCTTCACCTCCCTCCAGGCCACAGCTTGCGATCCCGTAGAGTCTGAGTGGCGAGTTGGGGACCGGGCAACTTATCCGGACGTGGGGCTGCGAAGCTGGCCGGGACATAGGGCCGCCAGATTTCAGAGTGGGCTTCGATGGCTTTATTTGTAGGCAATGGATGGTTTGGATGTGACACTATGTGACAATGCAGTGGGTGCAGCAGTTTGCTACAACTTCCTTGCGGGAGACGCCCCTTGTTAGGTTTGGCACAAACATGCACAAAGTGTACATAAGAAGACTCTCCGCTGTCAGTTGTGTGCGGGTCAGCCAAGCCCCGAAATGATGGACTTTCGGGGGCCAAGAAACCTTCCCAAGGCATGGATGGAGTCCCAACCGCCAAGTGCTCCCTGCAAGGCTGAGATGCAGCTCTCCTTCCAGAGACAGGATGGAGAGTTGGTGTCCGAACCGCCCGGGCCTTTAAGGGGACACTCTTGGTTACATATCCAAGGGGCGCGGGTTGGTTCCACAGGTTCTTTGGAGGCCTTAGTGCTCAAACTAAGTAAGATGTTTCCTGCAGAGTCCAGTGGCTCACAGCTGGAGCTCAAAGCCAGAGTGCCCTTGCCGAGTTGTTCGAGGTTTGGTGCCTTTCTTCCCGGCTCGGGACGCGAGGGCGTGCGCCCGCCTTACAGTACTTGCTGAAGGATCACGGAGGAAGCTGCGAAGCAGAAGCAGAGTGGCCTCAACACCCTGAAAGGACCAGCTGCCCGATGCCCCCCTGCTTGCCAAGTCTCGCACCGGTGGCCGGTGGCAGCATGGCACTGGGAAGCTGCTGGCTTAGCCCATATCCGTTGCTGGCGAAGCGTGAGATGGAGAGACATGTTGGGAGGAGGTGTTTATGCACCTCAATAGTAAGAGTAACAATAACAGTAACTGGAACAGTGATTGTTATTATCATAATTGTTATTGATATTGGTATGACTATTGCAGTTATTACTGTCAGTGTATGTTTGCTGTTGTTGTCGTTTTCGCATTGCTGAGGCTTTTGTTGCTGTTGGTCGGCTTCAGACACTTGCTGGTGCGTTTCGCTATTTGCTTTTGGCCCGCGGCTCTTTGCTTGTTGCTTTGTCGTTTCTGCCAGCTGCTGCTTGAGAACTCCTCAGCGACTCTGCTTGCAGGTCAGGGCGTGCTGACACGGCTCGCTTCTTCCCACCATGTATAGTATTCGATGGTTCGATCTAACCACTTATCATGGCTTGTTTTGTAGTTCCGCTGTGGTTCTGAGATTCCACCGAGCAGAGGGTCATGTCAAGTCAGATTGTGGACTAATCATGGCATGTGCTGCATCATGCTGGCATTCAGGTACAGAGATGTGCAGACGCACAACAAGATATCAACCGAACCAGCAGATAGACGCACAGGATGATCGATGTATGGGCTAGAGCAACATGCTTCCCAACACACCTGCCTGTCGCAGAATCAGACCAGCCATCTACGACCAAACATATGTAGTGGCATCTTCGTCGCCATGAATGTGGGACCGATATCCCCCATGTTATCAAGACAGCAACACAACTGTGTGCGTTCACTTTCCTCTCATGGGCGGCGATGTGGTCTCAAGGGAGTACACTGGGTTCGCACCGGTTTTCGTGGAAGGGTATGGACGGTAAAGGACTTACTTGGGAATTCGGGGTTTTTGCTTGCTAGAACATACGATTGCCGAACTACTGGCATCCGAAACCCTACGATTTGTCCGGCACGTGCGCGGAATTGCTTTCCCTTTAAAAGTCATCGTTCATGCTTACAGTCCAATTAGGCTTTGCAAGGCTCTGACCGTGTGCAAACCGTCGAAGTGCCCAATTCTGGCTGAGGCAGCAGCAGTTTAGCAAGCACCGTTCCCGGCGGAGCCGCTGACGTCTCTCCAAGCAATGCTGGGCTCCTGGTGCAGTTTCTGCACCCACATGCATGCATGCATGCAAGCCCTCAAATATCAGAGTTCAGCCGTTCAGCCTCCGTGTTTCGGTGATATTCTCGTTATATAGTATAACCTCAAGACTGAAGCAAGAAGGTGGGTCATGATCGGCAAGCGGCATGTGGTGACCACCTGTTGTTGTACCATAGTAAACGTACCACGCATCTTGGCGGAGAAGCGTGCATGTTTGAACGAAGGATGGGATGCGGGTGGATGCTCGCTCGGGTGAGATGGGCTTGATTTGCTTGCTTTGGGCTTTCCACCAGGTGGAAAGCTGGTGAAGCACTATTCTAGGCCAGTCATAGTCCTGGCGACTCTTTCAATTGCTAGGCCAAGAGCGAGACCGGCGAACTCGACGTTTGGTTGAAGGCTGCATGTCGGGATTGTTTTTTGGGTCATATCAGAGCGCATTCGGCTGTGCTGTCTTCCAGAAGCTCTGCCTGACTGTCTGGTCATCCGATTCACCTGATGGCCTGCCTTCACGTTAAAGGATGAAGGCACAGCTGTGTCGACCCACATTCGTGCTTGGTGCCAGGAGAAAGCTCAGAAGATCAAGGACTTGCAAGCCTCTTCTGGCCTCCGCTTTCGGTGATCAGTTATGATGAGCAGTCAGTGTTCATCTCGAGATCAAGAATTTCTCATGTGTCATATTGTGCCACTTGAGACCCGTGGGCTCAAAGGCAGGTGAGGTGATGAAGTTCTTTTCGTGTTCATGTTGGCTTCGTGGGTGTGGTGATTAGCACTGGTGGCCTCAACGAAAACATAAAGAGAGAGGAGAGTGAGAGAGAGAGAGGGTCGCTCCCTGTTCCTCTACCCTCGCGAAAGAAAAGAGAGAGAGCGCGTGAGACGAGTGTTTCAAGAGTATTCCTTCTAGCTCGTTTGCACTCTGGAGTCAATGGTAGATGTCGAGAAACAAAAAGAACGAGTGCCGTCTCTACAAACCGTTGATCAGGGGGAGCAAGGGAGGCAGGGAAAATGTGTTCGTTCTGCGCTTCGTGAAGGCGTGAGTGTGTGTGTGTGTATATATATATATGTATGTATGTATGTATGTATGTACTGTATGCAGATATGGGTTGATGGATGGATGGATGGATGCATGGATAGAGGGCTGGTGCGGACACACACACACTTGACAAAAGCGATCCCACCGTGAGCTTTCTTTGCTCAAAGCGACCTGCATGTTGTTTTCCGAAGGCCCCTAACGGCCGCTTCAATGCCAGTATACCTTCTGGCGAATTGAGATGGCCAGCTTGTGTCTGCTGCAACAGCGCGGGCGCAAGCTGGTACAAGACGTCGGCTTGGAAGATGTGGCGGCCGTGGCCTCCACTGCCGAGTGTCCTGGCAGGGGTAGAATGCAACTTCGTCTCGCTGCTTCCCTCTGAACTAATTAAGACAATCACCCTAGGTTCGTCCTAGTCAGGCGGGAAGCAAAAGTTAAGACAATCCACAGGACAAGGGGACGGCGGCGTTCTTGAGTCTGGTTGTCACTCGAGTACACAATGTCCTGAAGTAACATCTTTGGCCGGATCCGGGCTCTGCAAACCTTTCAAGAGCTGAAGAATCCGAGGGGGAGAGGGTTCAGAAGATCACTGAATTGCCATGCGAGAGCTTCAGCTTACTAGACATGGAGGTCATAGACTTGCGACTATACTCAATAGTCATGCTACTCAGAGGACTAACAACCTGAACATGTCTAATTCCTCTTTCGGGCCTAGTGTTTTGTTTGCATCTTGCTTGTTGCCGTTCTGACGGCGATGTCAATGGTGATCCCCAGTGAAAAGGTGTGATCTTGTTTGTGTTTGCCGGACAATAGCGATGTAGCCAACCACGGTTCTAGACATGACTGCTTTCATTGCTATTGCTATTCTGGGCATGATGAGTCTTTCGTTTCTACTGTGTGCTGTTCTTGGGTTTTAGGTCACGCTGATGGTTTCACATGCTTTGGCTAACATGCTTAGTGCTCAGGTGTACATGGGAAAGTTTAGGACGAATGGTTGAGCCGCCGGTCAGTCCAAGGCAAGAGCTTCGCACATCTGTTTTTGAGCTTCTGGGCTCCGGTCACCTTTTGGAGGCTCCTGTGCTACTGCTCTGAGATAGACCGGTGTAGGATGAAGTTCGTATGAGGTTTACACGGTTTACAACCTGAAGGGTTCGGGTTTGGAAAGGGTAGAGAATCTTTTTAGTTGTCCAACACTGCAGTGGTTGTGGTTTCAGTACCTGATTGTTGCTATGACTCCTGGTTGCAAGCATGCCCAGTGCTCTCTATGCCTTTGCGCTTTCAGGCAGTTGTGGCACTGGAAGCACCTCAACAAAAAGGAGCAGCACAGCATGGACTGGAACTGTAGAGCGCTTGTGGTGGTTCTAGATGCACGCGGTACCGATAGCTGCTAGCCTACAGACGCATCGGCCGACAGTGAAGTGCTGCGGACTGATGACCAGCGGTACGTGTCACGAGCAGGAGCAGAAACAGTTAAACAGTTGTGCTTGTATCTACAACAGCCACAAAGAGGGCAACGGCGATCGTTCGTGCAAGGGTCACCGGGACATACATGATAACTTGTGGCCATTAATCAGCTGCTGCCCAAGTCCTGAAGGTATCGATCGGTTCAAGCCCGCAAATCGCAGATAAAGACCAGAATCCTAGCCATGGTTTTCGGAGCCCTTGTCCTCGGTGACCCGTTGTTGCCCAGCCTTGTAGTCATGGAGTCACTAGGAAGTCCGAATACCCACTGCCGGAGGCCATCAATGGCGGCTTCTCTGTTGCCACGATGTTACTCTCTGTGCCATGCCTGTGGTTGGTCCTGTATTTCTCTTGGATCCGACGACGGGCTTTGATGAAGCTAGTCTTCATAGAAGCCTTGGGTGCAAGGGGTCGTGTCCCGGCCATTGCTTTCCAGGAGTAGAGTCTCTGTCGCGTGGCCATGTGCAGGTTTTTGTTTTTTCCCGGTGCTTTTGGGAGGTCGTTTTCAGGCGGTTGAAGGTTGCCGGCCACGAAGATGCAAGCCAGACAGCCAGCCATTGCCTCCGCCCCACGGAAGGTCAGCTGCCTGCTGATTCCCGTGTTTCTCGAAGCCTCTGGTTGCAAGGCGTGGCATTCCAAATCAATTCTCATGCAGTATACGACGAACTGTAGGGTAACGCTGACTTCGGATGGTGTGGCTTGTGTCCTGTGCGAATCACGGTTGTAAGTCTTTCACGGCACAGGCGTTGCAGGCCGGATGCAAAAAGTTACGCTGAACCTCCCGGCTTAAATGCGGGCTTCTTGGATAGATCATGATACTAAACATATTGGGGAAAAAATATTTTTTCCCCAATATGTTTAGTCCGTTCGATCGGTTGGCTGCGAGTTTGTAGACCTCCGAAAGCCACAAAGCAACCTCCCGGCGGCCGGAGCCTGGAAAGCCGGAAGTAAGAAGCCAGACAAGAGCCACACCGGCACAGGAGGCGCAGAGTTCTTGTCTCTTGTCTTTTTGGATTTGAGTGGTGTAGATTCAAGCCCCTTTTTCTCCTTTTTCTCGTCGGCTTCAGGCGGGCGGGGTCCTGTCCTCTGACCGACGAGCTCTTCGCGTCGTCTGGCTTGGACAGTGGGTCCTCGCTACCATAGCCGCTCGGCATGAGACCGGGATCGGCGAATGACAGTTTTGGGCATTGGAGTTTGCAACTTCCTTTTTGATTTCATAGGCCCCGCTGACCTCGGAGCTGCAAGTTGCAAGGAAGCGGCCCCAAATATGCCTTGCAGTGCACCTTCCTGAGTCAGCCGTGCAGTCCAGAAGCGTAGAGGGCACTGGCAAGCTGGCCTGGCATTGTGAGACCGTTTCTGAGGACATGACGATTCTAACCCCTGTGTCTTACGACCTGGTGCAACAGAGACTTGGCTTATTCAGGCTGCGTAGGAGGGCAAACAGCAGCTTGCAGGGGCTTGCAGGCGAGGCGAAGCCGTGGCTTAGACTGGCTGAGACGGCTCCTCACATCCTTATGTTTTCTCAGAGGGGATGCATGGCGCAAGCTGTGAAGGGTGCACGGAATTCTCCAGGTATGTCTCAGGTGCGAGAGAAGCGCAGAGTAGTCTTCCTGCTTTGCCGGCGGCCAAGGCTGGGTTATGGAGCGGTATCTTCTGGATTCTTGCTCTCTGCGCCGCAGGCGCCCTTAAAGTCGTGCAATGTCGGATGCTGTTCAGATGAGGCATGGCCGGCAACAGCTCCTCGACTTGTGCTACAGTCTCACACGGCAGTCACTGGTCGTGTTGAAGATGAGTGTTGACTGCGTATCTCCACCGCCAAAGCCCCACAGCTGCCCTTGCTTCTGCATCCAGAACAAACCTGTGTGATAGGTGCTGCAGCCCATGGGCGCTATTCTGTCCCGGCTGATCACAGAAGGCCGGAGCTACGCTTTCTTGCGCCGCTTCATCGTGAGCGGCCTGTGGCTTGGATTGCTTTGAGGGCGTGCCGGCTGCCGGCTTGGTAGCTGTGACAGGCTGAGGGCTTGTGTTAACGGGTGCTACTTCATCGGCAAGAGAGGCAGGGAGGGAGAGAGAGAGAGAGAGAGACAAGTGGTTACCTGCTGCCGGCCCCGATGATTCAATCCGCTTGTAAGTTAGTCGTACCGTAGTACCCTAACTAAGCCACTTCTCGATTGGAAAACGTTTGCCCAAGGTACCTGCAGGCACTTTTCACATGGTCCCTAGTGCCAGTACTGCATCGATGCAACGCTTGGTCGAGTGACTTGTCGAAGACTCTAAGAAGTCAGAATCTCACGCACTGCGTCTGTACTTCGCAGGCTAGCTGATGCATGCAGGCCATTTGAGATCGGTGTTCGCAAGCATTCTGAGATCCTGGCAAGTCTTGCTGGATGGATTGCCAAGCTTCTTGAGGTGTGCTCATCTACGAGGGTCCGTGACTAAGGTGAGATTGTCCTCGGATCTACAATTATGTTGCGATCGTGTGGAGGTTGGAGGGCTCGATTGGGCAGCGGCTACACTTTCCTCAGAAGTCGTGAGTCCCCACATCCTGTTGGTTTACCTGGACCCCAGCATTGGTGCAGGGATGATGCTGATGATATATGGAGTGCCGCTGAGCACCATGGTGCCTCGAATTCAAATTGGCGCAAGAGTCAAGGGAGCAAGGTGCAAGGGCTCGTTCGACTGATTATCTGTTTGACTCTACGACCTTGCTCAGTAGAGTAAGCAGCTCAGTACAGTAGCTCTTGCATGTCATTGCATCGTTCCCACACAAGGTTTACCAGTATGCCGCCCCTGCTGAGAAGCCTTGTCTGTCCATTGCCCTCTACTTGGCCATGTGCTCCGGTCGCAGCTATCGGAAGACGGGGACCTGCGTTCCTTCTCGCATCATGTAATGTGGAAGCTCACTGAGTTTTTCGCGCAATCCAGCAATTTTTAAGACGTCTTGATTTCGTTTGTTGCCTGCGACAGACGAGCAACGTTTCAAGCAGCAAGCGGTCCAACTCGCCCTTGCAGCCAAATCTTGACGGCAAGGTGAGATCCATCACTTGGCTGAGGCATGCCATGCAGGGTTTGAAGTAAGAGGAGTAGACTCTAGTCTTTCGATGATAGACAAAGGAGAGTGCCCCACGCCTTGTCGACGCTGCCCGAGAAGACAAAACATAAACTTCGGCAAGGGAGCGAGGATGAAGTTTCCGATCTTTGGTGCCGCCTGCCCTGCCCCGCCTGGGTAGGCAGTGCCAGCACAAGCGTGCAGGTGAAGCATCCAGGCAGACGTGGATGTACGACCGCCGAAAGGGGAAAGGGACATCAGCAAATCGTGGGATCAGCCGTCTGACTGGAGTTCTTCCGGCGCCCTGTCGGAACCAAACCACCAGCACAGCTAACCTGGGCAACACATACTGGTGGTCAACAGGTCAGTCCTCGAGCTCTTCGCTGGCAGTAGTGCCTCACATTTCGCCTCGCCACCCTCTACAGCTAGTGTGGACAATCACGAAGCCCTGGGTGGGTTTCACTCGACTTTCCAAGAGTCTGAGTGGGAGACCACGAACATCATAAAACGATCTTTCAGCCTCAACAACTTTCAGACCCAACCCCGGAATCCTAACAACGGAAAACCCGGGACGATCCTGGAGACTCTTCTCTGAAGCCCCCTCCAAGGAGCCTCGGGCCCAAAAGCGTTCCCCAAATCATACAGAAGCAGCGCTGGAGGTTCAGTGCTTGCTTGCAGAAAGAACCTAAGCACGACTCGTATTGGGGAGCAACTTCTCTAAACATTGCATGAACATTACTGTCCCCACTATGTTAACATACTTCAGACTGTAGTCAAAAAAGACTATAGCATACTATACACCAGATTACCCCATAATGTGCGGTAGCGGTAGCACGCAATAATTCGTTCTTTAGACCAAACTCCCTCTGGGCTCTTCCGCCGTTTCTTGGGCCGAGGAGCCTCGGGGTTTGTTTGGGGCCCCTGATGAGCTCCTCGGCCTCATCGGAGCCCTTAACTTGAGTTCCTTTGAGTCGAGATCTGTTAGGTTTGGTTTGGGGTTTACGGCTACGGTCGTGTTCTGGCAGCAAGCAAGCGCAGGTTCCAAAAGGAGGGTTTTGTGTTCGGATTTCAGGTCCAAGGTTGTTGCTACCGGGGTTTAGGATCGCGGGGGGAGGGGGTCGGTGTTGGCCATGGCCATGCACAAGTCAGGTTTGCACTGTGCCATGCGCAGCAAGCGACCTCTTCATTCAAGAGGCTTCCGTGCATGAAGATGAGTGATATTACCTTTGCAAATCAATCAGTAGTTTAACGCGACCTTTACGGGAACCGTAGCAGCACTCCAAAGCATTGCCCTAAGAAGCTACGGAGCCCCGAAGCAAAAAACGAAGCTGTAAATGTTGCACCGCTGCGACCGCAAGGTTCCGTCCTCTTGACGTTGGACCACTACCAGCCCAGTCAGGCCTTGTTCCAGAACTGGTGCAACACATGCCGCCTAAGACCACAGCGACTGCTTTTTTTGGATGTCGTTCCGTTTTGTAAGTGTTCGGCTCCTCGACGAAGACACTCCCAGGGTCGGCTATTTTTGCAGTATCGGCCCCATTGAATAGGCGTTTGCAGAGATGGGGTCTCGTTGACGTAGTGTCGGACAGGGTTAGAGAACGGTGCTCGCCTTAAAGTGAACCTCAGATTCTTACTTTGTTCCGTGGTTGGGTCCGCTGCTTGGCTTATCAGGGCAAAAACCAAACCGAATCGGCAGAGTTTTGGGATTAGGCTTGAAGCCTCGGGAGGGCAATAGTCAATAGTCCTCGTCGAGCCGCTAGGTTCTGATCCAGGAACACCGATCTTAAAACCCAGGGAAGCCAGTGGGGTTTTGTTGGAACAAGGAGCTTTTGAGCCTTTGATCTAGGCTACTAGCCGCATCTCCGGCGACAGATCCCACTTAGACTTCTTTTTGTTCTTCTGCAGTTATTGTTCTTGTTCCTGTTGCTGCTTCCGCTGCTGCTGTTGCTGCTGTTGTTCTTCTTGTTGTTCTTGTTGGCGTTGGCGTCGTTTGTTGTTGTTGTTGTTGCTGTTATTACTGCCAGTAGGGCTGCCAGTAGTTGGGTTCTCGGTGGCTTCATTGTCTATGTGGTCAGGGGGACCGCTTGGACCAGCAGCTTGTTTCAGTCATGATGGCGGCCTTTTGGGTTGCAGCTGCCGGCGACGATGAAGCGGGTGATGGTCGTGATGCTGATGATGATGATGATCACCATGATGGCGATTATGATCATGATGTCAATGACGATGGTGATGGATTTTATGGTGGTGATGAAGAAGAGTATGATGGTGATGATGATGATGATGATGATGGTGATGAGCTTCTTAAAAGGCGCGAAATAGTGTTGATGCAGTCTGCCATCATATCTTGCCCTGGCAGGGGAGTGTTCAATCGTCACCCTATTGGTGTCGGCTCTGATTCCTGTTCTATTGCTTCGATGACGATGACTTCCCGCTTGCCTCCAATCGACCTTGCAAGCGCCATCGCCTTTGTGAGTCTTATTGGTATGACTACAGATGACAGCTCTTCGAAGCTTCCTTGCTGCAGGCATGCAATGCTGGAGCACGAGCCGTGCAGCTGATGCTTGGGCTTGGTGTCTGCTTCTTTCGCCCCGAATCAGCATGCTTATCACACTCGGTTTCAGAGCAACGGCTTCACCAAAAGCGTGGGAACAGAGCAGACATGTTGCTAGCCATCACTCCAAGCCCTCGAAGCCCACTTGAGCTTGAAAGCAGAGGATGGCCCTACTGTGGTCTTGCGAAACCCTGCTGGCTGCTGCCCTGCTCCCACAGGAGATTGCAGGCACCCGGAACCATGGGGAGCCCAGATGTTGGAGAATTATCTTTTCTGAGTGGAGAACCGCATTTTCGGAGAGTCGATTGAAACCAGTTGCCAAAAAAGGCTTCACGCTCAGGGTGCGAACTTCGAGACGAGTAATATAACCTTATATTGGGTTTGGGGCGTTGGGGTTGAGGGTCAGGGTCTTGGGTTCGGGAGAAACTGGGCATTGGGACTGGGGATGACTGGTTGTACGTGCGTAAACGGAGGAGGCTGCAAGGATTCGGGATGCGCCAGATTCGCAATCCTTGAGCAGAGCATCTTGTACTCTCGCAGGGCCCGAACCTCAAACACTACCCCCAAATATTATGATCAGGAGATTTCGCCTGTGCTGAATGAGCTGCCCACATTTGCAAGCCCTTGTTTGGGATGGTTTCGGTTGCCGGGTCAAAACATGCACTTGCGAGGAGGCTTCGGGCAGTTTGCAAGCCTATCCCGTGCCGTAGCTGGTAGCCTTCTGTTGCAAATCCGCTTGCGGAACTCTTCACAGCCCTTTCCGGCACTAAAGGATCCAACGACGATAGCCACTCGAGGGCGCAAGACCGCGTAGATTCCCAGATCGTCGAGGACCTCAATCCAGTTTCCACCGGTTCCCAGTGTCTCACGTTCAAGAGATAAGAGGTGCGGTCGAAGAAGTTTTTAGGAGTAATTACAGGTTTGTGTGAGTTCATGGATGGCATTGATTGCATGTTAGACCTTTTCGCGAGCCTAAGCTCTTGCTTGCTTCCCCGTGGGCCCGCTGACATGAGCACAAGTATGCTTATAGGTTCTTTTTTTGCAGCTGCTTCCTCGCCAAGAGTACGTTTTGGAAGCGGTTTTGATGCTTGATGTGAAACAGAGAACTGGTGGAACCATTCCCGCGTTGCTGCCTCGATGTCAACTGCAGTTCGGAGTATCAGGCCGTCGCAGTCCAGGGAACTTCGTTGCGCAGGAGTTGCCGATTTGGCTCCGCAAAGCTTTGGTTGGGCTGACGATATTGTATCTCGGATGTTGCGAGAGCTACTGCAATTTGAACAAAAAGCGCTTCTCGGTTGGGGCCTTCCGATGAGATTTCACTGCGAACCATTTGTGTCAAGTAGTTCTCGGAAGTGGATCTAGCCTTTGTCAGCGCTGGCACTGTCCGCACCACCGCGTCGCAACGCTGAGCATCGACCAGGTTCTCTGCTGGACGTTCTTTGGGCATCTCAGCTATCGAGGTGCCGTGGGGCTGACTACTGGGCATTCAGGGCCGGGGAAGGTGGTTAAACGATCAGCCAAGCCAAAAGGCCAAACAGGTCTGGTCAGCGGGTATAGGTGGTTAATGTCTGAAAGTGGCTGACTGCGGCCATCGTCGCTGACAAGGATCATGGTAGCGATGGGCCTTCGCAGTAGGTTCGCAAAGGGGACGTGGAAGCCGCTGCTGCGAATCACAGGAAGTGAAACACTCGCTCTGCCACCCCCCCCTTGCGGCTTCAGGTGATAGATGATGGGGACACAGGGCTCTATCAACACAACACTGGCAAGTATTTTGCTCAGGTTGTTGCGATAGCTGAAAACTAGATGCAGCAGTGCACTGTCTCCAACGCCGTGGCTGCGGATACTTGTGACTTGCGTCTGCGTTGCCGCAGTGAACAGTAAGAGGGAGCGAGCGAGGGAAATGTTGAAGAGGTCGCCACAGCCTTGCTCCTCGAGTCTCAGTATGGATGGACACCGGCCGCTCAACGCAAAAGTCTTTCCTGTAACTAACTCGTAAGTTTAGTTTTGGAGGAGTGTTACGTTTTGCGATTTGGTCCGGCCAATCGCCATCATGGAAGCTTCAATGAAAATTCCAGAAGTTTCTGGGTGTGTTCTTGCCTCTGACAGTTGAAAGCTCCTTCTAGGCTCCTGTTTGACGGTTTTTGGCACGAGCTGAGACCGCTGCATACGCCAGCTGGCACAGAGTAACTGTGACAAGGTGACTCCAAAGTCAGGATGCTGCGGCTTTCATTCAGTAGGTGTAACACATGCGCGAACCAAGAGAAATAACTCTGTATCGTATGATATTTATATACATGCACATGCTGTCTGTAAGCTTACGTTTGGACGTACGAATGTATGTTTGTACGGTACCTTTGTCGGGAAGTTTCCGTATTCCAAGCTGGAAGGGCTTGACATTGTGGGGTTCCTACAACTTAACACCTTGGTGAATATTGTCAGAGTCAGTGGCAAGCTGCTCCTCGTGGCTTTCTCGTCGTCAGGTCTTGGTTGGAACGTAGGACACTTTTTTTGTAAGGTTCGAAAAGGTCGTTCTCTTGCTTCCTTTCCTAATGTTGTACATGTCCCGACTCGCAAGGAGAAAATTGGTTACGCCTTAGGGGCCGTCTTCGCCCTGACAGCGTCTGCAGGCATGGGTTCGTACTGCAGCAGAGACCCCCTGTTCAACTATTTTTAAAGTACATGCATGATACGTAAAGTGTCGATGAGACATGATGCAAGTTCGGAGCACGGTCAAAGAGTTCACGAGTTGCTCTCTTGTGCCTGATGCTGCCCTATATTCAAGCATTTTTTGTTAAGATCCTCCGGAAGCTGTTGCAGTCAACTGTTCCGCGAGGGCTTCTGGTGGCCATGCTGCGGAACACATTGCTGCACCTTGGCCAGAAGTGGGAGCCTTCGAATTTCAAATCGTTTCAATCAACACGTTTCTGATGGAAAGTGCAGCTGGGTATCTGGCAACTTCTGCATGCCGTGCGAATTGAGGGCAGGGAAGCACAGCTGGGTTTGCCAGAGAGACACCAGCAAGGTCCGAGTATGTTCTGATGCTATCCCTGGCCTTCTTCAGCATTGTCGGCTCGTTGCTCTTTTTCGACTTCGGGGGCGGAGTGCCGCAGCTTGGTTCCGATAAAGGAAACTCAAAGATCATGTTGTGTGGAATTGCAGAACACTGCAGGCTTCATTCAAGCACCTTCTGCTTTGAAGGATGACGGAAGTACAAAACTGCATGAAACCTATTCCACGGCCGAATGCCGTGCTTGCAGCATCGACAAAGACCCGTTCCAGTGTAATCGAAGCTTTTAATATTCCCAAACACCAGCCGGTAGAACCTCAGCTTGTCGAAGATGCCCCTGCGGCAAGGCAGGGCGTGCAACACAGCTCTCCGTTGTTGCTGATGACTGCAGATATGCTGGTAACTTGGCCGTAATCGTGCAACATGTGTTTTTCCGACGAAGATTGTACTATGGTATAGTCCTAGTAGTAGACGACGTCCTGTATTTCAACAACTACTGTAGCTGCTTCGGAAGTCGGGAGATCGAGCTTTTTGAGGTGTACGCTTGCATGTTTCAGCTCACTGCCTTCATGGAGGGCATTGCGACGCAAGCCGCGGTGCCAGTACCCCGGCCTGAGTTCAGAAGCGCCGGCAAAAGCTTTGGCTTGGTCCCGGCTGAAGAGCTCCGACTCGGCCTGCCAAACTTATCAGAGATTTTCTGGAATTGTAAGGGCGCGAGGTCCTCGTGGGAGACTCAGGACAGCACCTTCAGCCTGGAAAACTTCATCGTCGTGCGGAATCTGGCCATTCAGATGCTCGGCTGCGATATCTGGTTGCGGCTATCTCTGGTCATGTGCCTTTTCTGTGCCATGATTGTGAGCAGCACAGAAGCAGCAGCCATCCTGCCCACATCTCGAGCGTTCAAAAGTGAGGGATCCAGCTGCTCAGTCTTTTGGTAGTTTGATGTGCTGCTGATTCCGGGTCTTAAAAGTCTGGCTTGACCGAGTTGCGAGAGCGTAAATATGAAAGAAGAGTTGCTTTCCATTCTGTCATATAGGTGCATACCTACATATGCCTATGTATATATATATACACGGTGTAAGTAGTTATGTATGTCTGCATGTGCATAGATCCCAGCTGCTCTAGCTTATAGATTGAGAGTTGGATAGATAGATACAAGGAAAGATAGAGAGGCAGGTAGGTAAATAGATAGGTAATTAGATAGAGAGGCGGATAGGCAGAATGAAGGACAAACATGATAGACATGTAGGTAGATGGATAGGTAGATAGATGGTGGATAGACGAAAAGACAGATAGAAAGGTCGGTAGATAGATGCATAGATAGCTTTCTGCGTGGGTTATATTTTTTGCAGGTATACTTACATAGTTGTGTCCCTGGTGTGACTAGTTTGCGGATCTGAAGCTACTGTAGAGCATGAGGTCTTTCGTAGCAGCTACATGTTCGCACCTGAGGCTAACAAATTAATCTGTGCATTGGCCAGTTACAGACGGATTATGGGAGACTTCGTGCACATTTTGTCCACCCTGCGCTCCACATCTCTAAGTCTAAGTTCTAGCATGGCTCGCATCGTTCCCACCCAAGATCTGACGTAAGCACGGTTAAGCATGGTTGCCCGTCCAATTCCAGGATGCCCCGTGCTCTGGGACCCCTGATGGCTCGCTGGATGATCGATGCTTTCGGCCGGAACTTCTATGCTTCATGGCTGAGGTATTCAGTATTTTGTGTGACAGGTGCTCGTAGAATCGAGCTTGAAGGCAACATAGGCGCAAGGAACAGGCTGTGGCATGGAACGTCTACGAGGGCATGGACTTGGCCTCAAGGGCTTTAAAAGTTCCTGGGCACTGCTAAGGCTGGCTTCATGCTCGTGTTGATGCTGGTGGCGGTGTGGGCTGTCTGTTACGCAGCAAGCCGTGCCAGAAAGCCCAGCGGGCCGATGAGTGCCACAGAGGTATCGAGTGCAGCGAAGGAAGTCTCCTAGACTCCTAGGCCCAGCCTGCCTCAAGCCTGGTAGTAGTTAGGACATTGCGATAGTTTGCATTGCAAGGGTGTCACCCTTCATAGACTGGCTTTCCAGTGTGTTCACTCTTCCAGTGCAAAAAGCTCGATCCAGGAATCGTGTTGATGGTGTGTCACCCCGACCCAGACGGTGGGCTTGATCCTAATCTGATATCTGGAACCCGGCCCCTCCCTCAGTAGGCGATAGCAGTCGATCCCAAATACTTCCATATCTTAATCGGTACGGGTTCCAAAAGCCGATGGCGGTCGATCCCAATCTTAAACTCACGAGCTCATGTGTTGACAGCAGCTGATTCCATATCCCGGCCTTCCCAGTCATTGGAATGAAGCCGCATATACCTTGCTTCAGGCAGGAAGTTGTCGAGGGTTTGGGTTATTTTGGGACACCTTCGCATCAACCCGATTTCGCATATTCAAGGCATAGACCCTAAACTCCAGATCGTGGAGACCTCCGAACCCGTACCTACTGAGAGCGAGTGTGCGAGTCGAAATGCCAGATAGTACACACACGAAACCTCAACTTAAACGCCTTCGAGCTTAACACTTTCAACATGTCAAAGTTTAACATTTCTTTCTCCGAACCTTTCAAACTCTGGAACAAGTGTTCAAACTCTTTAACTCTGTGCCTTCCAAGCTTTGACCATCTTTCCAAGTTGGACGCATTCAAGAATTCAAAACTCCAAGTTTCCAGTCGATCGAATTGTCGACCCTTCAAGCTTTCAATCTCGGCTTTTCAATCTTGCATACTCGAAACTCGATCCTGGAACGCGCCCCTAGGACTTACATGCATTCTCCACCTCACGTCCGTCGCACGGCACCCGTTGCAGCGGCTTCTTCAAACTTTCAAAAAGGGATTCTCCTTCAAACGTATCAGACCCTGGGCTGGGGTGTCATCCGTTGACCCTTAGCCATGAACCAGGACCACGTGACGGAGATGGCCAATGCCCAGAGGAGAGCTGAGGCCAGCGCAGACGCATTCTTGGCAGCTGCTCAGGATATATATATATATACACATATATATATATATATATATATATTTATATTTACAGACATACATATATCAGAGCAATATGGCGTACGATTATGAACTCGTGTGCTGCATGAGTTTGTTTGACCCATGGAGATACTTGTTGCCGAGCCGCATCTCTGTACTGAGGATGTTGGTCGAAGTCTTCAGGACCATCTGGACCAGCTTGCCGAGCGAAAGTCTCAGCGAAGATTTAAGACTCAAGGTTGAGTGAGCCTCGAGACAGACTGCAGACAGATAGAGCCCTAAGCCCAAACCCCCTCAAGTACTCTGCTTGTCCGAGTGTATCAGATGTCAAGCATAGCCTGTAAGGCTCCGTCGGATGCTCCGGCAGGCGCAGGTCGGCACCAACGGGGGGGTGCTTGACAGTCGACACGTAACGCTCGGCCAAAAATCGCTCGGATCTTGCTGAGGACCCCGGTCCAGACAGCAGTAGAGATATGTACCTGAAGTACCTGAAGCCCAATAGCTCACACTCTGCTTAGAACTCTAAGACTCTAAGGTTTCTCGACGTACAGTTGCGATGAACATTGCTGAGCGTTCTCTGTGTAGCACCCATCGAAGATGGCGGTTTGAAACCCTTTTTCCTGGCCCCGATGGGGAAGCCTTCTTGGAGGTTCATGGGTAGTTAGAAGTGGGGTTATAAGTCCCCGAATCTGGGTTATCAGTATAGTAACCCTACTTATAACCCTATTCTAACTACCCATGAACCTCCAAGTTCTAAACCCCTGAGAAGCCGTTCACCTCGGCTGAAAGACAGGTGTGGTACAGCTGAGCTGACATGCAATTGACACCTTAACCGAAAATCAGAAGACACGGACGAAGCTGAGAGGGCAAATTGGCTACAAGAGCATAGAATCAGTTTGTGTCTGTGGATCAAGAGCTGCTGATCTAGGCTGGTTTACACAGGAAACAGATGTATGGTAGCTGTTTCTGGAAGGTTTGGCGGAGACGGCAAACTCTGGTGGGTTTTTGAAGGACAATTTTGCGATTCTGGGCTGTTCCGTTTGTGGGAACCGGATGCTGGCGAATGGTGGGCTGACAGCAGATTGCAAAATGAGGGTTGGGAACTTAGAAGAAGTGATGGGGACAGTTTGGAAGGAAGATTTTTGGGGTTTGTGGCTACTGCAGATGAAGCAGTGTGCTGGCCAAGAAGTTCGGATAACAAATATTGAAGTACCTGGACCCCCGATCCATCGGCAAACTTACAAGATTCTTCTGCTTGCTTCAAAGTTTGTGACTTCATGTGCTGCGTCAGGCAGACTTGGCAGAAGAGCTTGCAAAGGCGCAGGACCTCATGTCGGGGTCGTAGGGCTCAAACTGCCTGACATTGGAGGAGTCTGCAGGTTATAAGGTCGTGAGCTTGTCTGTGCGAAACGACACCAAGCAAATCACACGGCTTTTCTCTCCCGTCTGGCGTATTGAGGATTCATGTTTAGCAGTCGCCCAGGCGGGGCCAGGGCAAGTACGTGCGAATCTCGCGGCTAAATCACAAGCTTGTCGTTCAGCCTGTGTCTTCTGTCTGTTGACAGGAGCTGGAACGCAAGCGGGATGCACTTCGGCAAGAACAGGCCATGCACCAGAATTCGGGGGTGGGGCAGGGGCCAGGGTTGCTTATAGTTTAGGGGGATGGGTGCAATCAAGCTTCTTTGACCTTGGGCAATGGTCCTGTTTTCAGGTGCGTTCTTGCGCATTGGGTGTATATCTTACTCACAACTTCAAGTTGGGTCAGGCAGATCTTCAAAGCCAGATCTCACTGCGCGAGCAGGAGTTCCAGGACATGGGCCTGCTTGAAGCAAATGCGAAAAGTAGCAGTAGTGGTGGTAGAAGAAGAAGTAGTAGTAGTAGTAGTAGTAGTAGTAGTAGTAGTAGTAGTAGTAGTAGCTGTAGCTGTAGCTGTAGCTGTAGCTGTAGCTGTCGCAGCAGCAGTAGGGTAGCAGTATAGGCGGTTGTCGGCGGTAGCAGTAGCAGTAGGAGGAGGAGTCGGATCAGGAGGAGTAGGAGCCGGAGTAGTACAAGCGGCATGAGTGGCAAAATGGAGTATGAGTAGGAGTAGTCGTAGGAGTAGCAGGTGTGGTAGTAGGAAGGGTGGCAGGGGTTGCGGTAGCTGGTAGCAGGAGCGGCGGCAGCCGCAGGCGTAGTTAGGAGTACCAGCCCTCGTTGTTGATGTCCTACGAGTTGTCGTGGTCGATGTCCTCACTTTGCATGAGATTTCACTCTCTCCCAGGAGCTGCGGTCAAGTCGTGACGACATTGATCGACAGCTGTCCCGGGCCCTTGAACTCAGCCTCGGGCCAGGGTAAGCGGGCATCATGCTGAGGTTTCGCCGGGATATGCTACTTGCAAATCGAAATTGAGATGTTACGACCTTTAAAGCCCTTCGTGTTTTGCAGATCACAAGTGCAGGACGGAAATTGCAGATGTATGCTTAGTAGCGAGGCTTTGCCAGGTTTTGTCATGAGGTACAAACTGCTTGAAGAAAGACTGCGATCGTGCCCGGCAGTCGCCCTGCAGTCCTCAAGTTCAGTCTTTAAGCGTGGCAGTGACGGGCAGCTCCTTGATTCAGCTGTGCCATTGTAGCTACTGGAGGGGTGACCGTCAGACAGCACGGTATCAACATCTGGTATCTGGTCGACGGATGGTGCAAGAAGAATCCTTGCCGGCAAGTGGGGATGGCGGGCAAGTCAGCTCGAGTGAGATCTCGGCTTGCAAGCATTTTACGGAACAAGTTAGAGGCGGCACGAACCAGCCATAGCCGAGCCCACAGCAGGCTGCTAAGAAAGGACCTTGCATCTTACGAAAAAACTGAGCCCCCCAACCCGTTGCGGCTTTCTCAGCATCAGAGTGTCCTCCACTGGATGTCGAAGCCCAAACATTCGAGATCGAGCAGTATAGCTCAGTATAGATCGCCAGCGACTTTGCCATGCTGGACCTTTGCCACCTCGATGGTTTGTGGCGCGCTTCGGATGCAGGTGCCACTACACGCGCGGAGGCTGCGGACTGTAGCACTGCAGCCGGAGCATGGCATAGGTAGCGGTGCGACCCCGAAATGGCGAATGGATTTTTTTGTCAAAGCGAGTCAGTCCACTCTAGTGGTAGCTCGTAGGAACCGGCCCAAAGCCAGCGGGACGTGCCTAGTGTCTTCCCAGATCCCTCCGGAAGGTTCTCTTCACAGCGGTGCAGTGCTGCGAGGCGTATGCTGCTCGGCGCAAACTTTAAGTCTCCTTTCGAAAGTCAGCCATCTGAAGAAATGAGCCAAGTGCCAGCTTGGACAAGCAATGCGGGATTGCGGATGATTGCTGGCTTCTTGAAGATGTGGACTCTCCGGCTTACGTAGTGCATCCCCAGTTTTTCGTTCAAGAACATTCCAAATCAGCTGCCGACCGACTACCAGTGCGCACGGCAGCAATGACCGAAGAGATGCCTCCCCACTATGCATACTTCATGCATCCTCAGAAGAGGTCCCAGCCTCAGTTACCTGAACCATCCTGAGCTTGGTCAAGAACCGGAAGGAAGTCCTCGTCGTGGCTCAAAGCGACGGACGGCTTGCGGCACGCTGTGCGGCGTTGAGCGGGCAAGAAGACTTCACGTGCCCCGGACCGAAGAGGAGACGTAAGTGGGACTTGACCGTTGGGCTTTGGAACCAGCGCGAGGTGCAGGCCTGTCGTGTCCCATCTGTCAAGGACGAAGGCAGCCTGTTGCCCGCATTGCCCGCCGAACGTAGGGCTGGCCCATGTGCGGTGATGAAACATGACACAATGCAGCGAAGCCAATGCCGTATCACCATTAATTGCTTAGTTCATGTCAGCCAAGTGGGAGCCAAAAATGCCAGCCAATGTCATTTTATGCCGCTGGCTTTGTCTTTCGGCCAGGTTCGTCTCACATGCACGCTTCAAGCTATTTCACGCTTTCAGGATCATGTCGCTTTAACTCGCGAAGGTAGCATTTCGTAGTGACAGTTTGCTCGGCAAACAGTGTTTGTGGATTGTAGCAGGCAACGCCCAGCTACTCAACTCCGAATAATGTCCGAATATGCAAAGGCTAGGTCGGGTGCCCTTTCCCGTCAAAGCTTTGCCATGCTCCGAAAGCCTTCTGATGTACTTGACCTGGCGAGCTGCCGCCGTAAATGAAACCAAAATCGAGTTGGGAACCCGAAGTCATGTCTCTAGACTCACGAACATGGGCGGGGTCTTTTGCGCAATTGATTGCATTCCTGGCCTCCTTGTTGCCGGAGTCTTTTAGCTTCGGGGCAGGCTGTGAAATATATACATATATATTGTCGTGTATAGTACATAGTGACCTAGTATACAGTATGTAATGTTTTATACTATAAAGTATATACGGTATACAACATACTGTGCAAAAGTATGTGTAACTAAATAAATAGATAAATAAATAAGTGTATATATATATATGCATATATATATATATATGTATGTACAATCCACCCGTTGCTTTGACTCTTCAAAGTCTCGGAGCTGAGATATGAGCTCGAGATGGAGCCGAAGGAGCTCGAACGGATGACAGCTCTTGACCTCTCTCCGGAGGCGACCTGGGCCTGCAGGGGGGCCCTTATGCTCAGAACTCTGGGCACTGCGGTTTGTGTGTAGTATTTTAGGGTTCCAGGGAGGCGAGAACTACAAGGATAACCACAAGGAGCAGGAAAAAGCGCAGGAGTGGGAGGACTGGGCACCAGAATTTGGCAGAGCTTTCAATTGGGGAGATGAGACCTCACGGCACTTTTGGTCAGAACAGCGAATCATGCCCCTCATGCCATAAAGACCCACATCACCTGCTCAGAAGCCATGCATTGTGCCCCCAAGCTGCTCAAGCGCATTCTCGACAAAGGGAAACGAAGATCCCTAGCTTCCCTTGTTCCCATCACTGGCCTCTCTGAAAGCAAGCCATGTTCGTTTCGTTCGGCGCCCTGAACCGAGAGATCCGAACGGTCAGGCGGAGTACTTGGTGGTGGCCTGCGAGGCAGGGCATTGTAGTTTTCGACTGTTGGGGCACAAAATAAAACCGTCTGGAACGGGTAGGAGGTTGCGAATGAACTCCGAGACAATCTCCGATTGTTTGACCGTCGTTGTGGGTTCCTGCCCCTGAATTAGTCAGCTCTGAATGGGTCATTGCGGATGCCTTTGTGATTGTGCAAAAACAACACGATGCGACCGAGCGAGCTCGGTCGAGTCAGGGCAGTCAGGTTCGTGGAGACATTGAAAAGCCCCAAGTGTGCATTGCAGCCCTGTCTATATGCCTTTGAGGCGAAAACGGCTCGAGGTTCAAGGCACGAGGCATTCCAAAGTCCATTTTTTGCATTTGCGACCGCTCTTCGAGATCGAGCGTCAAACTGCCTCTTCACAATATGGACGTGCAGAGTCTTGTCGGTGGTTCCACTGAGTTGCAAGTCCTATCTTTACACAGGCAGGCTTAAGGATGAGTTCAATCAGGTCTGCCTGCCGTCGTCAAATCTTCCACATCCCCACCTGTGCCTTGTTCTGATCAGGCTGACCTCGTGGTATGGCCATTGTTGCTTGGACCATGCATGGATGTTTTAAGCTTGGGCAGCACAAATCCCTAGAGGGAGGGTGGTGGATTGTGCTATGCTTGGGTGTGATGTGCGACTTATTTCCTGCCAACCCATTTAGGCGCTTGATAGACGACTGAACGATGCATGTTTCCACCGTCCGACGACCAGCCGACAATTCACCCGCTTAGCTTCGCAAACAACATATGAGGCGATGCTATGAGATGGACAGCATGGTGCGCTTTGCATCCAGACCAAGCTGAAACATAAACACTGTAGGATAGCAGTACTTCCGCCTGCCACGAGGGGAAGAATCGAGACCTTCGATATAGTACGAGTTCCAGCCGTGAGAGTCCAAACCCCCAAGCGCAAGGCTTCGGCTTCTTGGAGCAAACGGACCTCGTGAGTCCCCTCTGTCGGAGCTTCTGCAGGCCATCAGAGAAATCACTAGTTAAAGACAGGGTGTTAGGAACTGTCAGCCGTCAGCGTCTATGAATCAGAAGAGTTTTGCAGGTGCAGGGTGCTAGCGTAGTGAAAATGTCCAGAGGTCGACGAAAGACCTTGCATGGTAGAGGAGGCCGCCAGCAATCGGTCGGCGACGGCATGATGGCGGCAATGCCCTCATGTCAAGCAGCGAAACTGCCACTGTTTACTTTTCGTCCGGTCGCCCGTTGTCAGTCGCAGTGCGCGCAATCTTTCGGATTACGTGCACTCTGAATCGGCGTCTTAGACGTCCGTCCCACCCAGTCAGTCAAGGCCACAGGTTGGGAGCGAGCTAGCCTGTGCTGCTGACTACTCTGACTAATTACTCCCATATTCGGGTTTTTGTGCCTGCGCCACAGTCAGGCTTCCATAGGCTTCGTGTAACAAGGCTGCCGATCCTCCCACCAACCCCGTTCGTTTCTCGCGGTTTGAGCTGGGAGCTCCCGGAACACGAGGTACGGGAAAGGGGCGGCGTGTTTGTCCGAGTCGGACTCTGGCATGCGAGCTGCGGAAGTGGAGGGTAAAGCGAAGGTAATTCTGAGAAAGATGTCCAAGCTTAAGCTAGACTTATCCGTCTCATTGCCGTGCACCCCTGGCACAGAGGCAGCCTCCGATCGTCGGCGGGGAGACGAGCGAACTGAGGCAACGCATCCCAAGATTCCTTTGGAAACCGCGGATCTGCACAGGCTTTGGGAGTGTGAGAAGGTTCTGAGGTCTTATGATGTTCTATTCGAGAAGTCTGGCGCTTGCCTCGGGGGCCGAAGCAAGAGTTTAAAGGTTGACCTCAGCGCAGAGGCAACTACTCACGGGTTTACTGCGAGCATTGGGCTGCCACCAACAGATTTCCAGATTCGTGAGGACGGTGAAGACCCGAACTTGGAAACCTGCTACTGCTAGTTTCACGTCCGTGGTTCGCTGGTTGGTGTATAGTTTTGGTCTGACGTGGTTCGATTTTAATTGAATGTGATTCACCTCGAAGATTAGACTCTGTTTGAGTTGCTTTAATTCGGCTTGGTTTGGTCTGGATTGGGTTGGCTGGTTGTTGACTGATTGACAGACTGAGTGAGTGAGTAGCTGACAGACTAATTAACTCACTGGCTGGCTGGCTGGTGGACGGACCGACTGACTGACTGATTGGTTGAGCAAATGATGGACTGCTGCCGTAGTTTGTGTTTGTGTGAGAGAGAGAGAGAGAGAGAGAGAGAGAGAGATCCAAAATGCAGGGCAAAAGAAGAGATCCAAAATGGTGTAATGGGGCTGCTCCCCGGAGCGGGGGGTAGGGACTGCCTACCCTCCTTGCCCCAGAGCAAAGCAAAGATAGAGAGAGAGAGAGAGATAGAGAGAGAGAGAGAGAGAGAGAGAGAATGGGTGTTTGTGCATGCATGAGAGTGCATGCAATGCAAGTCATGCAAGTGTGAGAATCGGCCGAGCCAGCACGGCGGAGGGAGAGTTTGGGCATCTACTCTCGGCGGTTCCTAAAGTCTTGTGTCAGCCGAATGCCCAAGATTTCTCTCACCTTATTCTGATGACCTTCCTGGCTTGGATGGGCCATCGTGCGAGGATATGCTGCTGTTTTTGATGCAAAGGCGTGCAAATGCAAAGACCAGTACCCAGTCTACGAACAAGTTGAATTTAATGCTTGATTTCACAGCTTTTCAGATGGGTGTGTGCACTTGGAGAGTCCGACCAGGACCCTGTCAAGGGGGCCATTTCCAGTGTCGCAAGCGCTTGGTCATCCATGGGTCTTGGAGGCGGTGATCCTTGGGCAAAGCTAGCTGTCAATGTGTCGCGGCATTTGTGGTGTTAGTAAAGCGGCTTGGCTTAGCCAACTGAGATGAGCACTCGCTTTGAGAAGTGCCTTGTTGGAGGATTGCTGGCCGTTTGAAGTTTGGTTGAGATAATCAGTTTCCCTTGATGTCTCTGACAATGAAACATGGCGGACGCATCCTTTTTTCACAGTGGTGTGATATTGGAAAATGCTGCACCCCATGCATAATCATAATGCCTGGATGTTGGCACCATACTGGTGGCATCGGGTCAGGTACGTGAGCTTGTCTCTGCCTTGTGCTACCACCTGGTGCTGGAAATGACGTGGCGGCCACAAAACACATAAAACACACTTGATCTTCGGTCGCTGAAGCCCTGAGAAGCCCGCTGGCCATTCGGCTCTGAGCTCTTCCGCACAGACTCGTCAGAGCTATGCCTGCCATGGCGTGGTACAGGGTCGAAGTGGCTGTTCGAAATTGTGACAGCTACGACGCAGGCGAGTGTGTCGTCTCCGACTGGGTGGGTTGCGACGGCTCGTTTCAGATGTGCTTGCGTGTTTATCCGCAAGGCATTGACTGTGAGGAACGAGACTATGAGAGTATGAGTGCGTATCTACACCTTGCGCTGCCTGACAAAGAAGAGGACCTGGAAGCAAATTGGTCGTGCCCCGATGTGGAGTTTGAGATCGCAGCCATACGGCAAAGCAGCAGCACTCGCAAAGAGTGTCGTACTAGATTCCTAGACGTGCATACATTCACCAGGGAGTTTGATAACTTTGGATGGCCAGACTTTCTGCGACTGTCGCGTCTCGATGATGAACCTGGCTGGTTGAATGAGAACGGTGAGATTGTAATAGAAGCGTCCGCGAAATTGCCACTGCCTGGCTCATCTGCTAGCCCAACCTTTCATGCTGAAGCCCCTGTCCCTGTCTCTTCTGTAGATTTGACGCAAGAGCCTTCGTTTGTGACATTCCATCTGCGCAATTCGCCACCCCTGCATTTCGACAAGCGCGTGCTTATGGCCCGCTCCGAGCACTTCAGGCAGATGATGTCGGAAGCGCGCTGGAAGGAAGGACGGACGAATGAAATCGATTTGACCTCTGATCCACAAGTGGACAGCCGCTCTTTGAGCTCGGTCCTTGCGTTCCTGATGTCCGATTGCTTCGATGCACACGGCGATACGGTGTTGGCATTTTTGGTTCGGGGACTTGCTGACCGCTGGGGCCTGCCTGCGCTTGTGGACAAGGCGGAGAGCGAGCTGGTGGGCCTACTGTGTGCTGACAATGCCTTGTCTTTCTTCGGGCAGGTCATGGGAACCCACGGTCGTTTGGAGCACGCTTGTCTTAGCATGATCCAAGCCAGGGACTGTGAACTCCTAGAGCAACAGCGTGACAGGCTCGATGGGATCATTCTGGAGAACCCGTGCCTTGCTGGACAGCTGTTCCGTTTTTTGCTTGGAGTCCGCCAGAAGAAGAGGCGTTTGTGTTAGCTGCTAGCCTGCTCGATCTGAGTTCACATACAGCACCGTGATGCGACGAAAAGCGTGAGTTGCCAGAGCAGGGGAAGGTATACGCAGCTGAAAGAGTGGTTGACACTTTACGGTTCGGCGGTCAAAATGTCTAGCTATGTTGAACTGCTTAGCTGCTTCCTTAACCCTGAGTAACCTACCTGAGTAACCTACCTTTTTAGGGTTCCTTGTTATGATTTCTTTATATAAGTCCTTAAAAATGTAGGTTCTTCGGGGTTAAGGTTAGCAATCTCGCCTGTAACCTTGCAGCCCTTGTGCCCAGCGGTGGTCGACCTAGCTGCGGCAGGTACAGAAAACCCCGATGCAGCATACACCCGCCCCCGCCCGGACACGGAGTGTCACTGAGGAAATGCTGACGGATTTCTTCGGAGGCCTTGGTCCTGGTCTTCCGGTTGCTGGCCCCTCCCGCTTTCAGGCAGACTGCCAGGAACTTGATACTTTGGGGGTTGTTTTGATGATTTCCAGAGGCTTTGCCTGTTTCGGTAGGCGCTGCGACATTCCCAGGTCCCTTCTGTTTGCCGTGATGATGCCATCACATCCATGAAGTGGTGGGCCAGGGAGTCGCAACCTGTTGGAGAGGCCATGGAATCGAATGAGGAAGCATCTAGCGGCATGCGCCTGACAAGGCATCACTTGATTGTGGGCTCCCTATCTGGTTGCCTTGCGATCGTGAATGTTGCCAGTCAAACGGAAGTCCGGCATTTCAATTTGGCTCCCATTGTGGGGCTGCAGCTCTGCAAATACCACCGTCAAGAGTGGCTACTGATCGAGACCACTGCGGAGCCTAAGCACTGGAAGCTTCTCTTGGCCACCACGATCGAACCTGGGCCGGCTTTGGTACCCGTTGCAGCGATTTCTCTTTGTAAAGGCAAGCTTGTCTATAAGACATCATCTGTAGAATCTGTAGTTCTGTCCATTCGACACGAAGCCAGTCGCGGTTGCACACGGCTTTTCTGGAAAAGCCATGGCAAACAGCAGCCAAACTGGCAGCAACTGTCCACACATGTGTCCGTTATCTGGTTCTGCTAGGCCGCGCAGTTTATCAAGATGCGCTGACAAACTGAGGGTTGTTAATTTCGGCCATGGAAGGAGATCTGCACCTTCAGGCCAATCCCAAACCGAACAAAACAGACACAACAGAGGAAAGGCCTGCCTCGAAGAGCAGCGATGGAGCGGAGCCGCGGAAACTGGAGTGGACCATTACCGAGGGCCAGGAGCGGCATGCGAAAGAGCAGACCTAGGCCCCGAAGCCTCAAAGCCCTACATGGACGCTCTAGACTACTTGGAGGTTCATGGGTAGTTATATGCAGGGTTTTAAGTAGGGTAACTATACTTGTATAACCCTTAATATGCATGGAGTGTTGGGCGTCAAGGCGCTCCCAACCTCTTCCAGCGAGCACTTCGAGTTGGAGCCCTTGAGACTTGGATGATCTTAGCTGTCGTAGCAGCAAGAAGATAAAGCACCACAGCTGGAGCATCAGTAATAGAGATACTAGTGCCGTGGGCATTATGGAAAGACATGTAGGAACAACGGAAATGGCAGGGATGGTCTGACTTGTTCGGGCACGAGTGACAAAAAATGGTAGGGATGGTGGGTTTCCTTTTAAGGCCTTGGGGTCTGCGTACACTGCACGAGACTGAGAGGGGGTTTGTGTAGAATACTGCATACAGTCTTGAGTCTCTAGTACTGCACAGCTTTTTTGACAATTGCAGACGTCATCATGTCAACAATAGCAGAAAGGAATAAGACACGGGCATCACATCAGTTCTATGTACAGTAGAGTAGTGGTAGTTGTCGTCGTCGACGTAGTCATGGTCATCGTCATCGTCGTCATCGAGGCAGTGGCGGTGGTAGGACAACCCCTGGTCTGATCGGCAGCAACAACACAAATGCCAACAGCAAATCCTGTATGCATGCCACAATTCACAGCAGTGGTAAGAGTAGTCGTCATCTGAACGGAATGTATGACCATTGTCACTCTTAGGATACACGAGTTGACAAGAGGCAGCAAGAACATCAGCGGGTGCTTATGATGGCAGCACTGAGGACGGGAATGCCTACGCTGTACATGCTCCTGGTTGTGAAGAGGGGCCGAAGTGAAGCGGTGCTGGAACGCGAGAACGAAGTCTTGGGAATGCTCGTGGATGAGGCAGATCCTGCAGACGGTGGAGACCACCAACTGAGCATGCTGCTTTCACTGCCGTCCTTCCCGGAGGACCTTGCTCTTCTGCGTCTGTACACATTCCCGAAGGTTTTTTTCAAAACCGTGGCCGGATGTTTTCCGGCAAGTCCCGCCTAGCCGCTAATCACTCCAAGTGTACTGCGCTGGCACTGAAGTCATTGATTTCGAATCAGGATCCGCTGGCCCGTGTGGATTTGCCGATCAGTGCAGCCCCACCTAGCGCAGCAGGCGCCTGTGCCAAGTGGATGCGACCGTCATGGCATGATCATCATCTGTCGGCAGCAAGAAGCGAACCAGCTTTGTCGGCCACATCTTCGATGGTGTCACATGATTATCAACTTCATTTCGCAATCATCTGTAAGACCACCAGCAACATCGCCGCCGTTGTCACCACCCTGGTCTGTCGTTTATATTCATCTCACATCATACCACCTCAGCAACATTACATCATCAGTGGTGACGATGATGATGATGATACTTGTCGAGCAAAGTCCCTTCCACCCTACGTGTGCACAGCCGGCTTCATCATGCCGTCACTAGTACACGACAAGGGTATCGCCACCACATCGAAGCGGGCATGCCTGTCTAGGTCTTAAGACCTACGTAGAATCTAGGCCAGTGAAAGCATACACCCCCCAGCTTTGCCAGGCCGCAGGCTGGTGGATCTAGTTCTTATTCTCGGCGGCGGCCTGTTCCTGTCGGTGCCTTGTTCGCTTTTCAGGAGATGTCGTGACGTGCACCGCCACTTTCAAGTTATGCAGCCCGTTTTTGGGCTGCCTGTGCACGCGGTCGGGGCAGTATGTCACGGAAAGCCAGCAGCTTCCATGTCAGCCGGAGCTGAAATCCAAGGTGCTCCACTTGGGTGGAGCCGAGTCGAAGAGCCTTGAACCTTGCCAAATCATGTCATGTAGAACCTTCTTGGAAATTTGTGGTACGCGGTTGGGCTTCTAGATTCCAGATTGGAGGTGCGTGCTCAGGTTCACTTGTCAGGGTTGGCTTCGCCGCAGCAACGAAGTTTCTGGCATCTGCAGCGCTTCGTTCAGCTTTTGAAATGGGTTTCTAGGACGGCCGGTCTTATCTTCAGCTCGCTGCTGCAAGGCAGTTTCTATTCTTGCACGGTGTTTTTCCCCGACGCGACTGGTTTCCATGCTTTTTTCGTGTTTCCGCATCATCTGGTCGTCTCAGATGCCCTCTAATTGGCTGGAACCTGTTCAAGGACACGCTACGTCCGAAGCGCTTAGATTCACTGTGGGCCTTGGTTTCTCTTGCAGCGGCTTTTTCCTGGATTGCATTCGCCCTTTTCCGTCCGCTTGCTGGCAGAGGTCAGCATGCAGGAAAGGCAGCCGCAGCCTACAATATACATGCAAATCTTCAAGTCAAGCACAAAATTCGGGCAGCTGCCGACATCCGAGCAACTCAGCGCATGTCGATGACATCTCAGGTGCTACTGACAACGGCTAAGCCACAGCCGTACTTTGCAGCCCGCAGCGGGCCCGTCAACATTGTCGTATTTTGGCCGCAAGACGCATGAGCCGTGATGGGCACGCCCTCGGGCTTTCAGGTGCTTCGGCCTTTTTGCGCAGCTGCCGGGTTAGGTGAGTGGAAGTGTCTTCTCGTTTTGGGCATCAAGGTTTTCTGGAGATTCTTGAAGTATGCGTATATGCACTGTCTCTAGGGTGTAAGACGCATAGTCCTTTGAAGTTTTCACGCGCGCCTGAAGAAAATAACATTGTACTTGTCTGACCCACAGAACCGAAGGTTGTATAGCGAGCGAAGCATCCTGAAGCACCATGCCCAGCCAGGTGCAAGAATTGGAGGTTTCCGGCCGCATCGTCGGTGCCTCCTCGGCATATCCCTCGTGGTCCGGTGAGGATGGGAGGCAGTGCAGAACCGATGGCGGTAAGTAGCTTGACGCGGTAACAGTAGGCTAGGCCGGTGGCTAGGCCATGAGGCGCAAGCTCTCACATCATGGTCGACTTGCAGCATTTGCCTTTTGTAGGAAAGCCTCATGTTTGCACAGGGAAACAACCCTGGCCTTCGTGTGGACCATGAACGAAGTTTTCCGGCTGTCTGCCTCGCCGGAGCGTGTTTGTGAGATCCTGCAGCACCTGGCCGCAATGGTTTGTCTCCGACACAGTTTCGGGCACAAGATCCGCAATGGGCACTGGGACCTTGCGCTTGCTGAGGTTCGAGTCGGTGGCGGCGCTGCCGACCCTGCTGACACAAGAAGCTGACGCTCCGGAACCTCTGGAGATTCAGGAAGGCGAGGTGCAGGATGGAAGGAGTGCAGCTTACATCTCATTACATGTCCTTGCGTGCCAATACGATTATACTTTTTACTATAATGATACATCGAAATTCATTTTGGTTTGACTCTCTCTGCAGGCCCAGCGCATGAAGTGCCTCGGATGGACCTTGAAGCTATGCTTCCGCTGCTGTGCTGGGCCTTAGATGTGCCACGGAAGCACTGCGGGCGGGGATAGGCTTTTAAACTCGATTCTGTATGCGATTAGCAGTGGAGGGGATCCTTGCCACATTTGAGAAGTCTTGCAGAAAGGTGGCCTGCTGGATCTGAGGTGGACATCGATGTGCTATTGCTTGATGCAGGACGCAAGGTGCTGTCCGGCAGGTCGGCGGCTGCCCCCGGACCCCAATGTCCCAAATGTGGCCTCCTCCTAGGCAGCTGCTTTCTTGGCTGCTTTCTTGTCTTGCACAAGCAGCTGCAGGCATATTACGGCCGATCCCAAACAGTGGTTGTAGCCACCGCGGCACAAGCAGACTCAAAATCAGCCTTGGATAGCCTTGGGGCGCTTCTCTGTGCCTTCCAAAGATGATGGCTGGCTTGCTGTTTTTACGGATGGGTCTTGGCATGCATGCTTCGCATGCAGCCGGTGATTTGCACAATTCATTCAAAGAAATTGTGGTGGCGGGTGTGTCAATGCCAGTGGGTATTATGATTGGTGGTGGGGAAGATCAGCAGTTGTTACAAGAGCTTTTCATCATCATGTGCCAGGAGTGGTTGGGATACCGTGCAGTACACCAGGAACGATATCTTCAAACAGATGAGCTCTTTGCACTACTTGGTTGCAAAGTCCCACTGGCAGCAAACATGGTGGATAAACAATGCGATGATCAAGACCATGCGTACCATGTTCACTTAGGCTTTGCAACTTCTCACCTTGTCCGTCCGGAGCTTGGGCCGGCACAAGCACGAGAATTGAGCTACGGATATCAGGAGGGAATGTTCGTGTTTTCGGAATCATTCCAGTCGGCAGCTAGGGACAACGTGCCGCTGCTGGACTTCAAGTCTTGGATCAACGCATCATTGGACCCTTCCTTCTTCAGCAGTATCGAAAGCATAGAGGCAGGGAGCATGGCGCCGTGTTCGTCCAATCAACGCTTGAACGAGGCCACCCATGTACAGAAGTTTTTGGCGGTGACAGGGGACAAAGGCGCGATTGACAACAGCACAATGAGTTTCCGGTGCTTGAATGATCTTTTCGTGTTGGGCCCTGGATGTAGAGATGCTGTCGCGACATGTGTGCCATACCTGACTTATGCAAGTTGGATGATGCAAGCAGCCATCCAGCGGATATTTGTGTACAGGCTGAGTTTAGCTTACGGAGAATTGTCGTCGTGGAGCGCATATACTCAAACTCCATACAACCATCGTGTGGTCATGTATTACTGGTTTCCCAGTTATGTTTTTGCTGAGCTGAACCCACCAATGGTCACATGGATGCCACACAATCCGTCGCAGTGGGGCAATGGCATCATGACGAGTGAGGCTGCGACATGGATGGTGGGAACATATGTTTCGCCAGCAATCCGCGAAGGCTATGAGGACATCTATAACCTGGCCTCCAACATGGATTTGCTGCCAGAGCAGATGCGGGACCTTCTTGCAGGGACAAAAGCAGCGGCGGACTCAGGTATGCCCCTTGCTGAAGCCCTCGCGGTCGCAGCCCACAGCTGGCTCAGCAAAAATACAGAGGTGATTCTGGCATAGTTGCCAAACTCCACTGCGGAGGAAAGCATTACCTTAACATGTGGCAGTCATGTGAATGGCTCATCAAGCAGATCTTATGTGTTCTGTCCTGGTAGACTTGCAATGGAAGTTGTTATCAGCACTTGCGGATCCACCGCTGACACCGCCTTGCAGATCCACGGCAAAAGGGGACATAGGGGACTCACCATGTCCTGCGATGATTGTGGTCAATGCGGAAGTCAAGCTGAGGTGAAGCTGAACGTGGAGCCCGCAGCATGCTATCATGTAGCCATCAGTCTGAGGGAAGGCGACTATCAGCTTTGGGCTTCCTGCTGTTCTGATGAGATGTGCGGTGGTCGCGGAAGAGCATTTCACACTAATTGGGGGCGAGGAACCGAGGACGAGGTGTGCAGCTGCCAGTGTGATTGGCCATATGGGGGAACATCTTGCGGGCAGGGCAGTGTCGCGATCCGCTGTTCGTCTATGTGGAAGGCGACTGCCGCCGGTGCCTGCCCCGGCTTCCAGTGGAGCTTGTGGCCCTGGAGGGCTCTTGGGTCGCTTGGTCTTCAGAGGTCGCTTACCCGCAGTGCGCGTTACAGGTTGAGCCTGTGGGCTGTGATGGTGGCACTGTGGATTGCGCCAGACACGTGAATATTCGATGTTTCGTTCAGGTCTTGCACCAGCAAGTGGGCGCATGTTGATGACAAGGTTGTTTTCGAAGTAGAAGGTGCCAGTTTTTTCCCGGGAGCAGTAAAGTGCGTTCCAAAAAGCATGTGCCCTGATGATCTCTGGCTGTTGAGCGCGCCGGTGCCGCTAATTGCCATGCTGGTGTTGGAGTGGTCGCCTCTCGCAGCATTCGCCTTGATGTACATGCTTGAGCTCTTCTCGAAGTTCGCGACAGACGCCACGATTCTCATAAGCGACGCCTTTGACTACAGCTCAGAGTACACTTTGAGCACTTTAAAGGATTCCCTTCCAGCCATACAGTCGTTCGTCAATGACCGGCTCAAGTCTACAAGTTACTCAGCAAGCTGCCCATTCTCCGTGGACCTCATCGGCCAGCGACTACAAGCTCTGCCCGACACGGTGGAGTTTATCGTGCTAGTCGGAACACTTTGTGGCAATCTCGGGTCTATCGATGCCCTGCAAGGTCGCAAGAGCCTGCTGCTCGGCAATGCGCACTTTGTGCCAGATTCTTTCATAGCATTTACAAGGGTCTCTCGCTGGACGCAACTGCATAGCATGAGAGAGGGGACTTGCAACCATGTTGCTTCATGGCTTTATGAAAAAGGTTTTTGCTCTCAGAGCCCTGTTCGTTTCTCGCCTACCGAAGCGAAGCCTTTTCACAGGATGCAGCTGTCCATAATGGGCCTTTGCCAAGGCATGAGATCAAAAGCCTGCTGTTTTGGCAGCCGATGTTCTATGTTTGTCGGCTCCAACAGTGCTACCTGCTACACACCTCTCTTGGAATCAGGATGGTACAATGTAAGCATTAGGTTCGCTGACGGTTGGAGTCACCAGCTGGACGGGAAGTTCTATGTGTTGCCTCCGAGCAGGCATCGGTTCTCTCCCGACATAACTTGGAACCGACAGCAGGAAGTATCAAAAGGTGTATTCTTCGAACATGATCGCTCGCTCACTGTCACCCACCTCTGGACTTCAGCTCTGTGCTATGAGCTGGTGGCCATAGGCCAAGATCTGGCAGTGATGGGACGAATTAGTCATCCATCCTGCGGGAGGAGTGTGGCTTTGCAGCTTCCTGATGTTCTTCCTGCCAAGCCCTTCCAGCAGCCCATAAGATGGATTGCTTTGCGGTGGAGCCGGAGCCGTGAGGAGCGGTTCCTACGGGATGGAGAGAGCTGCCAGATACCAGGAGGCAGTGGCTGGACCGACTTGGCCGGTCGAACTTCTCTTCGGCGCGATGGGATGACCTGGAGCCTGCACCAGCGACTGATAACGCTCATCAAGGCGGCCGTAGATGTGCAGGCAGCTCAGGCTGCTCGACAGGGCGGGCTTGCTGCAGTTCGCCAGGCACTCCAGGCAGTTGGCCTCCGAAGCTTTCACACAAAGGAGAGACGGGACTGCCTCGGAGACGAGAATCCAAAGAACTTGACTTGGCTGAGCTGCTTTTGGGCTTGGGGCTCGGCTGCGCGAGATGCCGGCCCACATCTGATCAGTGCAGGCTTCCACGAAGTAACTACAGACTGGACTTTGAGCAACGCCGTGCTTGGTGATGTGGTGGTGCTACCTCAATTTAACACAACGGTGGGTACGACTGATTCGTTCTCTTGCAAAGAGGGTTTCGTCGCCATCAAGCACTCGGACTTCGACGAGAGGCCTTGGGTGTCTGATATGTTTTATGCCTTGAACTTCTCAGGCTCCGAGATCGAAGCAGTCGGAAGACCAAGGCTGTACAGGCTTCGAGATGCAGAGCTACCCCCAGAACCGGAGGAGGAGTTCTACCCGCTGCCCATCAAGCATGCTGTCCTTAGAGAGGAAGAGCGCCAAGAGGCACTACGGGCCTGGTATGAGCGTCAATCGAGGAGCGTCTCTGGCTAGGCCAACTCGGTTGCGTTCAGTGCGATGAAAACCATGTGGCCCTGCCCCAAGATCCTTTCACCGCCAGGCATTGCCCCGTGGAGGCCTCGTGAGTTCCGCATGGTCGGAGGCGAACGTTCTTCTTCTGAGGACTCGATCCGCTGCATGCAGGCACGGATCAATGACAATGAATACAATCTTCGTTGCTGTTACAACGGGACGCTGGCGGCCGGTGGGACTCTTATCGGGAGCTGGCCGACGAGGATCAGCCGAAACCATGATGGTCGGTGGGAGCGCACGGAAGACACTGATGCTGAGGAGTTGATGTACAAGAGTGACGTTGCCGCAGCCTCGAATACCCACACCAGCGGTACCGTCACGCAGACCTTCACAAGCACAACCACAAGCACAACAACCGGTGCTCTGATCAGGTTCAATGGCATTGCCTCTGCCATTTCTGTGCGCCCTGGAATCGTAGATGTTCGCTGGGCACCCGCCGAGGTATTGGTGTCTCACGAGTCATTGGAATACTTCCTCCTGTATGCTAAAGGTAACGACAGCTTGGTCGTCGATGTTCAGAATAGTTCAAAGACAACAACTGTCTTGGCCCTCGGAGATGTTGTGAACACCTCTTTGCAGGAGGAGGCTGGCATCAGCTTACACATCCTGGTCTTAGCCGCCGTGCAGACTGACACGGAGGGTGGTGGAGGTGCCCACACGCATCTTTCTGGCAATCGGGAGGTGGCCCACGTTAAAACAGCTTTGGAGCCTGTTGCTGCAGTCCCGCTTCTCTGGGCCGATGCAAGTGAGACCCTGGCTGTCTTGGTGGCAGAATCCAACATTACTCTCAGCGGCACGGCTGGAACTCTGCCAGAGCTGCAGCCAAACACATACCTGAGTGGTAGAAGCAGTGATGGTGAAGACTTCCTTGTCTTCATAGAGAATATGTCGACGCAGCAAGACGGGCCCATGGCGATAATGACAGCTGTGACTCGGCCAGCTGGGCCTGAAGAGGTCTACGAGCGCTATCACATCAGTGCTGCCTTTGACCTTCCCCCGGACATTTCGCTCAACCGCCGCAACCGCCGGCTCGCGCCTCAGCATCCTCAGCAAATCCATGAGACTGCATCCATTCCAGTTGTAGACGAGGAGTTCCAGTTTCTTGGGGGCAAGTTTTCAGCCAACTGCGAAATCCAGCCTCATGCTACGCCGACGTTTGATTTTGACATCGGTCTTACTGGCATTGATTATATGCTGAATCTTACGATGAAGGTGGACATGACATGTCTCGTGAAATGGAAGGCCTTGAAGGCAACTGCATCCGCCACGTCTGCATCCGGGTCAATTCCCCTTCCGTGGATTCCGTTGCCCGGAGGTTTTCGGCTTGAGCCGAAGATCTCTGTCCACGTGCTTCTGAGCGGAGAGATGGCTGCTGGACAAGTGAAGATAACAGCTTCTTCCCAACGGATATGCACCGTGCGGCTTTCAAGCAATGGCTGGTCCTACACGCAGTCTGACGTGAAGAGCGACTTTGATGCGTCGCCTGATGCCTTCTCCGCCAAGGCGACCATGAGCTTTTGGGTCAGAGCAGGTGTAGCTCTGAAGTGGGCCGCTTGGGGTGCAGAAGCAGCAGTTGAACTCGGGCCTCGACTTGAAATGGACGCTGTTCTCCCCCTCAACCCCTTTTTGGTGATGCATGCGCCCCTTGCGGGTCTCCACTTCAAATCGTTTGGATTATACTTCGACGTCGCGCTGAAGCTCTATGGCCAGTGCTCCATTAAATTTCCCAAGTGGCTCAGTTGGCTAAAGCTTTGCAAAGAGCCAGAGGTTGTTCTGGCAAGTCTCAACTTTGCTCCAGTTCCTTTGCTTGCGCTTCCTGCTGCGAAGATCTTGGGTTCTCCGTCCGCAGAAGGGCAGGTGGCGTTGCGATCTGAAAAGTACCTCGCAGATGCACTTGCTGATCATTTCTGGCTGGTGGATTCGAAGACGATGCAGATCGTGGGCGGGTTCCAAGGTTCCAGTATCCTGCTACAGGGCTGTGATGATAAGAACGAGGAGGCAACAGTCTACTACTTTCGAACGATTCCGATTCTGGGTTTCTTCTCGAGCATGGACTCTCGAAAAGTCGAGTGCGACACGACAACGACCACCACTGCCTGGCCAGAGCCAGAGGACACAAACCAGCCGTTCAGTCCAGGACTAGGATGGCGGCGGCCCCGCGCGGCTGGAGGTGGATTTGGTGATCCGCATTGCCTGACCTATGACGGCTTTCGTTTCGAGTGCAATTTCTTGGGCGAAGCACTGTGGACACGGTGCGGGAGCTTTCAAGTACATGTGATTGCAGCGCAGCTCAACGAGGACAGCCGTGCCACGGTCCTTACACACCTTGCAGTGAAAGAAGGGCGGGAGGTTGCAGTGGCCCGGCTTGGAGCATCCAATGGCTCTGGTTTCGAGTTCTACCTGGATGGACAGGAAGGCCAGCTCATTGGTGAGAACATGTCCATCGAAGTCGAAGGCGAGTCTTTTTGGTTGGAGACAGCTCAGGGCCACCAGGTGTTTGTGACCTTCCACCCAAACCATCTCTCTGTGCAGGTACGACCAGCAGAGGACTGCTTCAACATCACTGAGGGCCTGCTAGGCAACAACAACGGCGATCCTTCGGATGATTTGCGGACGGCTACTGGCCAGCTGATCCCGACCCTCGCTGAACCGGTTGAGGTATTCCAGAAGCATGTCTTATCTTGGTGCATCAGCAGCGCAAGAAATTCTCTTTTCGCTCTCGAAGATTTCCAGCCATGCGATCGCAGCTTCCGGCCTGTCTTCACCTCAGACTTGAACATGGAAGCTTGCCCTGCAACGTGTGCTGGGAAAGCCAGCTGTTGCCTTGACTGGAGCGAATCGGGAGAGGAGTTTGCGCGGACCGCGCTTGAAGATCAGCAGGGGATCGAGGAGGCGCAGCTGTTGGCAGTGCCATTCAATGCCACAGATCCTCCCATGATCCTTCTCCCATCACAGGTCTGGGTGACAGAAGCCGTGGAGCCCATTTTGCAAATGGAGGTGTTTGTGGTTGCTGCAAACAGCACTAGTGTGGCAGAGGTCAATTGCTCAATCTGCCCCGGCAATGTGTATGGAGATGAGTATGATGTAAACTATGATGTAACATGTGAGATGAGCGGGCGAGGTAAGCCGGTGGCCAAAGTCGCCGTCATTGCAACCACTCTCCCTCTGGAAACTGTGACTTGCACTGCCGTGGATGGCCTGGGTTCCATGTCTCTAGCCGCAACCAGCGTGCTTGGTATCAGAACGACGACCACGGCAACCACGAGCACCACTTCGCTAAGTGAGGGCAGCTCGCAGGGCATTGCTGAGATTCCTGCCGTCTTGGTGGCCATCGTTGCGGCATGCCTGGTGGTATGTGGAGCGACGGCTGCTTGCTGGTGGTGGAAGGTCAAGGCTGCAACGGGTCTCACACCAGCTCAAAGAGGTGTTGGAAAGCTTGAAGCCCAGGATGCGCAGGACACCGAGGTGCAAATGGCGGATGCAGAGGAGGCTCCCGGAGGTAATGAGGCAGAAGAAGGCGCAGTGCAGATCAATGTGGAGCTCATGCCAGAGGCCGAGATGGCGAATCTGCCGGCTGAGGAGGTCACTGTCATTGAGAGGGTGCAGCCGTCCACGGCACAAGAACCTGGCAACAGGTCTGCAGGAAAGCCGCGCTGCATTGTGGCCATTTGATGCCACCGTGGCGAAGCGGCACGACACCGTTCGTTGACTGTGCTGCTCAGAAACCTCGCCTGACTTTGTCGAGTGCGAGTGACAATAATGCGGGCACAGCTCAGCAATCCCTGGATGCAGGTGGGAAGAAATTGGTGCAAAAGAAGTTCGTTCGGCGCTGGCCTTGTGGGGACGTCGGTCCAGCGAAGGGGTGCTGGGCTCATTCTTACTGCTGTATCTTTCAATGGTGACCGCCTCTGACAGAGACGGTTTAGAACTGTGTAGGACGGCAGTCGGAACCTAGACTCTTGTTGAGCTTAGCGTACGCTGTGTCTGGAATGATTCTGGTTGCCAGCTGTTGCGAGGGTCTCGTTTCCCGTACTAGAGCATCGATCCCCCACCGACAGCCTTTTCAAACACGCTTACTCGGGAGATTGGCCTTCTCTCGTGTTATACAACTCTCGCCATCTGGAAAGGTGCCCTTGCGAGTGCTGCTGGAGTGCTTCAGATGCTCAGCTTTCTTCCAGAGGGATTCGAGGAATGCGTTGTAATCCTAAGTGGGGGTGTTCTTCATTTTGCTACTGTAGCAGCAGAAATGGTATACTCAAATGCTATTACCACGCGTACCTTGGCGAAAACCCTATACCGTAGCTTCGAGTAGGTCTTAGATGCAGCTGGTTGGTGCCAGTGACTGAAGCCAGCGCATCAAGCTACGCAGCAGCACTGAGCCTGAGCTGTCCTTTCCGCCAGTTTTCCCCAAGTGAAACTTCAAAACAATGGTCAGTTACGGTTGCTGAGGCGACCTGGGGCAGCACAGCGGGACGATGCAAGAGGTGGCTCCTGGCATCCTGCAGGCGATGGCTTTCTCAGTGCGCATCTCGCAGTTGATGCTTAATTTCGTAGGCTTGAGTACTCCTGTTTCGTCGCTGGCATGGCAAAATTTTTGCCTTGGAGACGCGCCGTGTGAGACCCCCATGTTGTGTGTTGCCTGTCGACCATCTCACTTCGTTTGGAGGTGCTGATGCCACACTGGCCGCAGGCATCCCGGAAGAAGAGTCGGGGGCAGGGGATCGTCTCCCCCTGTCCGAGATTTCCGCTGCTGAAAACTGGATAGTTCTGCGATGCGTGGCAGATCTTGCTAAGTCAGCTTTCCAGCCATTCTCTGCTGCAGGTGGCGGGGCGCCTTGCAGCACTCCATGGCATGTCGGGACGTGACTGGGATGAGGAGGTACCGACACACGCGCTGCCTCCAGCGGAGACATTCTGGATTTGGTTTGGATGTTTGGGAAGTTTGGGAGCTGGTTTCAGTGGTGACTTGCTTGCACTGCGGGTGGGGCCGCAGGGCCGGATGTCATAAAGTGTCCAATCACATGCTTTCTTGCGACAGTGAGGGGTTACGGTCTCCTCAAAGGAGGCCGAACAGGCCTTGGGCCTTAGTCGACGTCCTAGCTGGAGACCTCCCCACCCGTGCGAGAGTTTTGCAGGGAGCTGAATCCGGGCATCCGCCCACCGGACTGTCGGATGTCGCTGGGTTCCTGTCCCTGGTGGTGATGCTGCTGGCTGCTCGGCACATGCCCGGACCTTCTTCCCCCTTATTGAAACAGGTATTAAATAGGGCTAAATAGGGCTCATGGATACAGAGGGCGGCACAATCCTGTTACCCATGAGGTCTTTGAGCACAGAGTGTCAAGCACAGTTGAGCATGTCCTGGCTACCCAGCTGCATGTACATATGAATATGGTGCTCTCGTGTTGGCGTCAGCTATTCGTCAGTCTTGAGTCTGTGCAAGCCGCAGGAGCTTGCGAGCCCATGCCCTCGTCTAGACTTACTGTTCAGGCGACCTAGTTTGCTTCCCGTTCGATTTGTGATCAACTGCTGGAGTTTGCAGGTCGTTCTACACTGCCGCGCTTTTCGTGACGGACCTACCGAGTGCCGCTGCTGAATCTTTGGTTGGGCTTGCACACGGACTTGCACGAGCTTTGCTTGTCTTCACAGCTGGCCCGAGCTGTCTAAAGCCTTTTCATGAGCACCAGCACTGCATGCTGGAGCCTACGGAAGAGATGCTTTGCAGGCTTCCAGAGCCTTCTGATACCCCTTCGGCACCTACAAGCCCCCTCTCGTGCATTCAGCTATGCTGCAATGACCGCTATGACTTGAGTCAGGTACAAGCGAGGCCCTCGCAGCCCCAAGTCGACGGGTCCAAGGCAGCTGTCGATTGCTGTTTGGGTTCCCACATTTGCACGTGAAAGGTCGTCTCTTACGTTAGCATCTTGCCAGCGAAGTCCTTGGATTTCCGTCGGATTGACCGCACTTCCTGCAAAGATATGCGGCATTCGGCATGCGCCGGACCCATGGAATGTTGTTGATGCTTCATGTTGCTTCAGACCTCTCCATATATGTTCCCCGAATCGTTTTGGACACACGCAGGGGCCTCCATGTCTGAGCAATCCGGCTTGAGAATTTAAGCATGTCATTGCCACATTCGAAGATCATTCATCTCGAGTATCGAGAAGCCTGTTACGGCCACATTCCATCACCCTCCAGCTTGGCAGTGTTTGGGCCGCGTAGGTACATGGCGTGTTTAGCTATATATCTCGTTGATTGCATTCTCTGCTAGTCGAGAGATCTGGCATTCTGTGCTGGTGCAGGGACATGCGCGGAGTGGCATGGCAGACGTGGGTGCATGATCACGTGACATTGATTGCCCCTTGGATGTACTGTGCAACTACTGCGTAGTGTGATCTCGGTCAACTCCCAACGCCACGTCAGAAGCCACGTCATGGAGAAGCAGCAGGCTGACTTTGCACATCCAGCCTCCCTGAGCGAACGTGGACGTCAGAAATGGACACGAATGTGTCAGCAACTGCCTCACTAAGGTCAGTGGCGCTCGTGGGAAACCACCGGTAAGCTTCGCAGAGCTGGCGGACGAGGTCCAGCAGGCGTTGGATGTTTCACCCTGGGACTGTCCTCAGAGTTATTTGGCAGGAGTCGGTTTGGGACGGGTTTTGCGTGCTCGCATGGCAGGGAACGGACAGGTCTTAAGTAGCTTTACAGTACAGAGGCATACTTCAGGATATTGATGGAGCGAAAGCACGACAGGCTTTCGATGCGTGGTGGTTGGCGCAGCTGCGCCACTCTCTCTGCTGAAGGGAAAGAGAGGGAGCGTGAGAGAGCGAGAGAGAGCGAGAGAAAGACGGAGAGAGAGAGAGAGAGTGTGTGTGTGTGTGGACCTCTGTTACCAAGAGGAACCGTTTTTGAAACACGTTGGACAGTTGTGCTGAATTACAGAAAATTGCAGGGGGCAGAGGGTCTCATTTCACGGCCTCTGCCAACGAAGCTCCGTGATATTGAGACAGGTAAACGTACCTGCAGTGGTCGGCATGGGCACTTTCGTGCAGCTTGTGACCACACAACTGTTGATTGCGAGTAGGAGTGCAGTGCAGTTTCATGTGCATGTCTGGGAGATTTTGCTTTGTACAGTGGAAAAGTCAGAGATCAAGTGAAGATGAGCCTTGAGGCCAGATAGGTACCGGACCCCCTGGAAGCTTCATGCTTTCGAGATACATCAAGCTGTGCTTGATAACCAGATTGATTAGTGGCTGCGCGATGGATGTCTAAGTGTGTGCGCGTGTGCGCACATGAACTGGCCCAGCCTGTTACCGCAGAGGGTCACATCTTCTTTTGCGAAAGGGGTTTCGGCATCGCAGATTGGATGAACGCTGACAACTGCTGGAAACAAACAAAGTAGCAACCTCTGGCAGCCGGGATACGGGAATGTTTTCTTTACATAGGCCCCGACATATTTTCAGCGAGCCAGTTCGAGCCACAGCTTCCCAGCAGGAAGACTGAGGAAGACTTGTGCTTCAGTTGATCCGAGCATGAAACCACTGTATCCAGCAACGGCTTCCCGTCTGGGAATGCAGTTCAGCAGCTCTGTGCTATTCCATGTTCGATGGCTTTCGATTGCGAAGTATTGCAGCCCCAAGTTCAGAGCCCCTTGTTACCTGATGCAAGTAAAGCGAATTCTCGCTTCGTTCTTGCCGTCCTCTTTCGGCACTCCTCCCCATGCCTCTGCGGTATCCTACAGTGCATGTGCAACATGGCTGGGCATGTCGTAAAGGCAAAGGTGTGCTGCACAGATTGTCTGTCTGTGTTAAAGGCCCGGGGCGAGAGCTCCAAAAGCAGATTGAAACTTGAAACACTATTTTGGGCTTGTTTTCCGTATTGGCCTTGGATGCCGTATCGCCCCTGGGTGCCTCCACACGCAGTTGCAGGACGAAAAGTTTCAGTTGCTTCTTTCCATTTGTGTTAGTTTCTCACTGCCATGCTGGCCTTGAGGGGCAATACAGGGACCTAAACAATTACCGATACTTTTTTTTGGGGGGGGAGGGCTCCTTAGTATAATTGTAGCATAATGGGCCCCAAAACCCCATTTAAACTATTGAGGCCCGTATATTAACGGCAGCCTTGCCATCTCTCCTACGTGCTCGTATGCAGGGGAAGGACAAAGAAGTTGCAGTTGTTTTCCTTCGTGCCTTCCTTCTGCTTTCTCGTCACAGGTTGCTGCGTGCTACTAGAAGCTTGCTGCACTGCACCGCTCACAAACTCCCTCCTTGCCATTTTTGGTACACGGACTACTTGGTCGACACCTTGGAGCAATTGGTCTCAACATCAATCTGTCCCAAAAGGGAGGTGCCAATGTGGGTTTTGGGGATTATGGCTCTGAGGGCCTGGGGTTGTGCTGTATAGGAGGCCGCGCTTTTTGGTTTCATCGAGGGTTCGGAAGTGTGCACCGCCTGCTTTCCACTCTGTGGCATACTCTGTGGGATCCTTGATGAACCATCCTCACAGCTCAGGCGAGGTCCGGGCGCCCGCAGCCTCCGAGCCCACGGAGTCCAGTCCACGTGCTCCCCTGAACCTGGGCAGAAAATTCGGAGACTGAGTTCCAGGAGGCTGCGGCATTTTCATGTTTGGATGGAGGAGAGGGGGCTACTGTAGCCAGCTTTGTGCCCAGTGCAAGGGCTTTGAATGAAGCGCGGCTGTAGCCAGCTGAGTGCATGGGTCGGCTGAACTTAGAGATCCACGGCATGATCCAGAGAATGCTCGAACCGACCAAAGTGCCTTGCACCAAATCTTCCGCAACGACTCCAGAACCATATTGCGCGAGGATGTTTGCAGTTGCAGCCGAGGCTTGCGGCGCCTCGTCCTGCCGGTGAGGCCAGGTTTGCACCAGATGCTATCGTGATGAGACGAGACCAAACATTTTGGGGGTCTGCACGGTCCCTGCTGGCAGTGCCACGAGAGATTTAGCAGATTTTAGCAGCGTTGTGGCTGGATTCCATGGGGCTTCTGCGGCGGACTAGGTCGCTATCCTTTGACTGGACGGACTGCTCGTGGCAATAGCAGCGCATGCAGCGGACACTCGACTAAGACAAACACCCCAAGGAGTCGCCACCTCGATGGACTTGCTCACGTCCTTACCGCACCTTTCCGCATGAAACAGCGTGGCATCGTGCACGCTCTCCCGTGCCCACAAACATGACCACAGCCCGGGCCTACACTGTGAGGCGATCGTCGCAGAGCAAACTGGAGTCGTCTTGCCCAACCCACAGATCCAACCGCAAACCCTGCCTGACAACGCGACGAGCTTGCCGGGAACGTTTGCAAAGGTTCCCGGGATCGCTTGCTGCGCAGAGTGCGGCCGTGTCTGCCCGAGCAGAGTCAGCAAGAAAGCCGCACCACCTGGCTTCTTAATTTGCATTCGCTGCATGGTCCCGGAAGTCTCGAGAACGAACATGAAGTCCTTCAGCAAGGACCTATTTCTGGAAGCTGACTGTCACGAACAGACAGGGATGTCGTAGCACTGCAGATTGTCGTAGATGTTGCCGGGTGAGTCGAGAATTGCTGCATACATCCCGCAGTCCTGGTAGAAGTTTCTGGTGTCTGACAGAAGAGTCATGTCACTATGTTGTTCGGACTGTATAACTTTAGGTATTGGTTACAGTTGCGACAAGCAGCCTGGAGTTTGCGACCTCTTCAAATCGCTGCCCTGGATCTCTCACAGATTGCCACCAGGCTCGCATGCTTCGAGGCTGCTGGACGGCCCGGCTGCTGTTGCAACCCGGCGTGGAAGATTTGTGTCTGGCTTTGTGGGAAGGCTCTGCTACATGGTTGCATGGGGCTGAGATGGGCAAGAGTGCATGCAGCGGCATACAAGCTTGTTTCTCCCGTATGCCCGAGGCTGAGCCAGATGGCTGCCCAAGGGCCACTGCGAGACAGCTTCACCTCGCAGACCTGGGCAGCAGGCACCTGGGATGGTAGAAGCCACCTCGGGCCAAGACTGGTCTGCGTTAAGTCGAGTTTGTGGCAGCTTCTTGGACAATAGTCACAATGCTTTCAGGGAAAATCTTCCCGAAACAAAGTTGAAAGAAGCAACCGAGTTGGAAGCCACCGGAAAATTTGCAACGAGCTGGTTTGTTGCAAACTCCAGTATCTGGCTTTGGCTTCTGGCTGCAGCGGCTGCACTACGCTTGTCAGTAAACTGGTGCTCTCGGTCAGTCAGAAGGTGTAGCCGCAACAGAGCGTTCTTTTTCGTGTTGGGGCACGCTTCTTGCAAAGAGGGCCTCTGAGAGCTGGCGGTGAGGCCTCCTGCACTTCGGGGACAGCCGGCTGACGCAGGGCCTCTTGGCGCTGTTGCTACGCGGAGCCACGGCAACTCAGCCCAAAGTTGTAGCAAGAAGTTCGCATGAAACAAGCTGTCTTGTTGGGGTGTGTTTTGGTCGATGCAGGGAGGGGATTCCGGTGGTAGGCAAAAGGATTCAGAAGGGTGCGGCGAAACACTGGGACTTGGAATGAGCGTTGCAGGTCACGACTAGCTCAGAGGAAGGCGAACTTCGAACTCTGGACCTGGCCTCCTCCCCACGCTTGGCCCTGACCTTGGCATTCATACTTCTGAAGAGGAGCAGGGAAGTCCCGTCTTCCCGGGCCAAGCTGGTTTACTCGGTTCTGTCGGCGTTGCTGGAGACGTGCCATTCAGACGAGATCGAAGGGGCCGGAGGGGGCTGGACTGCTGGCCGCGGCCGAGGGCAGACAGATGCAGATGCCAAGTTGGCCGGGCAGCTTGCGGGGCCAAAAGCAGCGCTGGACCGCTTGTTCGAGCCCGAAGGCGAAGGCGGCGATGCGGAGGCTGCGGAGGCCGCAGAGGACGAGGACCAGGAGGGCTCATGGAAGCCTTGGCTTCGGCTTTTCCTCTGCATTGCTGACCTTGTCCGGGGCAGGTGCATTGAGTGCAGCACCCTTTGGGCCTGGGAGCTTGAAGGTCCTCCGCGGTCGGTTGAATTCAGCGATCCCTTGGCAGATGGAGGCCAGGCGGAGTCCATGGAGATGCAGGCAATGCAGGCGACCGTCATATGCTGTCCTCTGGCCAACTGGCTGATTCAGAACTGTCCCACTTTCACTGCGGCATCCTGGGAGGGGCCAGATGTCGAGGCTACGGAACCCGAGCACCGAAACTCAGGCAGCTCCTTTTTGGCTCTTGAGCCGGAGAGCTTTTTGGAGGTGTTGAGCCACGGTACTCAGTGGGAGGTGGGCGAGGACCCCACGCCGCAACAGCTTGGACAAACAGATTGGTGGCCCACGATGGAGGCACAGAAGCCAGAGGCCATCCCAATGTTGTGGGCTGAGTTGATTACTTTTTCCGTTGCTTTCTGACGACAGTTCGTCCCTCACCGTAGCGTGCAGGTCCTGATACCTAAGGTTACTTCTGGCCATCATGGCTACTCAGCGACCGTGGGTTTGGCAGCTGCCCTGGAGCACCAGATTTCGATTCCATTTAACTCACGCGCTCTGCTTGATTAAGGCAGCAGCTGCAGGCATGGAGACTTAAGCGATCGTCGCGTCGATGACATGCCGACATGCCTTGCTGCATTTCGAAAAGTCCCTCCCGAAGTCCCGGACACAGAACGTGAAGAAGAGCGAGCGTGGCCGATCTCAAACTTCTGGACTGGCCGAGAGCGCTCTTCGAGATGCGCAGGGCTGCGGAGTGGCTGTCTTAAAGTTTAAAGCACCCAGCATGCGACGACCCGACGGCTGTGGAGGGACTGCGGCTGTGCCATGGTCCGCTTCGACGTGGAAGCCTTGGCCCGGCACCGACTCGGCAAGCGTAAGCCGGTCGCTTTAGAGCGGCTGCTCCGCACGAGAACTCGCATCAGCTTGGCTGACTGAGCTGGGGCGCAAGTTGTGTGTTGACGGGTTTATTCCTTCGTCCTTCGTATTTAGGTGTACACTTGTTTTTTGTGTTTTTGGTTGCACACGTTGCCTTAGCTACCCGGTTTTCGGCCATGCACGCCAAGAAATGAAGCAAGTGGCTGTGGCCTGCAAGAGCTGATGCCTGGCCAGTGTACCTCGAAGACTGTCGAGGACCTTTACAGACGGCCAGACCTGCAAGGAAGCCAAAGCAGCGCCTCAGGATTTGACATCAGACGGCCTGTGACGGTCGCAAAAAAGCTACGTAGACTCTGCCACTGGATGCACCAGCTCTGCTGGAGTAAGGCTCTGGCGGAGCAAGGACTTCAGAAGACTAACCTCGAGGCAGAGGGACGTCTTTCGCAGCCAGCAGGGAATGGTGTGAATCTAGCAACAAGCAGTCGCAATTCTACACGGCTAGCATCAATGGTGTCGGCTCGTTAGGCGTCGCTTGTTCGGCTGTGTCCCGCCTCGCTGCCCCAATTTGCCATGAGGCCGTTATAATACTACCCGAAACTGCGGGGGTGCCACGTTCAACCTTTCGACGAGAAACATGGAAGAACGTTTTCAACAGCCTCTCAGAGCGACTGAGCGGTTCTCCCTGTGGGAAGTCCCTTTTGCTCAAGTTCCTTGACCTTTCGGCCTTGTTTATAGGTGTATGGCGTCAGCTTGAGCTTGTACCCTGATCTAATCTCGGCCATCGGGGCTATGTCGGCCATGTCGCCGTCCAGGTCTTTGTCTCTGACGATGTGGCTACCAGCACCGAACAGTGGCTGCAACTGCTAATGCTGTTCGTACTTCTGTTTCCACCTCCTACTCCGACTGTGCTGGCGCACGCTGCGCCTACGACGACGATTACTTACATGTACTACTGCTGCTGCTTCCCACCACCACCACCACCACCACCACCACCACCACCACCACCACCACCACCACCACCACCACCACCACCACCACCACCACCACCACCACCACCACCACCACCACCACCAATTACTTCCTGCAGTTCCCTTTGGGCATCTTGCTTACTAGCATTGCTTGTAATTGCATTGATGTTGCTACCAGTGTTCTGTGATTTATGACTGCCTTTCTTGTCGACCGCTGCCAAGCCTTGGCCGTGACAGGCTTCCTCCAAATGCTTCCAGGGGCAAGCCGAGGTGTCCCTTCAGGGAACTAGGGACTTGATGTTCAGATAATGGGTTGGGATGTAGGCTTGACAATTGATACTTGGTGGTCATGGCGATAGATGCTGGGTTTAAGCTCTGTGGGCCTGAGACAAGAACAAGGCCAGGGCTTTGCCGATGCAGTGGTCAGAGTGTTCTTCCGCGCTGTGTTCTCACTCGTGCATGGAACGAGCCCTTGGTAGCATTATGAATGGGACTGTGGTGCAGTGACACCCATGTAGAGTCTCGTTGTAACGTTCCTCTTTCGTTGGGTGTTGCATATTCATGCAAAGGTAATATGCCATACAACAGCAGGACGCTTGTTGCGCAGGGTCTTGGCTTCGAGTTGGCTCCGATTGTGGACACGTAGGACACTGAGAGCCACCCTGCGGTGCTTATTCCCACTACATCACTTCTTCTGAAGGCAATCATCTAAGTTCGCTACGTAGCCGCTACGGGTCTGAAGTGGGGAGACTTGGGTCGTCTTGTTTGTGAGATATGGTACAAGCTCTGGTTCGCGCAGGTCTCACAGCTGGATCAAACCCCTCCAGTTGTGGTGCCCCTTTGAGATTTGCCAGATCCTGGCCAAAGACATCGATCAATCCAAGCGACAGGTGCAACTGGCTGCTCTTGGCTTGTGCTTGCTACATTTGGCTGTGGGTTGGGGTTGACAGGTGACTGAGTCCGTCGTCGTGAGAGAGAGAGAGAGAGAGAGAGAGAGAGAGAGAGCGAGCATGAAACCTATTGCCACCCGCAACTGTCGGGGGCGCACAAGCGCGCGGCGTAGGGGAACTTCCCCTTCGCCATAGCCCTGGCGAAAGAAAAGAGAGAGAGAGAGAGAGAGAGATAGTTCCACACTTGTGTTGTAACCTTCGCAGCATAAGCAAAGTGTTGATCCGGCCCCGCGGAGTACTTTCACACTTAGTGCACGTAACACCGTGCAATCCTCCAACAGACTGCTTTCGCGGGGCCATGCCCTCAAGCCTGGTGAAAGAGAGAAAGAGAGAGAGTCCTTCTGTATCTGAGCGGTAGGCGCAGCAAGAGACACCAAATGGAGGTGCTGGAATTGAGAAGCTCGTTGGCGGGGCGGAAGGTGCACAGCTTTCCATGTAAATCACTTGGCTAGCACACCGAGACTAACTGTCAAGGCCTTTTGTGTAACCGAGCTCCTATTTTCACAAGCATGTGGATTTCCCATTCCCTGACCTAGATCTAGAGCTAGGGGCAGGAGCGGCTCTTGCATGCTCTGAAGGCTGTTCTGGAAGAGAAGGAGAAGTCATTGAAGATGGAGGCAGCGTACGGTGCGTCGAGTGCCCTTGACTCTCGCTGTCTCCTGGCCAGGTTGTTTGTTGGGTTTGCAGAAGCTCAGCAGGACATAGTAATCGTTGGCTGACATACAAGCTGTGCGGATGGGCCGAATAGACGAGTTGCTCTGACGGCCCGTGAAAGCAGCATCCATCTCAGCAGCAGGTTGGCTCGCCGCATAGAATTCCGCGCACTCAAGAGCCACCACACTGCAGGAAACAGTTCGCGTGGAGAAGGAGGCCGGCCGAACTTTGACACGAAAGGGTCGTTCAGCTGTGGACTATGAGGCACTTTGATTTGGACACATCCAAAGACTCTTCTGCGATACTGACACTGCCCAGATGGTGCAGCGCGAGCAGCTGTCAGCCGAGCTGGCACGGAGCTTGGGCGCCAACGTCGTTTCGTCTTTAGGGCCGCAGAATTACTCGTCTCGCATTCCAACCGGGGCGGAGGTGCAGTTTAGGTTCAGTCGTGAGTATTCGAGGCCTTGGGTTCCAGGAGGTTACATGTAGTATTGGTCGCGGTAGTGGTAGTGATAGCCGTGGGGGTAGTCGTAGTTGTCGTTGCAGTTAGTAGTAGAAGAGTGGCTCTGCCCGGCAGGACCAGACCCGAACGAGCTTAGCCGAAGCCAAGGCCGTCCTGGAGGCCAGGAGTTTTCGCGCCCTTCATAAACACCCCGGCAGCAGGGCTGAGCCTTCGTTTCGGGGTTATGCCCCCGGAGCGAGAGAGAGTAGGCGAGAGAGCCCGATTCGTCGAGAGCGAGTGACAGAGAGAGAGAGAGAGAGACAGAGAGAGCTGCAAAAATCTATAATATGTATATATATATATATATATAGAAAAATATATGGATTTATAGATGTATGTATGTATGCATGTGTATATATATATATATATATATATATATACATATGATGTATGAAGATTGATCGTGGCAGGGACACTGTGAATTTGGATTTGTAAGAACTGATGCTAGGTCCATCCAGCTCTGACGGCAGACTTTCGCAAAAAGCTGGGCGCGAGAGGATATTTCCCCCCCCAACTAACAAGTCCCAGTTCGGATCAGCGAAGATGGAAACCATCTCAGCAAGAATTTCCTTGTATCACACCGCGAGGTCTCCAAGCGACGCTTTGACGAAGTGGAAGAGAAGGGTCGAGAGACCACGAAGCGCCTGGAGATGGCCAGGGCCCGAACTTGATAAGGGGTGTTTTTAACAAGCGGTGATTTGTCCTGGGCATCTTCCAGCCCGCTTGCCTGCATAAGGAGACCTAAGACTAGAGGATCTCATGCACCGTCAATGCTGTTAAAAGATGTGCACTTTGCAGGTTTTCGCCGAACGCAATCAATGTCGTGCTGGAGCTGTAGCAACCATTGCAGTGATGCCGTGATGTTTACATGTACATGTTTGAAAGGTGCGAGAGGAACTACATGGGCTTCGCGCAGAGGCCGAGCCTGAGCCAAAGATTTCGACACTCTTGGACCGTGCAGGTGACTTCAACATCAGAATAAGGCACTCAAAGGGTGGAGGGAGCGCAGCATTCGAGACCATGTGGTACCACCTAGCGTCTTGCTTCATCCGAGTGCTGTCGCTGTGGAGCTCTAGCAAGTCAAGGCCGCCGTAGAAACGTGCGTGGTAGGAAGCACTCGGACTGCGCTCGTTGGCCTGCCAGTCGTGTAGTGAGCAGCGTCCTTGTGCTCCATGCAAGTACTACTACAGCATTTGAAGTCAGAGTAGCTTCAATGTGGCACGGAGCAGGATGGCGAGTCTCCTGTGCGTTCCACTGTGGAGGATGTGCGGCCCTTGCATAGTTTACACTTCTCTAGCAATCCCTGTAGACGAGACGCGGCCACTCCCTCCACTGCATGTCGACAACTCGATTTGGCCAAAACCCGGTATGGGATGATGTCATTCCCCCCTCGTGGTGCTGATGAAAACACCTGAGACAGTGTCATGGTGCTTGGTGCCTTGTAGGGCTTCGACGGGCTTTGTTGTTATGCCGCTTCTTCCAGTGCTGTTGTTCCGAGCAATGCGTGACTACTTTTGTTGGTACCTTTGGTTGGTACTTTCGGAGTGGTGTTCTAGCCTACGTCCTATGTATTGCTAGTTTCATTTCTGTGTTGGGTATTCTCGTGTGCTCATTCTTGTTTGCACGGGTGTTAAACCGAGTTGTGATAGTCAGTTGCTAGCTATGCTAGTTCTAGAGTCTAGAGTTTTTATTAACTGCAAGTTTCATCTTGGACTTAGGCAAAGGCCATCCTCGCGCAGAAGACAGCGAAGCTTAACCAGCAGACGCTTCAGGCAGACTGCAGCTGTTGTCACTGCGACTTGTTGTAACCAGTCTCCCGTTGCTGATCTTTTCCACCATGCTATGTAACCCGTACTCGGTAACAGTGCCATGCGAGGCGCTACCCGATGTGGCTTCAAGAACAAAATGAACTAGCAGACAAGTCGAGTGCGAACAGCTTGCACAACTTGTCGCTCCCTGCCTCTGCAGGTTGAGAAGCTCGAAAAGGCGGGAGTTAGGATTTAGCTTTTGGCTTTAGGTATTTAGGGCCTGTGGGTATCACTGATAGCTCGAACACCAAACGTGGCTGAGGGGTTTTGTGGTTTGGTCTAATGTTTTCGTGAAAGGCCTGGAGGCCTTGGGCCGGAGGTCAGTCTCCAAGGTCCCACTGCGGACATGTTTTCCTGATGCTGAACGAACAACATCTAAAGTTCCCAGAACCACCGAAGACGATTGATTGACCACATGCGAAGCACTCAGCGGAACACTCCGAGCCCCCAAGAACATAATTACCCAACATCTTCAAGACATCAAGCGTTGGGACTTCAGAGGTTTAGTGGGGGGTAGTGGGGCTCTCCGCACTCCTCTTGTGCTCGTAGAGTCCTGTCGTCGGCTCTTGGAGTCTGAGTCGCTTCCTGCCAGGAGCTGCAAGACAACCGGGAGCAGCTGGAGAAGCAGAGTTTGAGGCTCCTTCTGTGGAAGCCAGTGGTTGCTTCATGGTCTTTGCTGCTTGATGTGGCGATGGCTCATTGCGAATAGGCCAATAGGCGGTCTGACACGAAATCGACTGCACGTGCACGGTGGAGTCGCGATCTGCATTCAGAGCTTATGTCATGTTGAGATGGCACCTGCTGTTTGTCAAGTGTACTCACACATGGGAGGATGGCGGAAGTCCATGCAGAGGCGACGGAATGTGAGATGAAGAGTAAGTGTCTTGCCGAGACCTCAGCATGTGGGTTCTGTGAGGATCGCATGAATCGCTAGTGGTTCAGTATTGGCAGCGGCACAAAATACAACTTACGTTGGAAAGGGGAGAGAAGGAAACATGACCCGACACGAGTCGTCCGGCAAAATCGCAGGCATGGCCCTCCGCAATGAATGTACACTGCCGGGCAGTTCAATCGTCAGTCAACATCGCTAGAGTTGCAAATCTTGCAAAGCCCAATAGGCTACTTGCCAACGTGAGATCGAGCTTTGCTGAAAGAGTCCCCACGGAATGCGAAGGATTTTGCCAGGCGGCGCCTGGAAGGCAGAAGCAGTATGTCGCTGCGAGAGTTTGAGGAGTGTTCCGACACGTTTCGAGGATGAGCGGAAACTGCAGCTGCAGCAGGACCTCGAAGAAAAGCCCGGAGCTGAGAAGCAAACCTTGATTGGATCTAGCGGTTGGTTTCAGAATACTCGTTCCTCTCGGTTCATTGGATGTGGTTTCTTTGGAGCTCAGAGAAACTCAGCTTCACTCCGCATGTGGGAAAGTGTAGCTATCCGAAGCCCTGCGCCTCTATGCTCAATTGGCCTTGTGTAAAAATAGCTAGAGATTCCTCGTCGTGGCTGCCGCATGTTACAGACGACCCTTTCGCTTCGGTGGTCCACAAGACAACTGCACGCCCAAAGGCATCTGCTCGTGCAGCAGTCACTGGCAGAGAAGGCCGGGAGTGAGTTGAGTTCGGGCTCCATGCTGCACATATCCTATCTGCTATGCTTGAAGACGGGTGTTTGCGGTCGTTTGGTCCGGTCCTCGGTGTCATCACTACAGCCGATGGCAGCAGTCGTCTCGTTGATGATTCGGCATCAGCAGAAGGCGTCGTTGCTTACTGGTTGTGATCACACTCTGGTTTTTCCTGCTTCTCACAGGTTTCGTGTGCACGTGCACATGAGGCAAGCGACCACGTGTCATGAGCGGGACCAGAATTTGAATCAGGACCAGCAGCAGCGCAGGTTGGCAGCGCCCTCGACAGTCATCAGTGAATTTCGCTGGCTTTGCTTGGGCAGCTTGGATTGGCCTGCGGGGTCCATTGAGAGCAACTTAAACATTAGGCAGGGCTTTCGACTCGGCACAGTGTCGTGGAAACGACGGGATCTCAATCATGTGGGCTCTTTAAGGTGTGGCACGAAGTGGGAATGTTGTTGTGAGTGGCTCTTTTATACTCGGGTTGAACAGAAGTATTCAGGAGGCTTGTGGACTCAAGTTTTGGTGGAATTGGAAGGCCTCGATGTCAGAGCAGGTTTCGTGCAGTGCTTGCAAGCTGAGCCACGACAAGAAACGCTCCGAGAATGCCAGAGCCTGGTAACTGCGGCTTACAGGGATCAGATGATCAATGAAGATCGAATCTGAGGAACAACATCTAGCCCACACCCCTCCTCAACACAGCCGAACCTACTTGTCAGGCCCTTACCGACTTGTCGTCTGAAGCAGGAACCCTATAAGTTGAGCAGAAAAAAACGGGGCGTCTTGGCATCCCCCATGGCCGCGCCCGTGAATGCCTGGTCGCAGTTTCCAGCCTTTGCAGTATGGACTCCACAGGTGCAGAGGTGCGAAGACTTTTGATGTGTTCGGATTCCGAAGTTGAAGAAGACTCGTACACTATTATTAGTTCACATTTGGTGCATGCAGCTTCGCCATCCATATCCAGCTTCCCGAAGCAGCCGGCTGAATTCGAGCGCTGATGTTTGATGTTTGGGTATGCCCTCAAAGTTGAGGACAGCCTTAGGCGCAGGATGTTGGATCGGGGCAAACCCATCGACAGCTCTGGCAGGCTTGCGAAACGTTTTTGGCTTAGACTTGCCAATCTTGCATTCCGGAAAATGCATGAAAACCAGAAAACTGAAGCTATGGATTCTCACGAAAGCCCTCGCCGTAGGGCTACAACCACCTCCCGCTACACATTCACAGATTACAGCCGGTGCTGCATGTGCAAGTAGATGCAGTGTTTCCTGGAGCCGCCTGCAGGAATGTTCAAAGGCTTGCGGAGGACACCGCAGATGCTGCAATTGCGGAGGCTTTCCGGTGATGAAAAAGTGCGAGCAAGACAAAGGTCATGTTCGACTGCACTGGGATTCCTGCCGCACCCTGACCGCCATGCTAGGCTGTTGCTTCACCTCCACCTGATCCGCCTGATCCGGCCAAGCCGAGTCACGGGAGCGGAGCAGAGGCAAGACAGTGCTGCTTGAGCGCCATTCGGGGTGTGCCCCATCGCATCCACGCAAAGGCATTTCGTTTCACGGTTGGCAAACTACGGAACATCACGGAAAGGTTGGACTCATGCAGCAAGACTCATGTTGCAGGACGCGACAGTGGAGGCTTCTGCCGATCCTGGTGCAAAGAGCCTCGGCCGAAGCGAAGTGGTTGCCAGCTGGCTTGTGCTCCTGTGAAATCGGAGGTTTCAGTATGATTATTGCGGTAATTGGCGAGTCTTTGTGCTTGTGCCGGCAGGATGCTGGACGAAGGGTCGGGGCGGAAAAGATCTAGCGAATCTTGCCGCTGCTGTCTGCTCAGGACCAGCCGGCGCAGTGCCAAAGACAGCATTGCCCGTGACTTGCCGCATTCACGACTCTTGTGTGCTGCAGTGGCCGGAGAGTGCCACCTTTCACCGTGGAAGAACGTCGACGCAGGCAGTGTTCGACAAGCTGGCCTAGCAGACCACCAGGACAAGATTCAGGTGCGCGAAGCCTCCAGACAAATATTCTGGAAGTGGCATGGTCTTTGCATACACTCCGAACCAGCTGCGGGATGCACAGGTGGTCCACCTTTCTGCCGTGCTGGCAGCATTGGAAATCCCCGTGCCTGGATGCATATCGTATGCTCAACCATGCTCAACCTTCCCTGGCGACTTGAAGACCTGGTAGGCGCAAAATGTACTTGCAAGTAGTCTCTGTTTGCCAACAGGATATCCTTGCCTCGATGTCAAATCTTTCAAGCTTGCTTTTTGGGACAAAGGACAAGTGATTGTGAGGAAAGCTTTGCTGGCTTAGGAGCAGCATGTGCAAACTTTGGCTGCTGCCTCCGGTGCCATTAAGGCCGCGGGGCTGGGGTTGAGGTTGTCGGCACAAGTATCTGGCCAACAGTCAATGTGATTGTGGTGAGGAGGGGTTGTGACATCCACAGCCGAAGATTTAAAAGACCAGGGTTCTGCATCCTGCGAGGCCGCCGGGAGCCCCTTCGATTTTTAACATAAGTGGGCAATAGTGAGAGTGACTGGGTTGGTATTGGAGCTCGGATCCAACATTTTTTAAATCTGGGCAGGACTGCTTTTTCGCTGCACCTCACTACTTCTTGGAGCCTGCGCCATGATGCGAGATACCACTTGTTTGCTTTGAACTACGAAGACGAAGACTTGACTTGAAGAATTCCAGACCCTGAAGCTGATCTGGTGCTGGCGATGCTTTTGTCACACACACACACACACACACCCGCTAATCGCCAGGAGGATGGAATCCACCTTTCCTCCTTCCTGGAATGGATATTTCCAGACGAAGTCGAGGAGCCACCGCCTCCGCCTCCTCCTCCAGAACCGGCAGAGGCCGAGATCTGTATGGGACGGTGATTTTTTCCTGCCCTCTCCAAGGTAGCTGTTCGGACGCAGAATTCGCAAAACAGTCTTTGGGGTCGTGTGCGGCCTTTGTCTGTGTGCCACCAGCATAGGATGGAATTCAGAGTCTTCGAATCCGCATTTTGCATACAACTTGCCTGCGACCCCCTCGGGTGCGATTGCTGGACTGGGAGGCCAAGGGCTTGGAGATGGAACGAGGATCCGGAAGCATGCTCGAACAGCTGCCTGGCAGTCCTTGGCAACTTCTCACCAGAAGCTAAGCCGTGGTTGGAGGCGGCAGGCGGTCAGGAGCAAAGCCCTGAGATTCCATGGGCTCAGGTCGCTAGTCAGGGATCCGATCACAGGTGCCGACCTTGTCGCTTTCCATTCGGGCCGCAACCGCCAGCCTAGGCTTTATTCTGGGAGCCTCACTCTTGAGGCGCACTGGGCGGAGAGGGCTGATGGAAGGCTAAGGCATGCTGGCTTGCTGGATATTTGCCACTTTGGTGTTCAGAGCCCTGTAGTGTCTTTGTTATCTTATTTATAATTAATGTCCAATAGCATTGTTCGAGCATCGTGTGCAAAGACCGCACTATGACGATATTTGCTTGCTACTGCCATAACATGCATGGACTTACAGACTTACATAATCCCTACAGTTACCTATGCAATTGCATGCATGCATGCATGCATGCACATATAACACATATGTATATATACATATATACACACATATACACATACACATATACCGTGTGTGTGCATATATACATGTATACATATATATAGAGAGAGATACGCTCTATCATGATGCATACACGTACAGAGAGCTGCCGTGGTCAGTAAACAAGTCGGAAATGTCAGAACACCATGGTTCAGGAAGTACCGCTACATGTAGCTTTTTCAGGAACTATGATTTTTGTTCTGTAAGCTGCGTGGTTTTTCTCGGGAATGAACAACCACCTCGAGGGTTTAGGGTTTGGGTTTAGGATTTAGAGTTTAGAGTTTAAACTGGCTAGACTTCAGTCCAGTGGCAAAAAGAGTTTAGAGTTTAGATATTCTGGCTTCCTGAAAAAGCCAACCTCTACGTCCGATCTCTCGCACATTCCTGAAAAAGCCAGTCCATCTTACTGAAAGCGGCGCTATTATGCTGAACATGGTTCCGTGAACATCCCACCACCCTATTTGTACAAGTGAATATGTCTAATTTTAAATGTATTTTTCATACTAGTATTAATATTAATATGTATATATATATATATATACACGTGTGTGTGTATATGTATATATATATATATATATAAGTGATCTATGTGTGTAAAGATATCCACACACCGATTGCACGCGAGGGGTAGTTCCGGAATTTGCTTCCTGAAGCTCGAGTCTTCAGGAGCCTCAGAGCGTCATCGAAGCTCGAGGTTGCAAGAAGAGACTCCAATATCCCTTAATTTAGGCTTGCGCGCCTAAAAAAAACCACCGCTCGAAATGTTGACGACGAGGAAGACAACGATGATGATGACGATGATGATAACAATCATGGTAGCAATGATGATGACCTAGCGATCTGGCAAAGGTGACTGTGCAAAGACCTTTTGCCCCATACCTTTTCCACCCACAAACCTCAACAAACTTGCCGTGACCTTCAAAGTCATCGGCCCCACCAGTGTTTTCGCCTTCTGCCGTAAGACTAGCTTTGCAGCCCAGGTCCGGAGAATAAATTCAGGCCGGCTTTTCCCAGCACACAAAAAGCTCACTGCTCAACACATTGATGACGATGATGATAACGATGATGATGAGAATGATGAAGATGCTGGTGATATCGATGGTGGCTGTGAGGATGATAGCGATGTTGACATCGATGATGATAGCACTGATGGTCGCCTAGGGCGCCCAGAAAACTGGACACGAAATCGTGTCCCGTTTTTGCTTCTGCCACAATACCGCTGGGGAAGGTCAAAACGTGCGATTTTGCTGCGCCTGCCACACTTTTGTACACTTCCCTCGGCCGCTCCTCTGTAGGTTTTGTCTTCACGGTGGTTTTTTTTAGGCGCGCGCGCCTTAATTTAGGAATATACCTTAAATCGTATTTAGGGATCCTACTATAATTTAATGTATATTCCAACTAAGGCACATTGGAGTCTCTAGGCAGAATCTTCAGAGCTTCGCGTTTTTTGCGAACCCAATTGGGCACTATCTCTAAACACGTCAGCAGATAAATGAACATGCATGCAGACGCATGCGAACACATATGCAGCATTTGTGGGTAGTGTGGATGTATGCATATACGTACCATGTTTGTACGTGCATACATACATTTATCTCCACCACAGCTGCCAGTATGCCGTCATGACTGGGCTTGTGGCTACTGGACCATTGTAAGACACGAACACTTCAGCACACAAGGCAGGTTGCACGACAAGTAGACAGGACGCGAGCTTCTACAACTACTCGAGGATTGACACCGCCCGGTCACCACCCGTTGTAGAATAGCAGATCACAGCAAACTCCATGCTGGATGAGATCGCGGGTAGTACGAGAAGAGCACTCCAACAGAACAGGGCATTCCTTGTTGGCTGAATGTTCGAGCAGGCAGCCAAGTTGTGATTCGTTTGTGTTCGTGGAAATCGTCTGTAGCGCATGGTGCCGCTAGAATCCGAGCAATGCGTCAACTGTGCCGGTGCAAAAACTCAACAGACCACGGCACTGAGGTTTAGATCGAGACTTTTGCGCGCGCTTGTTAGGACACCTGGGTCCAAGCCAGCTTCATGCTCCAGCTGGACGAGCCTTTGCAGTATCGCAAGATTCCCCTATACTGTGCCGACATGGTTCAGCCTGATGCCATGAAGAGTGGGGTTATGCTTTGGGATAGTATGGTCTAGGATAGCAGAGTTTAGTCTATTACAGCATAGTAGTAGAGTATCACAGTAGAATCAAGAGCTCAGGAGCTGCTCCGGGATCATCCGCCGCTTGGCGGTGGATCGTGGAGAAGTGTTGGATTAGGATGTACTAGAACTATTTACGCAAAAAAGCACGCGAAAGTATTGCACCATAATGCTCTACCAAAGGGACACAGCAGGCACGTTCAACGGTGTCAAGTCCAGCTGCTGTGCATTCCTGACGGAGCTTATTCCGTTTCGTTCAGGATTGAGTCGTGGTCTGACTAGTCCGACCCCACTGATCTTTGCAACCCTAATTGCCAAGCATGCAGGTATCTCGAGCCTGACCAAAATGCAGCGACGGCGACGGTCCATCCACTCCAGTACTGGGTGACGAGGTGCCGGGAGTCAGTCAGGCGACAGAGCTTGGCGACATGGACTGGGCCAGTTTGGGCGACAAATGAACAGGCTGCAATCCCTCACATGCGGCGGCTTTGTGTACAACTTTCACCAGCCGTTCTATTCTATGAGATCTTGTCTCCTGTCCCCTTGTCTATCATGTCTGTCACATGTTCAGTTGTCAGCATTCGTTTCGTGTCCTGTATACCAGACGCTTGCGCAATTGCCGGTACGCTCTGCAATGGCTTGGAGGTGTCGGGAGTCTTTTGTCAAGAAGAAGTTTGGTGATGCACAGGAGCTGGGTTGGGCAAGCCTACAATAGCATGCACGGAAGCATTCTCATGCGTGGGTTCTGCTGCATCACTTTATGTCACTCTATTGGTAGTTGCTTGAAGTCTCGGATAGCGAGTGCATTGGGGAGGACTCGCTCCGGCGTTTGCTGGCAAGACCCTGGGCTGGAAATGTTGACAAGCACAGACACCCTTTCCATGAAGTATTCGGTGCCCTTGCAGATTTCAGAATGCATGCCAAGGTCGCTCAGCTCATTACATTCTTCAAACCTGAGACGCTGAACCGATGTCCAAAACCTATGAGCAAGCCCTGGCTTGAGGCCTGCGCACGGACCAGCGTCAAATCGCCGAGGCCCAGAGAAAGCTGCAAATCGCGTCAGAGCTTTCGGGCTGCCCGGGGGTGTGTGCAAGCCTCGGTGGCGTCATGGCAGTCGATAGTCATTGTAATGTACACTTTCAGAACTTGCATATGACTCACGTGACAGTTCCGCAACTCATACCCTGGCTTATGTTAACTTAGCACTGGGCCACTGGCTAGCATGCATGTCCGGCCCTCCAACTTCAGTTTCGAGTTCACCTGCCTGGTATCCGGCTGCAGGCTTCCTCGTACTCACAGGCTGCTATGGCCATCGAAGAGTGCTGTTCATCCCTGGCCGTATCGTATCAGCCGGCACCTCGACCCAGCGACCCGTCCGCTCGCCGCGAGCGTGGATCACTGCGTCGAGGTGTCGTCACCTCCGCCTCCGATCCTTACCATTGCTCCAGCCAGCTCCCCGCAAATGACACAGGCTCTTCGGCGCCGAACGAGGCGCCTGCTGACACGGATGCGCCCGCCGCTGGCACTGCCCACATGGAGGCGCCACCGCCGATATTCGCCGGTGCTGCCTCACTACTCAGTCGTGAAGCCGTGGTGGTGGAAGGTGGAGCCTGCATCACTACTTCACCTGCCGCCACCGACCCTCCATAATTGCCACAAAGATGAGTTCAAGAGGTTGCTTTACAAGACGCAAATTCTGACAAAGAACCGTGGCACCCGTGCCGCAAGTCGGATGGAGAGGTGCTTAGAGACGAAACAACTCATTCGGTTAAGCTCTGGCTCGAATATCGGAGAATACTATATGGCGGCATGGTCAACGAGGAAGATCTTGCCGGCGCTGGAAGCGATTGCCCCCAGCAGCCGCACCCATGACCCCCCCCCACGACCTGGACTTCGACAGACGAGCACCGGAGGAGAAGATGAACGATGGGTTTTGGAAAAAAGAGTGGCGCGGTGGTGAGTGTGCTTAGCCACATTGAGACTTCAGGCAGTGCGGCTTGGGCGGACGGGCATCCGCCACTCTCACGACACCGTAAACATGCAGTTTGCACATAGTGCACAAAGGCCAGTCAGTTCAGACACCGTTCGAGGATCTATCTGATTTGTTGGAAGCATACGCCCAAACGACATCACGCCACTGGTTCTGCTGAAGTTTGGAGGGAGGAGAATGTTGGGCCATGCTTGGAAACAGGCGCCTGAAGGCTTTGAAGGAGTTCCGCGAGCACAAGCGCCGTCCTGTCTTGATGGGTTCCCTGGTCTGAGTGCACCAGCATCCTTAGCATGCAAGCTGATTGCATCCACGACTCACGACGACAAAGAACTCCGGCGAACGTGCGAGCTTTGCCTGAAGTTCAGTTGCTGCTCCAGTGGATGTTCGGACCTCAACTCCTTCGCTATCTCGTGGTGCATATAACTGGTCATCAGCTGCAACACATCAGTCAAAGTACTCTGGACCCCGAGACCTCGTCGGGCTTGCCCGAGTTGCGAAAGCGTAACTCCTTCGCGTGATCAGTCGCCTTTGCAGGAATTCTTTGACGCTTATCGGGCTTTAGACCGAAGAGCAGTGTAGGTTAGTAGCGAGGCTGTTCTTGCCGCTCCGACACTGTTTCACTGAGGCTTGCGGCTTTGGGTACTTCTAGTTCTTAAGTTGTCTTTGGTATCTTACTCTGGTTTGTGTTGATGTGTAGGCGAGGCCTACACCATGGCCAATGCCTGCCGCTGACATGGGTCAAGAAGTACCTGTGTAGTGGGATCGAGCTGAGAGTAGTCTGTAGCTTTGTCTTATGTTCTTGAAGTGGTCTGCAGCTCCCAGCTTGAGCCCCGGAAGTAGTGCGACACGTAGCGAGAGACCTCGTCTGGCGGAGTAAACCCTGGAGCCCGGCAGCCGGCAGATCCTCCGGCAGGTCGTCTTTTCCCAGGGCAGCGTATTCTTGCGATATGGATGTGGCATGTCCCGATATGTCCCGATATCCAGCCCAAGCTTTAAGCGAATGATCTGTCCACACCTCGATGGTCGGTGTCTGTATGATTGGTCGAGGCGTTTCGCCGCTTTGACGCCGATTCTTCTGGGCACTTGGATGCCAACGAATGCAAGAATATGTCACCTGGCCCCAAAGAGACCAGTGCGGCCAAATCCTTATCACATGGGGTCTCCCCACATAGGGTCCCCCCCCCAGCCCAGGAGTAAGAGTGCTTGAAGGGGCGACGGTATTGTGACGTCTTTTGTTTGCTGCGCGATTGCGTGAAATGAATCATACAGTGCCGCTTCGCAGCTGATCGGCAGAGTCTGGGTTCGACACAGGGGTAACACTGCACTTTCAAGGCCAAAAAGCGTGGAGAGCGTGGGTGAGAACTATGTTGAATAATGAAAAACCAGTCATGTCCACAGTGCAACGATGGAAGTGTATGTAACTAGGAACGTGCTTTGGATGTAGGTCGGACAGAGGCGACAAAGGTGTGTGTGTGTGTGTGTGATGCAGATGCTACCCTGCTACACAAAAGCCGCATGTGCTTGCGCAGACAACACCCGAGAGAGCATGGAAGGGAGCCCGAAGCTCAGGTGCGCCTATCTCGGTTGGGGGCTCGAGGAGGCCAGCCTCATGGATCTGGAGCCTTGGCGGCTTTTGGTGAAACCCCCGAACCCCCGGTGGATTCGAGGCCTCGAATCAGCGTCCGCACCCTTCTCAGAGAGCCCAATACCCCTTAAGTAAGGGATAGACCTTAAATCATAATATTAAGGCCTCTATGATTTAAGGTATATATTCCTTAATTAAGGGGTATTGGGTTCTCTGGGCTTGATGGCCGAGGACAAAGATGGTCGCATCACTCTTGCCGACTTCCAGGGCTTTGTGGGGCGCATGGGAGGCGCTTTTCTGGGGCTTTCTGCCCTAGTCACCAGTCACTTCTTGGGGTCATAAGTATAGTTACCCTATTTTTTAACCCTACTTATAACAACCCATGAGCCTCGAAGGAGTCGTATTCTCGTGCCCAAGCCGCCACGTTCCATCTGATGCTTGTCAGGGCCAGCGCATGATTCTGACTCCTGTGCTTTCATCGCTATTGCCGTGGCGTAATGCTTGCTGCACGGAAGATATTAAGACCGAACATGTGCCCAAACGTGCCGCAGAACCCAGAAGGCTGCCCATATTGTCGCGACGGAAGCCGTACATCACTTGGTTAAACATCAGCTCCCGTCTAGCCCGGACCTGCAAAATCCAAACTGCCATACTTCAGAGCTGCAGGCGTCCAGCAGCTCTTCGAGCACCGCCGTTTGCGGATCTCCTCCAGCAGAAAGGCACGAGACAGCACACAGAAAGGCATGGCACAGCACGTCGTGAAAATCGGTTGGCGACCGTTCGACTCCGTAGCTAGCCGAACACACAACTGGTGCGCTCGCTCTCTCGTTCTGTCACTCTCTCTCTATCTTTCTCGGTCGATGTATATACAGATGTGCACATGTAGTACATGTAGTATGTAAGTATGCATGTATGCACGCATGCCCGCATGCATGGTTTTATCAATATGTACGTTTATATATATATATATATATATATATATATATATATATATATATATACACACATATATATATATATACACACATATACATATATACATACATATACATATATATATATATATATACATATGTAATATATATATATATATATATGTATATATGTATATATATATATATATATATATATGTATATGTATATATCGTGCTCTCTCACTCTTTCATTCTATCTCGTTACTTTATATGCAGTTGTGCATGTATACAGTATGCATGCGAGGATGTACGGATGAATATATCTATGTCTGTAGGCATGTGTGTACGTGGATAAACAGGCCCGGCAGCGGAGCTCTAATTCCCTTGTTGGTATTGTAGTTGAAGAGCCTGAAGTCACGTCTTCGCGGCAGGACGTTTGCGATCATGCAGGTCTAGCGGTCGGCTCAAGGCGAGCGCCGGGAACAAGATTTAGAGTCAGAGGTTTTGGAACTTGTGCTGGCAACTGAGTTCCACGCATGCTGAGACTCTTAGACAGGTTCTCCGTGGTCTTTCGTTCAGGGAGGGGTGAGCCTGTGGGGTTGCATGTTGAATTGGAAGGCTGCTCGGTCGAACCTGCAATTTAGTGGACTCTAACACCATGATCCCGACTTCCTAACAGTCCTACATGTAGACGAAGCCTTCTATCATATGTGGCATTTCTGCGAATTGAAAGCCCGGGCGGCCCTAAGGGTTCGTGCGCACTTCTACGTCCATGGCCAGAAATCGCGCAGCTGGCGAGAGGTGCGCAGTGCGCAGAAGAAGAGTAGCAGAGGGAGCAGGGGTGCTTGGTTTGTCAGGCTGCGTTTCCACACCGTTTCCTGGCCCTTGACCTTTCAAGACTTGTGATGGCTTCGGAAGCTCGTATAGACTTATGTGAGGGCTTCGAGATCTTAGATCAGGAGCCACATCCACTTTGCAGGCGCAGGTTCTCGCCGTGGGTGTGGAGAAGCGCTTGCAAGGCCCTCTGCACGGACAGGGCCCGTTCATGTTTTCATTGCAGGGTTCCTTCCTTCGGCCACGGTCGTGTGTCAGTTTCGCTTCTCTGGGATCAGGCCCTCCCTGCATCAGTTCAACCTTGATAAAGATACCTGTCCGTGTTGCCTCCTTAGCCTTAGCATTCAGCTGCCAGCTCTTGCCAGCCAGGCGGCATGGGACCGGTAACATACGGTGTCTTGCTGGAGTTCGGCTTCGGCTGCTCAGCCAGGAAGATATGGATCGCTGAGCGGGTGCAGGTGTTGACTTTGGACTTCAGGCCCTGGTTGCTCGCTGCAGCCTTCCGGATTGAAGCATCCACTGCGACTGTGCTTGGGCATGTCACACGGATACGATTGCTCCCTCGTGAATGGAAGAAGGAATCCCTGATGAGCCTTTCAGCGAGAGAAACACGATGGACAGAAAGATGAGTGCTTCAGTCTTGAGGCTACTCAGAAAAGCATCGTCGATGGAGGGCCAGGCGGATTCTGTCATAGTAGTGGGAGGAGGGCTGTACATTCCTGTAACCGTAATCGCGACAGCAACAAGATTGATGATGGTTGTCATGGTAATCCTCCCTATTTCAAGCCCGAGATCAGCACTTGCGGCTGATTTGGTCCACGACACATGCTTACCACTGGCTTGGGGTATGAATTGTGGGAAGGTGTGCCACAGTTCTTTGAAGCTCTGCTGGAAGGCTACAGGTTGAGGTGAAATGCCTTTGTCTTAGCTCGACGAAGAGAAGCGTGGCTGGAAGTCATTGGTTGCACCTCCGAAGCAGGCAAGTTGTTCCACCCACCTGGGTGCTGAGCAGCGTGGAGGACTCTGTCTTGCAAAGGTGCATCCGTTACCAGATGCACACGTGAAGAGGGTGTGCGTCTGTGCCGACTCCTTGCCTCACTTGTCCCAGAGGACGCCACTGTGGCCTCGGCTCTTCGTGAGATCGGCCTGCTGGAGCTGTTGGGGGTAGCGATGTCCACCAGACATGCAGAGTGAGAGAGACTGAGCAAAAAGTAGGCTGGCCGCAGTCGGATATCTGTGTCCCGTGCCTGGAGCAACAAGCGGGACTCTAAGCTTTTGGCACCCGATCCACGAAGCATGATGGCATGGATATGTACGTTCGCAGATGTCAATGTGTGCAGGGCTGCATGTATGCATGCAAGCATGCAATTTTTGTGTAGTGCAAGGCCATGCAGTGCCATGCCCTGCCATGCCGTGCCATGCAACTCAATGCTGTCTGTTGGTCTGTATGTCTGTGTGCATGTATGTATGCAGGTATGCAAGCAATTATGTATTGTATCGCATTGTAATGTGATGTACTGTATGGAAGGTATTTTCGCATGCATGTATGTATGCGTGTCAGTGTATGCATCTGTTTTTGATTGCTGGCATCTTTGCCTCTGCTTGGATCTGTATTCCCTCAACTCCACATGCACATAGTTACGTGCATCTCGGATCGAGAATGTGAAATCTTACTTGGCATGTACATGTATGTATACGTGCGTATAGACAAAACATCAATCAACATAACATTTGTGTGTCTTTGTGAGTCTGTATGTGTTGATGCACACGAAGATTTGCGTGCCTGGGAAAAGTTTGTAAGGTCATTGAGCCAAGATATTTTGCGGTATTGGTTGCCAGGACGAAGATCAAGCATTTTGGGCCCTTCTCCTGCCCGAATCCGAAATGCGAGCTGTAGAACGCGGCTCGGCTGGCACGCAATAGTATTTTGCTTTCGCCGGGCGGCAAGAGGAGAAGAAGAAGAATAGGGCACAGAAGACAAAAGGCAGAGGGCGAGACTGTCAGCTATCCCTTGCACATATTGCAGGGAGTAGAAGGGCACAGGAAGGCAGGAAGCTCTGTGAGCCGGGGTGGCCAGGCTTCACTTGTGGCACATGGTGGACGGCAGAGAAGCGACTGAACTTGCCCTTGCCGAGCTCTTCTCCAGACCGCATAGGGTTAGGTAAACAAGGATCAGGCCGTTTGGGGGTATAGCTTCCATGGCGGGGAGGGCTTGCTACGATCGAGCGAGAGACGGAGAGAAGCAAAGAGGGTGGGCTCAGTGGCGATCACAGGTCTAGGCGAAACAAACAGAAGGAGAGAGACCTAGCATCCCACGGATTTGCCCTGAAGCCGTATTTTCCTTGCTGAAACAGCCACTTCATCAAGGTCTCACGGACTGCCAGCGAAAGGCGCTACAGAAAGCGCAGGGGTTGAAGTGTTTTTCTCTGTGAGTGTTGAAAATGGGAAGCAAATGGTGTATTTCCGTCACTGTATGTGGAATGGACAGTATGCATGCACGTAGGCACGCTGCCTGGATGGATGTATGCGTTAATGTATTTCGCCCACATTCCTTGCAGCAAGTTCATGCACAGCCACATTATAGAGGGTCGGATGGGTTGCATGCCCATTGGAAGGTTTGTTGCATTTCATACACGGCGTGCGGGTCATATGCTCCAACTTGTTGTCCTGGTACCCCTGATGTGGCACGCCTTCATCGATCCACATTGGCCATGGCTGTCACTAGTTAAGCAGCATCCTAATGGCAATTCTTGCCTCCTTGTGTGAGCTGCCAGCGTCGAAATAAACTCCCTGCCTGGCATAGTCCAAGTGTGCATCAAAAAAAGACTCGTAAACGGACGTCTAAGGACCCTTAACACGCCCCATCAAGTCAAGGTGTAGGGATTTAGGTCGAATTAGGGTTTACATAATAGTCACTGCGTAACGGTTTGGTTGGTAGGCTGGTGCCAAAGGCTTGTAGGGTGTGAAATTAGAAATTTTGGTTTAAGTAGAGGGTTTAGGGGTTCCCTGCTCAGTGTCTGGCGATAGCACACGTCCAGATGGAAAGGGTTCCTGTGTTGCTTGAACCACAATGGCATAGTTTGCCTTCAAACCAATGTCACGGTCAGTGCTTCAGGAAGTTGAAGGTATCCGCAATATAGACCTCGTGGTCTTCAAAAGTGGATCTCTAGGCTTGTGTGTTCAGACCCTTCTGCTAAGCCTGACCTAACCGGCGCAGTTTTGTGGAGGTGGCAGCGAGGTTGGAACAGACGGCATGTAGCAAAGGCCTCCAACCAAGGAAGAACTTCGCGCATCCGCTTCACCCACAGCATCAGGGCACGCAATTCACGGAGGTATCTCTCCATCGTCCAGCCATTCACCTTACTTGTAACAGACATTTGCGCAAATCAGGGCTTTTGCACTGACACTTGCCGCCTTACGGCCCATGCCTCGGTAAGTTATTTGGTGCATGTTTACACATTGTTAGCTGTTCTTTCCATTGTATTTACATCGCATCTTGCACCCTAGCAGCTACTGAGCGCGGGAGGCGCTGGCCGGCGTTCGGGCACATTGCACGGCGAGCCACGAAAACTCCCTGCCCAAGGCACTGAGCTAGAGGATGTAATGATTTCAGGCATCAGTAAGGGTGACGACTTTACACTGCAATGCAGAAGCAGGGTTTAAGATCTTGAGGTCTTGGTATAAGTAACAGTTTAACAGTAGCCCTAGGGTTCCTGGTTCCGTGGGTCACAGAAGGCGAGTCTAAAGGATGCCACACAACTACGCGTTGCTGAACTGTGTAGTACCTCCGGCTCATGGGGTTGAGACGGCATTACACATACAGTCGCAGACGTGTGCGATACCTCTGTATGCATGCATGCATCCATGCATGCATGCGTGCCTTTCATTGATGGATGTATCGGATGCAATGTATGCAATCATGTTATGTGTACGGTATGTTATATATATATATATATATATATGTGTGTATGTATGTATGTATGTACGTATGTATGTATGTATGTATGTATGTATGTATTTCTGCGTATAGTATGTGTTTGATATGCATGTGATGTATGCAATATGTGCAATGTATGCAATGCATGTATCGTGTGCAACATGTGTAATTAAAGCAATGAAAAGCACGCCATGTGTGCATTGTAAGAGTGTATGCAAGTATGTAGTTTCGGTTGTTTGTCCGCCTGTATGTATGTATGTATGTATGTATGTTTGTACGTCTATCTGTATTTCTCTATGATGTATGTTTGCATGTATTGACGTACATACCTGACATACCTTTGTATGTACGTACATATCTAGGTATGCATGTACGCGTAAATATTTATGTATGTATGGAGGTGGGTATGCAGGTCAGTAGGTACGTATGCATGCATGCACGGGTCGATTGGATGGATGGATAGATGGATGGATGCATTGGGTTTCTACTCACACAGACCTCCATGCGATGCGCAAGATTGTAAGACTTCATGTCGCTTTTCCACATCTGCGATGAGTCGCAGCCGTTTAAAGATGTCGCTTTCTGTGTCTTGCACCGGGTCAAGTTTGCAAGGAGCTTGAAGGGTTCACAACCGGGGCGATGCCCCGACACCAGCTACCAAACTGGGTCAGTCCAGAAAAGCTAGAAAGCTCACATTCAAAAGCCAGGCCAAGGAGAGACCTTGCAAAGGGCCCTTTGATCCCACTTTCATCTAGCGCGATGGTGTCAGACATAGAAGTTCGCCTGCGCAGGTCCGAGAGCGCTTCACCAAGTTGGGCTTCGTGGGCCGGGAGCTGGAGACTACCCTCGGCTGGATCCAGGAATCTGACTTGCATCATTGAGGAGTTTCCGAAAATTCGGGGTACCTTATCTTGGGGTCCTTATAATATAATATAGATATTGATGGTTATGTTTGCGCCCATGTCTTTCCATCTGCTGGGGATGCAATCGCGCCACGAGAAGCCATGGGAGTTTTGGCCTGTAGACTGTAGGCATTTGGGCAGAGGTTCTGGATGGTGAGCGATGCAGGTGCATGAAGCAGTGTTGCGGAGTCTTCCATAGTCTCTCCAATCTCTAGGATCTCTGCAATTGCTAGGCAAGTTGCAATGATCATAATTTAGGACATGGCGCCGATCTGCATCCACATCAATCTGGATCGCATGGGCCATTTCATGGAGAGCGACGAGCTCCGCAGCTGCACATGGACCAGAACAGAGCTGCCCACGATTTCAGATCATCGGAGGCCTAACCTGCTGTTTTGCTGCCGCGTCCTCGTATTAGAGCGAATCGAAACGCCAGTGTCAGTGTGCATCGGAAGTTTCGTCCTCGATCTACAACGAAGGGCGAGGTGGGACGAGGGCAGCCATCGCAGTGACTGCTGGCGTGCTCTAGCGTTCGCTCGCCGCCTGGCCCCAGTCAGGTTTTATCGCAACCAGTTCGAGACCAAAACGTCCAATGGAGCTTTGGACCCAGCCGCGTGGCCATGCACTTCTTGAGGGTTTGCCGTAAGTGAGAGACACCGGTCCGTTCCGAGATATCTTTTGGACAGGTCCAGGTGCTTTGTCGAGTGCAGCGTTTTGGCGGCGGCGGTACTTGACCGCCCACAAAAACACATTCAAAATGCCTCACCAATCTGTAAATACCTAAGATCTCGCTGCACATCTTATCCGTCTTATCCAAACCGAAGAGTCAGAATAAAAATGGTTTGAGCACTTCAGTTGAAATCTGTCCCTCTCTCTCGCCGTTGGTCTCCTTCTCTTGGTCTCCTTCTCCATCGTCCCACTTCGCTCAGGAGAATAACACACGCAAGGGCTGGGAGCATGAGCTCTTCGGCGGGGCCTACGACGACGCCAAGGGTTTCGATCGTGTGAAGTATGGCGCCCTCAACGTCATGAATGACTATCGAGGCTGGCAGTGCTGTTAAGGATTGCTTTGCGAAACAAGCCTGCGAACGAAATGCGAGACTGTGAGGTGTGGTCAAAGCGAAGCAGTATGGTGATTCCTACCTGGTTCTCAAGGAGCTGGGTGTAGGGGCAAACGACAGTGGCGGTCCCAGCTAAAAAATGGCCCCTTGAATTGTGTTGCATGCCAACACAGCGCCTCAGTCTCCTGCCCTTGATAGATCTTTTGCCGAGAGAAGTGTCCCCCTCGTTTGTGCATTGTACAGCCGCCTTTCTCGGGAGGCCCTGCATGGGGTTTGGGCCCTATAGGACGTCCGCCTGCGCTGTACCTTTTGCTCCACAGATTCGGGAGGCCTGGCAAGGAACGCAAGTGCTGCATTATGTTGAGGTTTTGGCAGCTGAGGCTGAACATCGTGAGTGCTGGGTTGTTGAGAAAGAATCGTGACGTATGAACCAAAACCATCATCAAGCGGCAAAGGGGATAGCTTGGAAGTGTCAGTGCTGCCTGTGTAGAAAATTGACGGGCGTAGCTTGAAAGATGGCATCGAGTCGGCCGCTTAAACCCTCGGAGCATCGAGACTGAAAGCATGATGACGCATCCCCCGGGCACGTCAAGCCCTTCTGACAGCCTGCAGGCGAGTCTGTTCTAGTCCACACCGCCCTACACACATACATACGTACATACGTAATTACACACGTACATATATATATATATATATATATAATTATACATACGAATATACATATACTCTTATACATATACTTACGCACAGTACAGGCTTCTGCTGTGAGTAAAGTTTGCGAGTCTAGCAAGTTGCGAACGTGAAATAAGAAAGCCAGGCATGCAGCATCAACGGCTTGGCGTTTTGGACAAATACGGCCACGTGCCACTCGTTTGCACGTGAACGCGCTTCAAGCACGGATGCTGTCGCTGCACATCACATAAGTATCCAAACATGTTATATTGTAGTTGTTGAGGCAGCAGAGGTCTCGCTAGTCTCTACTCTCTATTCTCTACTCTCTATATTCTCTACTCTCTACTATCTATTCTCGCCCGGATTGTCCGAGTGCGAGCGCCGAAAGGCCAGTCTTGGGTCAGAAGTGAGATGGATGTTTGCCGTAGAGAGCGTTGTGCAGGACGCGAGCTTAGACTTCAAGTGCTGCCGGACTGGTCGTATCTTCTCCTCTTGTCCTTAGATCTTGCTTGAATTCAACCCATCATCGGTTTTTCGCGCCTGAATAGCCGGTTGCGAATCCTGACTGGCCTGTTCATAGACTTTTCGTCAGAGGCTGCTTGAGTACAACGACAAGGAGCTGCAGGCTCTCGAAGGGCCATGGATTTCACATTTGCCCGAAAGTTTAGCAATGGAAATCAAAAGTTAGCAGCCGGATGTGCGGGGCAATGGCCTGCCGCGACAGCTTAACGTGAATTTCGGACCACTCGAGCGTGGCGGTGTAGATTGAGATATTCGTCTTTCAGTCGGTTACAGCATGAGATGCATATAGTTGGCGCAGGCGTCAGTCAACAGCATATGATACTGAAGGCAAAGCTCTGTGGCAAAGTCTGAGCTTCGTTTGACCCAACATGTTGAATCGCATACACCGCAGCAAGCCTCAACGTAAACCGTAAGCCGATGCAATCTTCTCAGGGACACGTTGCTTCCGCCGTTGTCAGGGCTTGGTGGAGGTTGCCATGAACGCCACAGCGCCCAGCGAGGCGGTTTCATGGGTGTCTGCCGCACTGCATGACTTTTACGGATATTGGGGGGGATTTCTTGCGCCAACCTGCCGAAGGTCGCCACTAAATCACGCTTTAAGAACAGATTCAGATCTCGCGCTTGAGGGGCCGCACCTGCTGCCGCGGCTGCTGCGCGGAGGCACTGCCGATTCCACGCGGCCGCCCCAGCCCGGGGTTTGGAATGCTTGAGGCCGTCTAGATCAGCAGAGACCAGGCTGTTTTTGGATGTCTTGAGCTAGAGGCAAGAGTGGGTGACCGTGGGCTTCCCAGACTACGCACAAGACAGCGGCCGCTTCTTCTTCGAGGTGCAGCTCTTCAAGGACACGGCTTCGCGGAGTATTCGGATCCCAGTCTCTTCAGGGGCGATTTCTACAGATTTGCGTATTGAAACGGCCGCTTACAAGACCTTGAGCTGGCGAAGCCCACTGCACCTCTAAGAGATGCTGCGCATGGAAAGGAGTCTCGTGCTCCGCAGATTGGACTGCTGAGCACTGGCTTCGAGGCACGTAGCATCATAGAAGCATTCCGCTCGTTGGTGCTTGCATGCTCGCATGTGAACTTAGTGAGACCTCAACATCACCTTGCTTTTCCAGCACCCCAAACCTGCCGCAGATTCGTGCCGGGGCGAAGAGCACTCAAGGCTGGGATTCAGATTTCGCCACGCGCCGCTACGAAGCTTCCTGCTTGTAGCAGCTGGTGATACACTGCCTGCACGATGGACTCATACTTCGCTGAAAGGTCGCTTTGCATTGTCGGAGTTGCGTAGTCGCCACGTCGTAGCACCTGGTAGCACAGCCCAGACTCGCACCCAGAACCTACCCCCGCGTTCGAAAAGTCAGAGGCCTTCGCGCAAGGAGCCATTGGCTGTAAGTATAATATGTTAACTACAGACTGTATGCGCATGGCTCCGAGCTGCACATTTCGTTAGAATCCCCCAACCCAAAGCACCTGCAGGTGTGGGTGACGACCTTCATGGATGGGCCGTGGACGGATTGAATTCCTCGAGGCCGACATGGATTCGGGATCGCCCTTGAAATCGATGCATATAGGATTGAGGGCGGTCGGTTTCAATTTGCGTCCTCGCAAAAAGCATTGGCACCTGAAGGTGGCACGGCGGCACGAACAACGCTTGGAACCAGATTTGGCCGGCAGTGGGTTCAGGTGCCTGGGGATTGGTAGAACATTAAAGTTTGGTGTCCAAGCCACTTCCATGTAATGATGTCCGGATCTGGAAACCTAGCCACTGCTGACCATCCTGAGACGGACTGCCACTACACATGCGGTGTCGGTGATTTGTCGTGGTGTGTGGCGGCATGCAGGAGGACGAGATCCCTCTTGAAAGCTCCGTGGGGTCCCACAAGCAGCTTTACGCTATCATATCTTATGCTCCTGGAAGAGACTCAAAGCGGACGATTCGGAAAAGAAAGCCATGTGCGTCCTTACATCCCCAACCGAAACCCCTACACTCCCTACACGACGGAGATTGAAAAAAGAAACAGAGAAACTGCAAACGTGCATGCCCTAAGGCGCTGAGCGTCACTTGAAAGAGGAGGTCATCGTGCCTTGGATTCGACAGGCACGAGGCGCACGATTACATAATTTACTCCGGAGAGTTTGTAGACAGAGCTTGACTCCAGATTGGAGTGTTCCCCATATACGCACCAACCCCGGCTTCCGACAAGTTCCGGCATCAGTGATCGACGACACTCCTCCCAAGAATCTGTCCATTAACATGAAACCGTATGGGCACTCAATGTGCTGTGGTCTAGTGCTCGCAGCCATTCAGTGAGTCTGGTCCTGGCAGTGCCAGTGCAGTATATTCATTCCAAGGTTGGTGTTGCGGTGGACCTGGACAGCCGGCAGATTCTGTTCGGCACCAACGGCGTTTGGGCACCAGCCTTCGGCGAAGAGGCACTTGCAGTAGGCGCCATGTGCGAATCCTTGGCCACAAATGCAAAGACATGTGTTCGCAAACACCTGAGGCCTATACAGCGTTAGAAGTGGTGTTTCACTGGTACTCAATGCCTTGGAGATTGCCAGGATTTCCCCTTTGGTGTCGCTGTCTACCCGGCCTTGTCCGTCTACGGCAAGGCCGCCTTCATCTTTGGCGACTTGCCCGGAGTTGTCCGCGCGATGTGCATCTTTAGGGCCATTGGGGCTGAGGGGTTTCGGTGTAGAGGTTGGGTTTAGGGAATATACTTATAGGGTTTAGGGTTTGGAGTTGTATGGGTCTCTCAGGGTCTGCGGTCTCAGCATGCTTCGTCACTGCCGGGCGCGACATGCAACGCTGATGCAAAACGGGTTCTGGAAGTACTCAGCCATTTCGCCACGTCCAAGCGATACACGCTTGGGCACAAGTCAAAACAGGGCGCTTGAACTGGGTGGCAGCTCGCCAGCTTACCTCCTATTTCAAGCTAAATCGAACTCTCAAAGCCCGAAAGTCTTGAAGGATGAGTTGACGGAAGTCGTTGAACCTGCCGCAGTTGTGTCCCTGCCTGGCGGACATCATCACGCAATGCAGAAGGCAACACCATGCCCCTGTGCTGGGACATGCTGCGACCACATCTTGGCCATCGTGACTGCCACCTTAACCCCCTTATTGTTATTCCTTCAGATTAGATGTGTTTGTTGTTGATAGTTGCGATCAAGTCTGCGACAAGGACCGGACTTCCGCCACGGGCCACCTCCAGGTGATCGTGATTTTTCGCCATGGCTGGGAGGACGCTGTTGTCAAACTCTTGCATCAAGTCAGCAGCACGACTCAATGCCAGAAGCCCTGACAGATCCTGCAGTCTGTAGCAGGACTGCCCAACCTCGTCAGGATCGACATGCCCCGAATTGGCCACTTGGCACTGCAAGATCCGGCATTCCGGACACAGGGAGTCTCTGGAGTTTGATGCAACAGCAACTCGGAAGTTCGTTGTCCAGCTGTCGCGGAAACTGAAGATTCGCTGGAGAACCCAAGGCAACGAAGAAATCCTCAGCTTGTACAAGGCGGGAGGTCCCCAAGTCTTCCCCCAGACTCCACGACTGGATCGTGACCCCGACCTGCAATGCCATGCCCGTGCCCCAACGCTTCATGCTGCATAACACCACGGCTCATGACAAGCCTGGGTAGTTCGACCAGTTCGTACCTCACTTCAACCAGCAGTGACTAGCATACGGACACAGCTCAGATTGAAAGTCGGAGTCTGTTGTGACTTTTGCAGCCATGGCGGAAACAAATGGCGGCGTGCGGCCGGTGCCCAAAGACCTCAAGACGTTACGTAACATCCTGTGCGTCCACACGCTGGTGAACGGCTGCATTGGCTCTTTTGTGCAGGCTTGCGGGTAGCAGTCGGGCTAGAGCTGTATGATGCTTTAATGCTTCTGCAGGCACTGAGGTGCGAGGCTTAGGCCACCGGACCTCTTGCAATGCTTCGTCCACCCTGCAGGCACTATTTGCAGAAACTCTTTTGATTGGGTGCGTGGTGGCCGTAGTTGGTGGCTTCATTTCTCCAGTTGGAACGTACCTGGTGAAACGAGCCGCTAGCATGTTGTCGCCCAAAGCAGCCCTCATATCGAGCCTTGGCCAGTGGACGGAGGGTCGGGCGTTCCTGTTGGCACTTCAGCACCGTGAGGAGGGTTGCGATGAGCCGCCCACCAACATGCTGTCAGCTTGTGATGAAGCGACTATCTGCCGGTGAGTCTGAACATTTGCACGGATGGTCATGACCCCCCCATGGCTTACACCTAACGGCATCTAACGGCTCGTTCCCACGTCTGCCACACTGTCACTACTAAGACAGTTGCTCCATGGCGCCTCCAAACCGTCATGGGCGCCAATGCTGTTCAGGATTGTTTTCGCCAACATCTTCGGCCTGATGGCCGCACTGGTGGTGGATCACCTCTTCGTGATGCGCCTGGCTCTGTGAAGATTTTTTGAGAGTTGGATTTGTTGGTTTTGGTCTCGGCCTCTCGGGTTTCCAGTGGCCATGTGCAGGCTGAATTGCAGTCGGCATCGCTGGGAGCACTTGCAATGTCAGAAACCATGATCGAATTCCTCATCCGACACAGCACGAACCTCGCTTGCTTCACTGTCATTTGCTAGGATTTGGGGCTTCACAACAACCACCGTCGCCGTGCAGCTGATGATGCAGTATGTGTCCGCAGCTTCGATGTGATTAAGTTCCAGCAGACAGTACAGCCAGTGTCGGAGCAGTGCATGCGCCCAATGACCTGAACATCTGTCAATGATTAATCGACAAGGTTCAAGTGCACCATCTGCAGCACCACTTATGCTTTCTCACTAGTCACTAGGATTGCAGATCTGTGGCTTCTGTGAATGAACTCCGCAAGCACGGTCCCGGGGAAAGTGAATCTTCGTTCTGCTGTAGCCTTGAGCAGCTGAGAGCCTCTGGGTGCGAAGCCCGAAACGTTTCGAGAATTTCTCAGGATTTTCAGGCATCGATCAGCGCGACCGATGCCGAGAAGGCCGATGCGTGGAACTCCCCCATGCGCCATTCGAGAGCGAGAGCAGCAAGAGTCGAGGCTGCCTGGATGGGCGAGTTGCCAGGGCCACCGGCCTTGGCATGTCTGGTGGGCCGCCCAGGATTTTCTCGAAAGTTCCAGTCCAAGTCCCGTTCCTGGGCGATGTCGTCAGGTCGGCTGTTTGCTTGGGCCTTGCCTGTTCTCGCAAGTCTGGAGCGCGCAGGACGGAGACTCAGCCAACTCGAAGGGTCGAATTCGGTAGCCGGTAGCCATTTTTTGCCGAATTCCGTGGGCAGATGTCTCTTGTCTCTTGACTGCAGGCTTTTGGTTCCGTTGTCCTCCCCGTCGCCTCGGCGGGCTTGTTCTTCCTCCCGAGCCCAGCCCACAGCTCAGCGGTATTCAGCGGTGCGCAGATGTGGCCCAACTGCTCACCCACTGTTCAATGTAAGTGCTTATGATGCTCCCCTGCTGGCCTGGACACCGCCAACCGTGCCCTTTGTATACATTGACATATAGACAGATGGACAGGTGATTGACCGATTGAACGTCTGGTGGATTGATAGACCATGATAGATCATAGATGGCTAGAGTGGTTTGATTGGTTGGATTGGCTAACTTTCCATTTCAATACCCTGACTTGACGTACCCGAGCCCGAGAGGAGAGGTTCGGTCTAGCTTGGTCACGTGACATGTGGAGCATTTGGATCACTTGCGGTGTTTGGGTCAGGTAGTAGAATTTTTTAATTCCCTTGCCATAAGCACATTGTGTGCACTCGGCGCTCCACGACCATAGCAGACCACTCAGCAGGCTAGCAGCAAGGGCGCAGATGCGCCTTGGCGACTGGGCGAGTTCAGCCACCTGTCAGCAAGCACTCCCCGTGGAGTGGGTGAAGCTCTCACAAGGCTCGGTGACAAAAGGCTTCGAGCCCTTGAGCCTCACATCTGGCGAGGCAGAGCTGGGACAATAGGTGGCATGGGCCTGTGCCTCCACGCAAGGCACCAGCTCGGTCCCCGCTCTGTTCGGGCCAACTATGTTGGCCGGGCTCTCGGCATGTTCGCACCTTGCATCTTGTCGGGCTCATGGGATCGGGTGCTGTTGTGCGGACAGGTGGCGCATAGTCAAACCGGCACAGTCCTATGCTGGTGTCTAGTAAAGATCCGGTTTGCCATGTGCAGTAGGCAAGCACAGACGGAAACTTGCCTTTTAGACCATCGACACCCATGTACGCAAAGCATCTGCGAAGGCCATCCACAACTCCTGCAGGGACGCGATCCTGGGGCCTAACCTGGCCTTGCGCTTCCCTCTGGTGCGCCCGGGTGATAAGCCAGGGCCAGGGCCGAGGGGGCTGGAGTCGGCTTGAGGGATGTCACCATAACCCTAGGCCGAGTTGCGGGAGGCGAAAAAGCCTAGGTGACAGGGACAGCGCAGTGCACGGGGGATAGCTGCAATACTGAACTGTCGCAAAAGATTCGTCGAGAGGGTAGCAGGACAGGATTTGCTTCAAGTGTTGCCATACCTAGGACACAGAGAAATTGGTCGTCAAAAAGTATACCCATGCGCGCAGGATCCGTGGACCTGGGGGCAGCTGCAGTTTCTGGGAGTGCTCGGAGGCAGAGTTCGAAAGCATCGACTCTTCCAGGGCTTCATTCCACTTTGCTGTATGCCTATAGTCTCCATTGTAGCTCCTTTTTGGGGTTACCTTATGGGATCCTAATTATATATTTGGTTAAACCAACAAAAGGAACTACAATGGAGACTATAGGTGAAGTTCAGATGACAGGCGGATCGAGGATCATGCAGCCCCGAGTGGGGCGCGGTACTTGATGATCTAGTCGCGTTTTTCTCAAGCACATGGTGTTCCTTGATATCGTCCATGACAGTCCTGTGCCTCAAGAAACATACTGTGCTATGCTATAGATGGCCTAGGCCCATCGGCCACCACTCAGCAGTATGAAATATTCACAGTCACGTCGAGAGCGAGACCTCGGCAAGCTTTTGCACCCAGCGCGCCAGGTATTGTTGGCATGGTGATTGCTCCCGGCTTCGCAGCGCAGTCGAACCTGGTGCTCACGGCATCTCTGCTTCAAATATTGGCGGTGCCCATGCAGCTAGGGACGCCTTTTGGAGTGGCCCCTGTGACTTGCTTGCGCGGGGCTGTGCACAACCACGCTCCATATGTGCCCTTTTATACAAAAAATCTGAAAGTGTTTCACAGCAAGTTATGGCCGCAGTACATCTGCACTGTAGGTATGCGACTGCTACTTTTATGATTACATGTGATAAGTTCCGGTAGCTTTGCAGAGTGCATGGGATCTGTCGGTGGTCCTTTGATTCTTTCATGGCTTCTAGGTGGGCGTTCTGCTGTCGTCTTTGCTCACACGGGCGGCAGAGCACTTTGCCGACAGCACCTCGCCAAAATTGCATTGGAAGCCCAAGTGCAGAATGCAAAATGATGCAGTGCAAGAGCAGAACCTCCAGAAGAAGTATGCACAAGCCATGTTGGAGTCCCGACCTGACTTGCCACCTTAGTTGGACAGTCATCGAACGCTCTGGGCAAACAATCTTGGAGACTAGTCTGGCACAGCCTCCTGAAGCTGAGACCCGGTAGCAAGCCTCCGACAGCGCGTAGTAGCATAGGTCGAGCATTGCTGGCCACACAACGAAAACGCCAGCGCGGCAACTCAGGTTTTAGCCTCTTCATGGCATCTACTTTTGCTACTGTCATGCTGAAGATGATGCTAAGTGCGCTTATCTGGCCGCTTGGATGGACGAAGATTCTGCTTCAGCAGAATCGAGATGTGGTGTTCTAGTGGCCGAGGCTGCGCTGCTGAAGATAGCTCTGTATGAGTCTAAGGAAGCTCGTCGAGGCCTCGCCCAAGCATGCTGAGCAGATGCCAGTGCTACAGCAGGCCCTTCCCGGGTTTGCACGCTTGGGGCCCTCATGAATGCGAAGGTACGACCTGTGCGTGAAGGCAGCCCAAGACTAACAAGACTCGCCTGAGTTCTCCGTGAGCCCTGGGCTCCCCAATAGCTTCGGGGGTTGAGACTTGGGCCTTCCTCGAAGCAGGGCTTGGAGCTGTAAGAAGAAATGGGGGCAGGTGCAGGCGGTGATCGATGGGGTCGTGGGCCTGGTCGTGCCAATTTCGATCCTGAAGCTAGGCCTGGTGAAAGATTGAGGGAGGCTCTTGCTGCAAGTGCCTGCTTGGCTGACTATCTATGGCCAGACAATGTCAAGTCTGTGTTTTAAGTGTTCACACCAGGACTTTTGCTTGGATCCCATTGTCGGGAATCATGCTCAGTTTGCAGAGCTGAGGATTGCTGGTGGCATAGACTTCAACCTTTGCCGTGCCCTGTACTTTGTGAGTGGGATGCTGATTATCGCAGGAGTGGTGTTCTTTTCCAGTACTGCCACAGCGGCAGCCAATGCTAAGAAGGGCAAGTGAGGCCTTGTAACCATTTATCTATTGGTTCTCAGCTGACCTTCTTCCGTGCAGCTGGCTGAAGGCTTAAACAAGCCTTGACTGTTGGCCAATGAGCCAAGCGGCAGCACATGCCTCTCCACTGATTCGATGGCCATGGAGACGACTCGACATGTTTAGTACATGTTTCGACTCTCAATACTGCGCAAGGCGCACACGGCACTTGTAGCCGCACTGCGACACTGTTTTCCTATCCCCTCAGCGCAGCAGTGAGCCTCAAAAAGCTCCGTCTTGGATGGCACCTGGCTGTCCTGGCTATTGAAAAAAATTGACTGTTTGCGGCGTGCAAGTGCGTTGAGCCTTTGATTCCTCGTCTCTCCAGGAAGTGCAGATCCACGGCGAAGTCAACCTGAAGATCCCAGGCCGTGATTTCAGAAACAGGGCCCTACTTGTTCCTGACCCATGAGCGGTGGAAGCAGAGCAGGGCCGCAAGCCATCGACGCTGAGCACATGACATGAGTTGCAGCCACGGAAGCTGGGCACGGTGTTGAGCCTAGGAAGCATGTGCAGCGCTTGGTTGCAGCCCAGAAGTACCGCGACGTCCCCAAGACACAGAGGCCTTTGGAGGAAACTTCCGAGTGGTGAAGTTGAAAGGATTGCTTGACCGGTTTGCCAATAACTGGAAGCTTGAAGACTCAATAAGTTCAACCCTGAACAGCTCAGACAAGAAACCGATTGCAGGGTTGGAACCTCTTAGACCCGATTTCCAGGTCGTACGCCGTCGTGGTAAACGGGCCCAGCGCGCTCCGGGGTAAGTATGATGCATGGCAAAGATTGCTGTGTCCTCCTTTCTGGGCTTTTGCCTGCATGACTCTGCAGAGGGCGAACGTGGGGTCGCTTTGTGTGTGGACGGAAGCACATGTTCTCGATGCCAACCAAATTGAGGTCACATTCATGAGCTAAGGAGCGTGCTGGAGAGCTTAATGGCTACCCGCTGTACAAATGCCCCACTGGGCAGCACATGTGGTGCGACCCTGGACTCCTGGCAAAATCTTGCGGAATTTGCGCAGGTTATACTCACGAAGTCATGAACCCCCCGATGCATAGGAGCAACGACGGCTGATGTTTCCCGAGCCAGCTGAGCTTTCGAGTTGGCAGAATAAGGTATGGGCAAGTGGCGAATCTCTGAGTCTTCCATGGACGACTGGCGCTTCTCCGCTACCGCCCTCCAGCATACAACACACTTTGAAAGCTGCTCGTCGCGTGCTGGAACGCGGTGATTTTTTTAGGTGGTCCCTGGAGTCGAGTTGCCACCGCGAAGTGGCTGGGAGGCTGGGTGCGCTGACGAGGGAGCGGGACAGCTTTGGATGCAACCTCGGAGCCCGAATCCCAGAGCGTTTTCGCAGGCCCTCAACGAGTCGAGAGGCGTGCTTGCGCCGCACTTGCTCCGAGAGGCGCTGCAAGGAAGCTATTGCAATCCGGAATCCCTTTGGTGGGCTCGTCATGGGAACTGCATTTTTGCCTCTATAGCTCCATTCCACGATGCGAAGTGCCTCTACCGTGGGATTTCCTCTTCGCTGTATGAGTTGTTGCTTTCACTTCAACCCGTTTGGGGAAGGCTGTCGCAGAATGCAGAAGACCCACCGTCTGATTAAAAGAATCCGAATCTCCCTCGCACATCCTCTGCTGACGCGACAGGCGGCTTTCAACTTGAAACCGATGCCTGCTTGCAACAGAGGTCACCGTGGCTTGGCCGCAGCTGGCCTTCAACGACAGAACTGGCACTGCTAAAGATGCGGGAACTTGTACAAACGGGCATGGGCAGCGAGAGAGAGAGAGAGAGAGAGAGAGAGAGAGAGAGAAAGAGAGAGAGAGGCCTCAGAGAGAGAGAGAGACAGACAAGGGCCGGAAGGGGCCGCACGGACTTTGGCGGATGCGAACTGTTGCAGGGTAGGCCTTGGAGCATACAGGGCTTCCTCAACCACTAGCAAGCAAGCAAGAGAGAGATACGGGCAGAGGCAGAGGAGAGGCACAGAGACGGGGCCAGCAGCTGAATGTCACAAGGCTTGCGGCCAGATGTACGGGGCAACCATCGATGCCGCTGAGACCCCCAAATCCGTAAACTCAAAGCTCCCGAAGCCCCAATGTCGATCAGGGGGTGAGACGGCACTAAACCTCTTGAGTGTCCTTCGACGAGGAAAAGGGAAACTACAGTCAGTTTGTGCGTGGTAATACGGCTGGAACTGCTGATATGATGGTGGTCACGAGGGTTTTCCGATGATGGTCTCATAACGATTATGGTTCCTGTCTTGCTCAATGACGACAGCGACAAACCGCGATCATGCAAAAGCAATGATGGCAGTACGTCATCCAATCGCAGTCTTTTGCATGAGTTTGAAGCAACACGCCGCACCGGTAGCATCCTCACTATCATACACGTGCCGCCATACTTTGTAGCGACTTTGGTAAGACTGCCGCAAAGATAACTGCTGGGTTATATCGCTGCTATCACTGTTACTGTTGCTGCTGCTGTTGTTGTGGTTGTGGTTGTGCTTGTTGTGGTTATTGCTGCTGTTTTGTTGTTGTTGCCGTTGTTGTAGTAGTTGTAGTAGTAGTTGTCGTGGTAGTTCGTTGTTGTTGTCGTTGCTGTAGTAGTTGTAGTAGTTGTAGTTCCAGCACCAGCACTGGCAATGGCGGCAATTGTAGTGGTAGTGCGTCCCTGTCTTTGTGTCGGGGAGACCTCTTGAGCTTGGACCCAGCATTTGGAGGCGACGTGTGTGGAACCAGTGGCACGGCCTACCGGTGCCCTGAATCCGGCTGTGACTACGACATGTGCAAGCCCTGCTACGAGCAAGTGTGCGGGGCCTAGACGTCTGCCAGATTGAAGCTTCAAGCCATACAGTGCTGCAGACCTTGATTACCGACAGCCGGTCCTAAGTGGCCTCATTCCCCGCACAGTGTAGAATATTGGTTAGGCTGGCTGTGCGGCACGCAGCAGAAAAAATCAACCATGCCAGCACTTGGAATTTCATGGCTGCTTCCTCCTGAATCCCGCCAATATATCGGGGAAAGCATGGGGAAGCACGCTGGGCGTGCACCTGAATCCGCCAGTATTTGGGGGGGGAAAAGTATCTTGGCTGTCTTGGCTGTGCCCGTGGATCCTCAAAAAAAGAGAGCAGTTTGGCTCTGGTGTCCTGGTGGTCTCCCATGCTCGTCGACCGGTCGGCGGTCCTGGTGGCCGTGCTTGGTCGTCGGGGATCTACGATTGCATAAGTTGTGCCAAGATAGGCCCACCGATGAACAACTGCTGGAGTCATGCGATTTTTCCTGGAAGCTGTTACATGTCGCCAGCACTTGGCCAAGGCAGGAGACGTGTCAGGCTGCCGCTTCATCCTTGGCCGCAGAGGATGTGGATGCGATGATTCAGAAGCTGTTGGCGAAGGCCAGTCGGGCGAACAGGGTTTCTGGCGTATTTCTGGCTATCGGGTGCGTGTAGCAGTGTGGCATGCGGTGTGGTTGATGTTGGTCCAGTATCCATGCTCAATGCCGGAGTTGCATATGCAGAGCGAGCATGCTGCCAACTTGCGAAGCGATGAACCTAGCATGCTAGCCACAGCGTTGTGCTCCCGAGAACTGCGACCGACGAACCATCCAGGACTCTATGGGGCACGAGGTTGTCTTTCGTGTTCGGGATGGAGCCACGCTGGCAGAAGAATGGGTCGCCAGGCTCTGAATCAGGACGAGCTTAATTACCGGCTACCGAGTTCCCTTAGCATGCTATCGGCAATGGTGGATTTGCGGATTTCCCTTCACGTAGCTAACTATATCTGATTTGAGATGAGACACTTTCTGGGTTGTACCAGGGCATCTGACAGGTGGCTGGCAGGAGGACGAATCCATTCAGAAAAAGCTAGACTGACGCATGCTTCACCTGCGAACTGGCGATTCAACAGTCCAGTTTCCGAAGTTGCTTTGTGCTGTTTAGTCCTGGCCAAAATAGAGGACATGCTGGTCAAGCATACAGCAACAGACTCAAAAGTCGGATCCATGGAACAGTAGTCATCATGCGAGGCTGACGGTCTCTAGCCACAGCTACGAAGCCGCAATGAGCACCATCACGTGAACCAGTACCGTTGTTCATGGTCCTCTTCATCGCTAACATAATAGTCATCCTGAATATACTGCTGCTGGTGTCATCATCGTCATGTCACCACCCGCGTCCGAATAAGAACATGGAGGAATGCCCAGACTGTCCCACGACGACTCCTCTCATCAAAAAGGGTTTCCCACAGGCTCATCAACTAACCACGAGTATTCCAAGCGGCTGGCCTGTTGTGCTCAGGCTAAGATTGGATCCGCACTGGGCTCTGACCAGGAGAAAGCTTGCAGTGCTTCTTACTCGGTTTTTGTTGCTCTACTCTTCTGTCCATAACAGCAGAGCGGTCTTGTCCCTGTGACATGTCTAGCTCGTGCGACGAAATGTGGTTGACAGTGGAGGCCGTCCCTTTGGACCTGGTTCGCTTCCTTACGTCAGACTGTCAAGATCATTCAGTCGATGCTGCGGAGTTCTGGCGTAAGGGCGCGGATTCGCACGACTGCCCGCACAAATGAGCTAGTGGTGTGACATTCAAGTTCCATCGAATAGTGGAAGGTATAGTGGAATATGCCAAAATGGGACACGTTGCAGAGGTTGCTTATTCGAGCAAACAACCTGCCAGAAGCCTTCAGGTCAGAAATTGAACAGCTTTGTGCCGTTTTAACCTTGCGGCTTTTTATTCGTGGGGCACAGTTCGTTTCCGGCATTGGTTTGAACTCCAGTGCGGTGGGGCATGCCCAGGATGCTGAGGAAGCTGTCAATCCTAACAGAGCTTCTTTGAGACATCGTGAGGATCTCTGGACAGAGGGACTGGAAAGTATGCGGAAGTCCCTGAAAGCAGAGGCGGGCTTAGGTTGCTTGGGCAGCACAGCTCCGGGCCCTCCATTGGTATCGTTTGGGTATTTGGTACGAGTGAGTCTGGTTGCTGCACCAGTAGCGAGGGGCTACGGCTTTTTTGCTGTAAGAGGCCCATCGCAACTTCGAACCCAGGGAAACACGGAGAGGGTCCAACGATTCCTCTGCTCGTTGATCTAGGGCTAAAGATTCATCTCCCTAGCCAAACGTGGACGTGCGACGTTGAAGACTTCAGACATCCGTAGCCTCCGCCAGCAAGGTGGCTGCACGTGGTGTTGCTTAGTAGGCTTTGGGGAGATCTACGAAATGCTGAGCCCCATACTTGCCCTCCTGTCATGAGTTGGCCAACTTGAGCCGTGGGTAGCTTGATGGGCCCCTGATGCGCTATGCGCCCTATCAACAAACGATATCGTCCAAGGTGAAGCATCCATCCTGGAAACGAGCCATCCCTACGATGCGAAGCGCTTCCAGTGGCGCAAGCAGGTGGCTGATAGTATTGCCATGTCGTTCTGCATGGAGGTCATGATTGAATGTTGCCACTTGCGCTCTTGGACAAGATCACAAGGCTCGGCTAGGCTAGTGAAGGTCATGGTTTCGAGACTCGTGATCTCGGGTCGATGTTGCACTTGTGTGCAACGCTTGGTTTCGGACGTACAAGGGCACTGTTCGTAAGCCGGTAGGGGCCTGTTCGGTTGAGTTGCTAAAGTCCCAGGTCCAGTCATGCCACAACTAGCCTCTCGGCCCGCTCGATTCAAAACGGGGCTTGAATGTGGCGCAACGATACGTTTTGATACAAGTAACATAAGATGATACTCTGTGGTTATCGTCGTGCCTAGCTTTCGGGAAGGTGCACATGGACGGTGCAGCAGCGCTGGACGTCTTCTTTTGCCAGAAGTCACTTCGGTCTGAGTTCTTCACGTCCTTTGAGTTCCGTCCAGATACACGATGATGAGTTTGTTTTGTTTGGTTCCTGGCCTGAAGACATTCTAGTGTTGTTGCCATGGAACCTGAACCTCCTGAGCCGGCTGATCATCACTTCCCTGTGCATCACACCGAGGCAGAAGCCTCCACACATGTTCAAAATACAACAGCAACTGCAAGTTCCTTTGTACGCATGCATGCATGCGTTCATGTCAACCTTTCGCTGCCTCTCGCTCTCTCTAGCTCTCTCTCGCCTTCTTCCTACTGATGCACAAATCTGTCCGCAAAAAGGTATGTACACAGACGCACAATCTACATGCACGTGTGTATGCATGCATACATGCGGGCGTTTATGCCCGGGGCTACATCGGGTCGAAGTTATTCCAGCTGGGGGCTGAAATGGCTCCTAGAAATGCTGCGCCGTCCGTTTCAGCTTAGATCAGCGATTTCAACCATGGGCACATGTTAAGTGAAGTTGTCGCTACATCACATATTTCAGCGCGTGTCCTTTTTGAACGGCTCAAATGCGTTCGGTCTACCAGACAGCTGTGTTGACTGTGAGCTGGAAGGGAAGATTCGCCGTAGATAGAGAGCAGTGCGCGGAGCAGCAGAGGGAAGTCATCTCACGTGTTCCTGTAGGTGCACACGCTCCTGCCATCTTGGTGTTGTCCCAGGGTGGAGGCCCGCTACTGCGCGCCTAGCTGAAATCGCTGGAGCTGGCCGGGCGCAGCTAAAGTAGGGGGGTGTAAGATGCGGCCGCTGGAAATCATTAGGCTTGACAAAAGGAAATGGAGAAAACAAAAACGGGCCCGGGCTCTGGAATGGCTCCGGAAAGCCCTTAGACGTAGCCAACAAAGCACGAGCCCGGGCCCGCTTTTTGTTCTTTGTGCAGGTTCCTTGAAGCCTTTATGGTTTTCTGGTCTCATCCAAGCAGCGCTTCTCCATGGCTCCATGAGCGCAGGGGATCGTGTTCTGAATGCTCGATGCAGTCACGTGCTGCTGGACCTCCACCAGATGAAGTGGGCCGCCGCTGCTGCGGAATTCGGACAGATGCCGGAAACGGTTCCTGCACGCCATTGCACGCCGTCACTGTCAGGAACTTGCAGGAGCGAGCCGCCTCCGCAGTCCTCACAGCCTAGCGGCGTCTGTTCCATACAGGAGGTCCAGGCTGTCGGAATTCAAAGTCGAGCAATGGTTCTCTCTTCTGCCTTGCAATTTGCCAACGGCCAGATGACGGCCCGCAGCTATGTGCAGGCTTCTGCGCGTTGGCAGCGTCGCCACTTGCAGGATATTCGCCGAGGAGAGCCCCCAGTGCCAGGCACATCCAGGCATCCGACATTTGTGGTGCAACCGCTCACAGACGAAGCCTTCCTGCAACTGTCCACTCCAGCACTGTCGAATTCTAGCATCGTGTACACCTGCAAGCCAGCGCAGACAAGGGTTGCCACATTCGGCCTCTGGTCACACACACACACACATACACACCTCTCGAATGCAGCGGTGCGACGAAATGAGATTCTTGCCCTTGTACGCTTTGATATGCTTCGCATGGAGCAAGGTGACATGATCCGCCTGGGCGTGTGCAAGTACTGTTGTTGGAACCTGCATCGCCCCATTTCAGCTTCCACTAGCCTACATCTTGAAGATATGGTTCCAAAATCAACATATCGACCTACACTGGTCCATTTCAACCCTACGCCCCACCATTTCAGCAGCTGATATCGGGGCATGTAGGTCTGCTGATATGTAGACACGGGGATACATACATGCTCACATGCATGCACCCAATGCATGCATGAATACATGCATCTGTGCTTACACGTACGTATACACTTCATGCATCAATATGCACACACACATACCTACATACATACATGCATACAGACCTATGCTAGCAGATACGTACCTGGAAACATGTTTAGACATTGTATGTACATGTACACATACATGCGTAGCAATACTTTTTAATGCATACAGACGCGCGAGCGGAAGTTTATATATATATATATGTGTGTGTGTGTGTGTTGGGAAAATGCAGGCACACATACCGAAGCATGTAGTTGACTCCTAAACCTCGCGTGCCTGCCGAGAGCACGTGCCAAAAATACATTCAAAAAGAAGCCTTCAGACATATGAATAGAACCGTATACTCCATGTGTATACGCATATTAGTATATATACAGACATAAATGTGTGCGCATACAGTACACTTACCTGCGCTTGCAGACTTATACATCCAGACTTATACCCAGGAACATACATGTGTTCACTTAGGTTTGGATACATATGCATGGTTAGCTAGGTACACATACGTACATGAATTCAGAAACTCATACACATGTAAATACACAGCTGCGCAATCCTACACAAGCATGCAGCATACATGCATACAAGGATACATGCATACTTACACATTGACACATACACACCTACACATGCACGTGCACAAGCCAACATACACACTTATGTACATACCTGCATACATGCATTCATGTATACGTGCATGCACACAGACAGGCACACACACGCACATACGTAGACAGACGCGCGCATGCACAGCATGCATGCACGCATCTATGACTTGCATATAGACGCACAGGCACACACACATACGAGCGTATCTACGAATGTACAAGCATGCATACACCGCACATTTAGCATACATGAATGGACATATCTGAATGTATATGTCCGTGTACACGCGTGTATATATATATATATACATATGTGATTATATATATATATACTATATATATATATGGCGTTGATATGCACTCCTGCACTGCTCTGTATGTTTGTGTATTTGGTCCTGGGCTTTTCGGCATGGAGTGCATACTGACCCTGGGATCTTCCCTCTCGATAGTCTCAGTAAGTTCGGACGAGTTCCCTGCGGTGCGACTTGTTTCAGCTGGGCGGGTGGCAAAAAAAAAGAATATATATATATATATATATATTCAGGTGTTGGTCTGTTTGTTTGTCTGTCTGTCTGCAGGTAGGTGTGTATGTGTGAATGCGTGGGTGTGCGTGGAAGCATGCATGTGTAAACCCCATGCTTCTTGGACAGTGACGCACATAGATACAAAAAAAGAATGTGGGAAAGAGGTCCACGCTGGCCTAAGGAGTTGCACTTTGGACAAATCCGCCCGCTTTCGCATCTTCTCCGGTGGCCTTCGCCGGCCGGCGGCTGGCACCGGAAGCCGTGTGGAGATTACAGTGCCAGGAGCAGTGGGGGTTCAGAGTTGCTTCTGTGTTTACGGATCTCGTCTGTGTGTAGGGCTTCTGGTTTTCACGGTTGAGGTGTTGCTGTGAGGTCGTGGTGCGGGCAACGTTGGCTTTGCCTGGCAGCTACTACAGACCTTCACAGCCCCCAGTCAGATCTCTCATGGCTCGACCATGCCTGAGAGGAGCGAAGGGTGACAAGGTGTGGGGCACTGTCGCTTTCAGAAGCGAAGGCAGGAAGCGGCATAGTCTCCGTCTCCGGGTGTTTGAAACCGAGGGGATGCGTAAGTTGTTACACTCGCGACTGCAACGGAATTCAAGGGCATTCTGGGTTTCCACACCCTCTTGATTCTGGTTGCGTCGGCTTAAGGCTTGCATGTGTGATGCCGAAATGGACACTGCAGTTTGAGCTGCCAGGAATTGCTGCACCTGTTGCTGTAGACATTCTAGGCCGCTTAGGGCCTACGCCTTTCACATGAAGATGCTGTGGTGCAACATAGGCTGTTTGCTGTGAGGCCGTTGGCTGGTAAACTTGGATGTGCAGGAGGGGACAGTGAGTGGTGTCAGCTGCACAGTTCACTGCAGGAAATCGTGGGCTGCGTAGCTTGCGTGATGTCGGACCGAAAGGGAAGCTAAGAGTGTGACCTCCTCACGTGCTGCCGGAATGCTATCCAGGAGGAGATGGACAGCGATTCGTCATTAGCAGATCAGACTGGGTTGGGACCTCGGTCCTTGATGTCGAACATCCAGTTTGGAAGGGTGCCTGTTTCAACTGGTGTTCGTTCGGCACTTTCGTTCGGCTGGCAAGCAGCCAGCAGTAGATGCCGACTGCGAAACTCTGGCAGTCTGCTTTTCAGGAGCAAGCAGACGAAACCATCAAAGCCTCCGTCGTGGATCTCTGCTAGCTAGTCTTTCTGTTTGCACAGGTTCCCCCTCCGTAGATCTCGCATGTGCAGAGATTGTGCCGTGTGAGGGTGCGTCGTGCTGAACATCGGTGTGACTTCACCTGCCAGCCTCCTCCAGGGTATTATACTCATCTTGCCGTCCCTCTGCCCAGTTGCGCGTACATCCAACTCCGTCGGTCTTTCTGTTTGGATGTTTCCTGGAAGTAGAGCTGTGAGGCCCCACATCCGGGCAACAAGAAACAGGATGAGCCATCGTTCTGTCTTGTGCGTGTGGGCAGATCACCGGTGCTGCCGTAAGATGAACAGCACGTGGTGGACCTCCCCGAGGGCCTCCCGAAGAGCAGAAACCGGAAACCCGAAGCCGTACCTTGACAGCCTGGGAGCCCTTCGTGGTTCAGTCGTACGCCATCTCTGCATGCTTTCGGGTTTTGCATCCCGTGCTAATCCGGACATGGAAAACGCCGAAAGGCTATCGGCCGAACCCTCTCGTGCACCTGCCTTTCGAGCACCGAAACAAAGGATCTGCACTATGTCACCTGAAACCGTTTTCTTAGTAGAAGCCGCAGACACACAAGGCTTGGAACCGGTAACGGCGCGACAAGTGCTTGTGATGAAAGGCGGTGTTCACTACTTCGACTGCAACTGCTGCTGTTTGCTGTACTACGTGACGGCAATGGCGAACGTTGCTGCTGTTGTAGAAAGCCTCCTTTGAGTCGTCGATCCTGATTCGGAGGTTCTCCGCGAAAAGGGACTACTGTCATTGTCAAGTCGTTTATACCTGCACCCTTTCAACGGAAGAAAGACAATTACGCCATAACATGCTGGGTTATAGTCGACTGAAGCACGCCAGCGCTGCGAGTTCGGAGGTGTTGCTTGTTTTGCCAAGACTCCCCAGTTTGAATTTGTTTGATGCACAAAACTCACCAGTGAACACCGTAGCCTTCCCTCCTCGAGGTGGCCTGTGGTCGGCGACGAGGTCGAGGTGGCCTGGAGTTGTGACAAGTGCAAGTATGTGTGAAGCTTTCCCCGTCATGTGTGTGTGTGTGTGCGTGTTTGTGTTTCTGTTTCTGTTTGTGTGTGCAATCTCGCCCTGATTAAGTGCGTAGATCCGGCAGATTGTCCAACCCTGGAGACGGCAAGCTTCTTGAGGCCAAAAGTGGATCCTGGCATCGCGCGACAATTTCCGAAGTTTGTCACCTGGACCCAAGATTCGCACAGAGGGAGTGGCGGACTACGGGTCCGTACGACCGGCAGTGTTGAGGCCTTGCTCAGGTCCTCAGGATTGTTTCCATGGGGCGCGTCGAATCCGAAAGCAGCTTCTTCATGCACATGACCATGCTTCAGTAGTATCGCGAACTGGCTTCTAATAAGTCGAAGAAGACATCATAGTTCAATAGAAAGAGAGAACACTGCAGATGTATCCACAAGGGGAGATGGGTAGGCAAACAGACACCGCATGTACCGCAGTATGCATGGGAGAACGGACAGGTGTCGCACTGCACTGGCTGTCTGGGTTGATGAAGGATACCAGTACACGCTGAACATGGGCTGTGCGGCCTGAGGCGAAGATGGCACCTTCGTGGTGGATTGGTTCGACAAGGATGGCCAGGCGGGGGAAGAGTCTCTGGGCTTCCACGTAACCATGGATGAGCCCGACGCCTGTGTTCCCTGCCTACTGATCTGTGCAGGACCGCAAGAAGCAGCGAAGTGAAATCCGACGGCCAGTTCCTAGAATCTTTGCTCAAGGCGGAGGTTTGATGGTAGGCCTCAGTGAAGTAGCCAGAACTCTCAAGCCTACGAGGGAGGTTCGGGGAAATGGATGCTTGGTTAGGTTCTTCCTGTTTCATCCTCCGAGAGTAGAACTTCCTCACAGACATGTTGAACTGTTGCCGGGTTCTACGGGGCCCTCCGCGTGCTGCTGATCTGATCACCAGAAAATGAATCTGATTATTGCAGGCTCCAAGTCCCGATCCTCGTTTCTAGCCATTCTAGCCTGACATGCCCGATGTGCACGAAGTTCAGAGATGAAGCGACGTGAAGTCGAGGAGGACCTGAAACCAGCACATGCGGCAGAGTTCAGAGTCCAGAGATGTCCCTCATGTGTATTAGCTTTTGACCGCACATCCTGGAGACTCTGCGAAGACTCCCATAAGGACCCTTCGATCATCGCAACCTAGACGATCTGCCGCGCTTTGCCGCTTTCCCTTCGATGGCGAAGGCTGGCGATGCGGAGTGTCTCGGGGTTGACGTTTATGATGTTTTATGATTATTCGTGGCGAATGTGTTGCACTTCGGCATCCGTGGCAAGACCTTTGTTGCTGGCATCATTGATTTCTCAAGTGGACAGTCTGCTCCAAGCTGAGGGCATCTTTAGCTTCGGCTTCGGCCATACTGAAAAGTGCCGACGTCATGCTGGTGCTCTGGGATCCCTCTTGGGCACGTCGCCTTTGGTGTGTGCGGGAGTTGGCCGCTTTCATTCACAGCAGGCCCAATGGCGAGAAGCTACGAGTCAGTGTCAGACCAACCATGCTGGGATTTACCATGTCCGCTTCCGGATTTGCGTTTCTGCTTTGGGGGTTTGCTTTTCATGTTGCTTTCCACAGGATTGGGTTGGATGGTGGCCGCAATGGGGCGTCCTTGCTGTTCATCTCGCTTGCTTGTTGTGGTGAAATTTTCGGGTGCATTGCCCACCTCGCACGTGAGTACTGCCGTCACGTGACTGACCACCATGGGCCAGCACATCGGACACTTCCGTGTGGCGGCGGCTGCAAGCTTTTGTTGTTCCACAGAATCCAGAAGACCCGGCAGTGACGAGCCTGTGATGTGTGACCGGGAGGTGATGCAAAAATGCATCACCATCTGGTTCGGCAGCATTGAATCTTTTGAGCAATGCGTCCAAGGCGAGGTGTGCGATTTGATGGTGAGTCAGCTCTCACGCCAAATGGTTTCATACTGGGGACTGGCTGAGGCCTCCCCGATTGTCTTTTTGATAAAGTGGCATTCCACTCGAGGTACATATGGCAAATCTAGGTGACACCACTGCACTCCACATCTTCGGCAGCTTGCGCGTTCTCGTCGGCCTGTCGTTCTGGCTTGGGCTGGTTCAGATTCTATTCCGCATCATGTTCCTCCTAGCTTGTAGCTTGGATCATGCAGGCAAGGTGTGCTTGCCGGCTATTGGCATGTCACTTCTCCTTGTACTGGCCGACCTAATTATCTTCAGCTGCTTTGTCTTTCCCGACTCTCTCCTTGGAAATCTGTTAGCATCACAGCGTTGTGTGAGAAGGACCGGAAGTGCACCGCGGTGTGCTTGGACGAGCCGCGCAGCGTCCATGTGCGCTTCGCTGCCGGACATTCCGCAGCCTCGGCCCCAGTGAAGCCGGACTGGAAAGCTCGGGCTCAGCGGCTCTGACTTTCGGAGGATAGAAGTACGTGTAAGTATCCTCGACGCATAAGACATGCGTAAGACCATGAGAGCTTCGGACTTGATGTCGAGGTGGACGAGCAGGGCTACACCCCCATGGTCGGAGATGAGATCGCGTCATTCGCGCTGGACCCCTCGCCGTGCGGTGGTAGTAACAGGTATATAGGTATTCGATCGCCTGAATGGGAACTCGAAGCACGATCTTGCAGTGTGACGACAGCTCCCCGTGGTCCGCAATATCAAAGTGCGAAGAACATGGAAAACAGTCTGTGTGCCTGCGAAGCCTCGCAGGACCCAAGCTGTCCTCTCGCGCCTTTGTCAATTGGCTCGTTTGTAGGACCTGGACCGGCGCAGGCAAGGCAGCACGGGGTTGTCGTAATTTCTGCATTATCCACAGGTCACGATCCTTGCACTTGACGAGGTAATTTTGCTTGCAAAGCCTGGCGAAGCTGCTACGGTTTTTCAATCCAGCTACCATGTAGCTTTCGAGGGATACAGCCACGCTGGAGGCCCTGGGTGGTAGGTTGAATGAAGACTAACTGTCCAAACTTGCCTTCGACACTGCTGGGCCAAGAGGACTCTCAATTTAGCAAACTCAGGATATGGGAGGGGAAGGTGGGCGAGCATACCCGTTGGCTCGAGCACTGCTGCTGCAGAGTTGCTGGGCGTGCAGGTTCCTTTCGATCTCTGCTCTGCTCCTCCTAAAGCCTGGGTGCCCGCCCTGCCGATGTCTACCATCCCTGTCTTGGCTTGTGCAGGAGCAGGGGGTGGAGGCCGGCTGGTATGTCGACTTGGTCGCCACTCTTGGAGGCTCGGGGTCCAGCAAGATGCCACAACAAGCGGATCGCCGAAAGCAGAAATCACCAGTAGTCAACAAGTATTGCACAGCCACTGCGGGATCTTTCGGGGCTGAGCGTTTTATGGTGCCCCGCCTGTGAGGATAAAGCATCACATATTCATCTCACGCTTTGGAAGACGGTTGTCGTCTCTCTCTCTCTCTCTCTCTCTCTCTTTCTCTCTCTCTGTCTCTAGCTCCTTCTTTTTCATACACTCACAGGGCCAGCCGTACAGACACCCTGTCGGAGCGAGCGACTTGAAATAGAAACGAGGAGTTCATGCACATCATGCGCATGTCGGAGCTTCTTTTCGCAATCAGCACAAACACACCGTCCAGAGCAGAGATCCTGATTGTGCCGACTGTGTCGTGGTTGGTTACACTGAGATTCACATGCAGCAAAGGTAGAGTGAGTGGGCATGCCGCCCTGTGCAAACATGCATACGTACGCAGCTGGGGTCATCCATGCCAGGACCCTCGCGGAAGGAGTTGTCAGAGCTGCTGAAGACCCTCGGCACCTGGGCTCTTCAAAGAATGGCACAATCGTAGGAGTGCACTCTCCGGCTTCCGAGTTTCAGACCAACCTGAATTCAATGCCGAGCGCCTCTCTGAAGATGTGATCCTTCCGAGCCAGGCGGCTGTGAGGTGAACATCAAGGATCTCAATGCTCTGACAGAGGCCATCTCATTAATCCTGAGCTTAAGTCTTAAGTCATCTCCAGCCGGAGCGAGTGCTTCATATGCCTCGAGTGGGTTTATATGCTTGCAGGCAGTCTTTCGGAACATTGCAGAAGTGCAGACCAAATTCAACGAAGATCTCCGTGCCATGCGCCCCTTGGTCTTTGATTCTCCTCTCTTATGACAGCGGGGATCAAATCGGATAGGTTATCTGAGAATTATCTTCCCTGAATAGGATTCGCGAAGGACTCGACAGCTTGATTCCAGCATTCGAAGTTCAGCGTGCTGCACCAGATAAAAATCTTGTGAACTTCGCAGATGATGATCTGCAACTCGGCATGCTTGCAATATAGCTCGGCTTAGCATTACGGCATTCACGTCTTTGCATGTGTTCTTCCTGCATTTTTCAGTCACATGCCCGTTTCCTCACCGAAGGAGACATCACCTTGATCTTCACGAACAGCTGCTCGCCAAAGCAGGTCGCCCCCAGCATTTTGACAAATCTGTTCGCTAGCGCACTTAAGGTTAAGATTTCCATCCGCTGCAGCTCTTCAGTGTCCAGATTGTTAAAGAGCCTGGCGGGATGCAACACCACGGGCCTGATGACGTAGCAATCGTGTTCAGTTTTTTCCGAGACCAGGTCAATCATCTTGGGAGCAAAGAGTTCGGGAAAACTGCATCGCTCACAGAGTTGAATTCGCGGGAAGCCCAGCGATTTCTCCTTCCAGTGCCAGGTATTGGTTTTGCCTGAGGCACACGTCAAGCTCCTTGGCGGCACGGATCCACTCAGAATTCTAAAGTTTAATTGCTATCTCGAAGTCACACTCGGATGCCCACGGGTTCTTGAGGTTCCCCGACACGACGGCCGCCTCGAGTGAGATCCCCGGTTTTCAGCTGAGCCTTGGCGGATACTCTCAGGCTTTTGAGCTGTCCGTGGAAGCACTAAACCGATGAATGGATTGTCGCCACGCAAAGCTGCAATGCAGCTGAGTCCCGCCACTGAACAATACCAATTAATTCATCATGCAGGAGGCAAAAATCAATTCCAGTACCGCTCGAGAGTGCGGCCTTGTGTTCCAGCATGCAGTGCACAAGTGCATGCAAAACGAGTTGCCACTCGCAACCACTTCACCCGGTGGCAGTGGACCGTTTCCCATCTTCGCAGCTAAGGACAGCTGGCACTGTTGCCTCTGAGCACCCTCCGGACACTGCAGCCTGGCCAGCAATGCAGGCTGTCATAATGTCGAGGGCCATCGAGGGCCAAGGGGCCAAGATGTGTGTGAAGGTTGGTTTCTAGCTGGTGTTTGCTTCCAAGCCTGCGGCAAGGTAAGCTTTCACTTAGCAGCCGTTGAGGTCACAAGGACTGTCCTACTAGCTCCGGCTCACAGAGGCGAGTCCTAGGATGATGAGTCACAAGCGCAGCGCTGAGTCTGGGGCCTTCGTTTGTGCTTCGCTCCCCAGGTTACTGTTGGACCTCACGGGTGCGACACCTGGCACGTAATTGTTCTCTTGGCCGGAGTAGGGCTGGATGGTCGGACCCTATCGAAGCTTCTGTTTGCCAGGCAGCAGTCAGAAGCAGCAGCGTGACCCGTGTTGACTGTTAGCCATGCATGGTCAGATGGTCACGTGGAGCTGGTTGGGGCGGGGAAGCCTGGGTGTCGCGAGCTGTAGCCCGAGGAGCTCAAAAAATTTGACAATGGCTCTGTCACGTGGTGGTGCGACCACTGCTCTCCGCACTGCACGCGCGAGTCGGAGGGTCCAAAGGCAGGAGGTCAAATGGGATACGAGAGTCTTTTTTGGCGTCTTAAAGGTTCGGCCACAGAAGTCCCTCGAGGCTTTCGCTTGCCCGAACAAGTGGATTACAAGGGGCTTTGGAGTAGAGAAGTGGCCATGGGAAGCAGCATGTTTTGAATGAGATTTGGAATTATTTATGCTTACCACAACGCCCTTTCCGGCTTGTTACCTCATCATCCAATCACCGGCCCCAGTCCAAAAAACCTGCAATGCCACACCGGTCTGAAATGCGGTCGTCGATAGGCCAGGGACATGCTGCACCCCAAAGGATAAAACGCATTTATACGGGGCGTTGTTCGGAGATGGTGTCTCAGCGCCAGAGGACGATCTCTCCGACTAGTGTGGCGTTGCTCGGAACACGATCTGCGTGATGATCATAGCCATGGGAAAGAACCCCTCACTGTATGCGCCATTTGCGGTTGTACATTTGAGGGGGAATACATCTTATAGGAATTGCGTAGGTGCGCTGGAGTTGCCGAGCGCACGGCTACGACCTGTGCCGCGGATGTGTGAAGCACCACATGACCAACTCACCGCCGCTCCTTGGGTGATAAGGATCGGATAGCTACTGTACCTAGTGCTGCTCTCTCTGTGCGCCCGCTAGGGGTTGCTATTGCTGCTGCTGTGCTACTTCTATATCGACTGTGCTAGCTACGCGCTGGAGCGTTCACCGAGAAGCTCTCGCACTACGACAAGTCAGAATCAACAAGCATGCCATGGCCGGAAATCAAGACTTGCATGTCCTAGCGTCAATATTCTACATATTGTTCAATCTCTCAGTCAGTCTGTCTGTCTACGATGCCATGCCTTGTGGAATATTTTCAACATAAGGTTGCCAGTCGGATTGAATGTGGAGCTCGCGAGTTTGAGCCTTGGCTGGTAAGATTGAACAAACATGTTTGCTGATGTTGCTTTCCTTCTGCGAGATTTCCACCCTTCAGAAATCACCGGAGAACTTGCTCCGGACCCTCTAATGGACTTCACACCAGCGTAATACAGTTTCCAGCATCATGTTTCTTGAAATGCTGCGCTGTAGGCACGGGGCCTGTAAGTTGGGCTAGCCTAGAGAGAGTGAGAGATCAAAAAGCCAGCGAATTGGCTATGTAGTGCTGTTTTCTTTTTGGTGTAGCACTCCTTCCACACGGGAGTCGGCAATGGAAACCTCTTCGAAGAGGAATCCCCAAGGGCTGCAAGCAAGCAAGCCAGCAAGAAGGAGGTTCGCATTTTCATGCCAGCAGAACGCCCAGAATAAACAAAGCTCCTGTTGGTGTTAGGATTGCTTGGTCAGATCTGCCACTGACCACTTGCTGCTGCCGATCTCTTGTCTTACCCGGACTTGTCGTGAATCCTTGCCTGCTTCGTGCGAGTTGCGCGTGCCGAAAAACTGCCAACAGAAGGGTGCCTCTTGTGGGGCGATGGTTTGTGACGGTGCCCTTAGTGGTTTTGAAGGACTACCGGCGGCTGCTGCCATGCTGCGGGGGTTCGCACAGATTGGGCGCTGGACCTTCGGTGGCTCGGTGGTATTACTGATTGTACTTGGGAACCCGAGCAACTGGCCCAGATTTCCGGTGAACTGAGGAAAACGCTGCACTTCAATCGGCACCTGAAGGCACAAGCGTCTTTAGGAGATTGCGCCACTTGGCGAGGTCTTCGTCACTTCGGATCAAAAGGCGAAACTGAAAGAGGGCTCACATCCCAGCATAAGGGCCGCTGATGCATGGACACCGGAGAGTGCAGGCCAGACCACCCTTCTCGCCCAGACCGTCTATCTACATATATATATATATATATATATATGGATACGCACATGTTGTATAGTTCATATCTATATCTATTTCTATATGGTATATGTATATATACGAGTCCAGCTCGAAGACATTGCAGCCAGTGCTCCTGGGACGCATCTCAGCACCGCAGGCATCCATGCCCGATGTCTTTAACCGCCTCACAGAATGTGTGGAGGAGGCAGCCGCTGTGGCGACAGAGCATGACAGAGCCACATCAAGGTTTGGGATTGAGGTTCTGGGACGTATAGTGACAGCCTTGCCCCTTCTTCGAGCAGTGCCAGAGTTACTAACTAGCCTACTGAGAGGAAAAATGGATTTGTAGACTTATCCTTCGGCTGCAACTACTCCGCCAAGGAGAAGGCAAAACAAGAGCAAGGAACCGGATTGTCGAAAAAGGCCATGTTTTGACGTGCTCTCGCTGACTCGAACGGCTGTGCGGAGCTTGTCCCGGCTGTGAGTTGTACTGCTTTGATTGTGCAGGCGAAGAAAAAGAAGGCTAAGAAAAGGAAGAAGGCAGCCCGCATTGAGAAAGAGGCAGAGGCACACTGGCTCTTGGAGCCGTGGTACACGCTTCGTTTCCCACGAGCTGTTCGTGGCAAGACCTCAACACTGCCGCTGTTGGGCAAGGGTTGTGCAAGTAGTGGGCCTGCAGTGACTGGCTCCACAAGCCACAGAGTGGAAGACGAAGATCGTAGGTACCTTTGTCCCCGCCGCTGCAGGCAGCAGCCGCGGATGCGACGCCATCACCCGAGAAGCCGGGGAAGACCGAGGAGGAAGCGGAGGAGCTCAGCCCGACGTTGTAGCATAAGTGACCAAGGTTGAGCAGTGCCATCAGGCCCCCCTACAAGATAGCCAACTAGCAGCTAGCATGTGCATTGCACTATGCATGGTAATCAGCACTTTGAACTTGTTCTGTGTTGCAGGAGGTTGAGGCTGCTGCGAAGGCTGCTTGGCTCGGATGCCGTCTGATCAGTCGACCGGGGTCTGCATCGCTGTTTAGCATGGCTTAGTATCTCGCTGGAGACCTTGACCGAGCATGGGTCCTAAGCACCACGCACAACAGACTTCTTCGAGCTTGACAAGTCGGGCAACGCTTGACATTTGCGCTATTGGAGAATAGGGCTGGCATCCGGTTTGGGAGCAGGGGCTGAACTTGTTGCTTGCATTTTTCTGCACGACCTGTTCAGTCCTATTCTGCAGGATTCGGGAGACCTCCGAAGCTGGACAGGAAATGTTACCAAACTGTGGAGCCCCCTAAACGTCCAAAAGAAACGGATGTGTGTCTAACTCAGGCGTCAGCTGCACCCCCGGCGGCTGAAGCTCATTCGGAGATCAGCCGCTCGACAGCAAAAAAACTTGAATCTTTGGGGACTTCAGGCACTGTATCGACTGTGATGGACAACTGTTGCGGCTCAAACTTCAACATGAGCACACGATTGAAACCGAGAGCGAGCTCTTCAGTTTCTTAGGAACTTGGAGTCTCTTGATTGCCCGACTCTAGTCTTCATACTGCTGCGCACTCTGCTTTCTTTGAAGGTATCGAGACCCGGGAGTTCACTTTGTCTTGGGAGGAGAAAGACATGTTTTTTGAGGCCCGAGGGCATGTGCTAGCTTGAGCACTTACTGCTGGAAGATCCGCAACAATGGCTTCGCAGTCACTATGCGCCCGTTAACGTGCAGGTCAGCCTGAACATGTTCATGCATGACCCTTCCGTCCTTCGCCAGCCAACGACCCTCAGTCCATGCAGACCTCTGCGGCCTCTTCGCGCCTGAATGCTGCCTCAGCACCGGATACTCACACACATTCCCTTGCAGGTCCGCGTACACACAGATCATAATTCCAGCTGCGACAAGTCCCTGTTGTGCTGGTATTCCATTGCCCATGCTGGGCACTGGGCACGCTAGGAGTCAAGGAATGTGAAAACGATTGCAAAGCAAAAGTGAGGGTTCTGTGAGAGGTCGTCGACCGCAAGATGAAAGCTCTGATGTCCGAGATGCTACGATGCACTTCATGGGTGAACTCTCCAGGTTTTGTTGGTGGTCAGTAGTGGAACAGGAAAATTCAGCTACGATAGGTCAATTTTGCCTGTATCTCTCAAGGTTTATGCACGTTCAGCGTTTTTTTGACCATTCAGGAATCCGTCCAGGGTAGAAAGGTGCCACCAGGATGTAAAACGCATCTAGCCGACGAGAGGAACTGTGAACATTCGCATCTGCGTTCCTGTTTCGTGGAACTGAGCCCTTCCATCTGCCAACCACATCCCGACAGCCCCGAACAAAGAATCCCTATACTATACCCGGGTATCAAGTCCAAATCCGATAATTTCGATAATCAACGATTAAAGATGCAAAAACATCAGCCTGCTTGAAAGCCGCTGTCTGGGCTCCCAGGCTCGGGTGGTCCGACCCCTCCGAGCTGGAGGGCGCCGTGCCGTTCTTCGATCCGGACACCGGCTGTGGCTTTAGCTCACACGGCTGGCAGCCCTGAGCCACAGTGATAGGATGACTCTGCGAAGTTGAGGCTAAGCGCATCCAAGCGAAGAGTGTTGAAGGGCAAGGTCTTTGGGCCCCCAGTAGTGCCGAGCTATGTCCGTTCGGGGATCCTTCACACGAATGGGCCCTTATGATAGGATCCGAGCACGAAACTCGTAGGGCCGAAGCCCCGCCCCCCCCGCTGCAGCGGTGCAAACGTCTCCTGCCAGGACCCTCATGTTGTCGACAGCACGGGCACGCGTGTTGAGGGTCCGATGATGATCTTTGCCGTGCCTGGGCTGGAGTCATATATCGTAAGATAGTGAAGGTATGACCAGCATGATACCCGCATGAGTGCTTAACCTGATGAGCCGTGGGAATTCTCACGGCATCATTTAGCCTGTGCAGAGCACAGCATGTGTCAGGATTGTCAGGTCCATGGGTATGCGAGAGTTCCGACCAATCGTTCGTCCAGTCCATGGGAATTACCGATTCCGTGCTCAGCACGTCTTTCGAGCGACTAGACCGACAGCGGGTTTTGCAGCCGGTTCGAAAGTTTCGTGGACAAGTGCGCTGTGGGATGCTTCGGCTGGAAACTACTTGGCTTTTGCACGAAAGCCTTCAGTTCAAGGCAGCAACACATCCTGAGTTTCTGGCTTTGTGGCGATGCAAAGTCACAACCGGCTGTAGCAATATGCACCTTGCGAGCCTCGCCCAACCCGCCCCGCCGTGTTGGAAGTTTAGAGATGCCACCCCGGAATTTGCGCATGCGCGAGCAACTACTTTGCCAAGGACGATCCAGCCGGCTTCCCCCTGACCTTCAGGTTCAAGTTGCCGCGGCGAAAGGTCCACCGATACAAAGCCGGGCATGACCGCAGAATGTAGCATCCAAAATGTGGTTCTCTGGGAGTTGGGCGTGCTCACAGTCCTCACCTGCTTTACGACGTGATGTATGCCATATACATACGTACATAAATACATACTAACATACTGCTGCCCACATTATATATCACATGCATATGTGGATGCGCAAGTATCTTCTCTATATGCATGCATACAAATACATGCATACAGACACATATTCGGACAGACCTACCTGCTGGCGTGCTGTGCCCTCGTGGATTCCTAGTTCTTGAGTCGACTTGGAGTGGGTCGACTAACGGTGAAACCTTTGTGCAGGCAGCTTCGGCACCTACCTACATACATACAGCCTGCGTACATGCGGACACGCACGTACACTCTACACACACGCGTGCGTACATCCATTCATGCATACATGCACACATAGGATCACATAGGTACACATACGTGCATATACTACCTACCTGTACCTACCCAATAGGTCTATCTATCGGTGTATCTACTTTTCCATTATCCCAGTATCCATCGATGTATAGACACATGAATGCATGCATAGATACATGCACCACCACATTGCTCCGACAGAAAAAAATCGCACAGACATACATTTAGGCATATGCGCACATACGCGCATACATACTGACCCTCATACGTACGATACACAAATACATAAATGCAACACGTTCGCACATGCACATGCATACAATTACGTATTCACTTGCTTACCGATTGGCAGTCGCAGCTACATGCACGCATACTTGTATATACATATATTCTTACATACACGTGCATATGCATATACAAATACGCAAACTTATATGCATGCAGAAAGCTCGTTTCAAGGCAAGGTCTTGCGTGCGGCTCCAGGAGTAGCTGCATCCAGATCCTTTTGGATCCCAATTCTGGTGTGCATAGCAAGACTACGGAAGAACTCCGTGTAAATGGTTCTGCAAAAAAGTCTGAACGAGCAAAAAAAAGCATTGGAATACCCCGAGGCGGCTGCAACGGAATCGCCTGGTGATGACAAGGAAGCGGAGCCGGTTCTGGAGGGAAAGGAGGACACCGGTGTTTCATGACCAGGCGGACCATGTCCATACAGGCTACAGCAGACCTACGGTCATCGCGTGCCCTTTGATCGAACAGGATGACGACTGCTGTGTGGCTGCCGAGGGCGTTAATTCAGTGGTCAGGGTTCTCATGATTGCTAGTGGGCACATTTATGGGAAGACTCTCTCGTTTTGCATAGACGCCGAGAGCAGAGGAGGAGGCGGAGGCCCACGATGCAGAGGAAGATGGCGAAGAGGAGCAGGAGCCCGATCAGGCTGCAACCATTCTTCATGACAAGTACAGGGGATATGTTCATGGGACTGTCGCTACTTGCCGCAGTGATCCTTGCTGTTGCCATATTCGGGGGGTCTCTTCGAGAGGAGTGAGTAGTGAGTTGTTGAGGGGGGGGCATTGTGGAAGCAAGCTGTTGGGGTCAACTCGCCTTGTCTTTGCGACGATCTTGTAGTGGTTCACGCAGTCCCTGCCTGAAGGCTTGCCACAGGTCAGCGGCACGATATACCTCGATTCCTGCATCGCGGAGCAGGAACACACTTCAAGATCCCCATCCTTCCCACTTAGAGCAGCCACTCATTCACCAACTTTGGGTAACCACCCATGTGTGCGGCACAAGACTGTGTACAACCTTGGGCTCTGGGCTGCTTTATAGCACTGCTGACGCCATACAGGCGGGCAAGAGGAAAACCAACTACACCATGGGCTTCCGACATTGCCCCAAGCTTTTGCTCCTCTCAATCTGATCTGTAATGATCTGTAGTTCCCTAATCCTAGGTCCTGAACATTCCTGAACCCACAAACATCTACAAACCCTGTAGGCCTTACAATGGTTGACTCGAAACCACACAAGCCTTCTACTCCGATCCCTCAGTGCCTAAACTGCCTGCCTTGCCTGCCTTGCGCGTGCGAGTTAAACCCGAAACTGTGTTTGGAGTTGCTGCCAGCTGATCGGAGGCCCCAGCTGAAGTTGTTGAGGAGCCAAAGCGTGCCCCGGAGGTCGCGGCTTTAGAGGCTTTGAAGATGTTACACTGTGGAAATGGTGTAGCAAAGTCGAGTCTAGTCTAGCACAATATCGTCCAGTATAGTCCGTCAGAGTCCAGTATAGTATGGTCTTGTATAGTACAGTGAAGCCGAGTAGTCTGTAGTATAGTAGTGTAAAGTATAGTTTAGGATGGTAGTCTATAGTAGAGCAGAGTAAAGTAGCACATAGACGCATGATGAATGACTAAAATTTCAACATGTTATAAGACTAGGCATGTGTTTAAAAAGTTGTATATAGACATACACACACACATACATTCAGTGCTTCATTTATGCGTACTCGTATGTACAAGCGTACATACATACGTACATACATACATACCTGCGTGCATGCATGCATACATAGGTCTGCCTCTTCTAGGGCCTGCTTTTCTCGACCGGCTCATGTACTACCTACAGAAGAAATCTGGGCGCTTAGAGTTTCGCTTCAATCCCCAAAGCCGAAATTCCCGACGATCCCATTCAATGAGCCCATCCGTGGGTGCAATAAAAAAGCTGTCAGTCAGTCGATTGTTTGTCAAGAAAAATGTTAATGACGTGACACTCCTCGACTTGCAGTACCGCGGGCAGCCTTTCATGCTGATTGCAGTAGTGAGGTCTGCATCAAGTTTTGAAGCTAGGTAAGCCTTTACAGCACTGGTGACCATGGCACTTGAGTCCCAACTTGTCCTGCCCTTGGAGAGGACTGCTTACAGGAGCTGTTGAACTTACCAGGCCTGACAGTCGCCGCTTGCCTCAGTTCAGGCAGCCCGTATAGCAACCTGAAAAGCACCAGGTAGTGCTGAAAAACGGTGATAAGAAGAGAGCCAGGCACTCTCACACTCACGGCACTTTCCTGTGTGCTGGCCGTCATGAAGCATGCTCTTCTTCGGCTGCTTAATCATCGCTATCATGAGGCAGTAAGTCTGTCAGTCTTCTACTATGCCGCTATGCCATGATGCTTCATGCACCTGAGTTTTTGTACTTGTGGGAAGGCCCTGGAGCTTGAGCTTGCATAAGGCTCGAGAAAACCCCACGCGGCTGCCCCAGGCATTTACGCATCCTCGTCCAAATTCCGTGCAGCTTCACGAGAGCTTTGGCGCCACGGGAAAAGCTTGCTGGAAGCGCTGCAAGGCTGGGCACACAATAGGAAGGCAGGTGGAAGAAATGGTGGACTTCAATTCTGACCCGAAGTAAGTCACAACTATGCCTAATCTCAATTACCCAACCTCGCCCAGGCATGTCCGAGTGTGAGTGCTGAAAATAAAATACCCAAAATTGTTGAACCGTTGGTCTGAAGGTGCCCGGAGACTATGCTGAGTTCGAATTCTCTACCGTGCCTTCGGATTTAATCGGGGGCCTTGACTTTCCAAGGAGGGTTGACGTCTAAATACAAGGCCGACCCCGGCTGAAGTATGTGTGCTATGCTGCAGCCACTGACATGTTCGCCAGCTTCGGCACATCCACGGCATGAATCCCGACCTCCTGATAAACCTTTTGTCTGAGGATGGGGATGGGGGTGACAAGCCCGACAAACGATGGGGTGTCTTGGCCGCTCGGCTGCACAGCTTGGCGCAGAGGTCGTTTTCTGGTGTCCCGAAGTGCCTGGAGTTGTGTCTCACGATATTCTTTCGAGGCTTTGGTGCTTCCTGCCACATCGAATGATGACGCGGGCTTGCAGGAGAAGGCTTTCAACGCACTGCCTGCCAAACTCAAATGTGTCATTATAGTCGAGTCGTCGAGTCGAGCTTTGTGGAAGGCCTCATGACGTGTTTCGACTGTTTTGAAAGCTTGCAGGGAGGACCTGCTGTGGTCAAGCGCGTCCCAACCAACATCCAGTCTTCCAAAAGCTGAGCTGCAGGTGGATGAGTTCCTGGGACGCTGGGTGGAGGACTGGGATCTTGGAAAGCTGAGCTTCTGGGGTTGAAGCTGGGTCTTCAGCATCTCTTGTCGTGTTTCCTCTCATGGCAGTCCCAACAGAATGTAGAAGAGCACCCTGCAAGAAGGGGTGATCGCAGGAAGGTGGTCAGTGTTCGTGAATGGCAGGCTACCGTGCAAACGTCTTGCTGACACAGGGGTGCTGCACGACATACAAACTAAGTACAAGCATACATGTAGATAGGTAAATACATAGAATACCTAGCTAACTGACCATCCGCCGCAATGGACCAACCGAGCAGCCTGCAGTGCACGCTCCTGGCCAGTGCAAGCTTGAGCATGGTTCTTTTCAATTCAACAGTTCGGGCACGAATCTGCTTCAAGACGAAGCACGACGTCTCACACACGTGCAGTGACGGTATATCTTCAAGCGTTTCATCTAGCATGTGGTGTATCAACGGCGACCAACTTCATCTTAATGTTTACCGATGTCTCATCGAGTTACGATCCAGTACCCACCGGCTCAACATTCTAGAGACTGCTGAACTACTTCGCAACACCAGCAGTATTCGGACAATATACCTGCATGTGCAAAGTTGTTGTTCAACGAATGCTGTAATTCTAATCTTTGCAGTAATGCGCTGAGGTAGCTTTTCATTGGCGACGAAGCAGTTAGGTAATTACTCTTTGTTGTGACGACCGCTTATATCATTAAGAAGGAGAGAAATAGAAGACGTCACACGAAACAAGTACTCAGTCCTTGCAAAGTCAAAAATCCTGACAAAGCCATACGAAGCGATACATGTATTCGAATTGTTGACGCATGGGTCAAATGTTCAGAGGATGAGTTGGATTTTGGGTCAGATATCAAAGAAACATACATTGTTCAAGCTAGGTGTTGACTAAACTCTTGTTGCAAATCAGCTGTTTTGCTTTAATTAGCACAGCAATTCGAACATGGTTGAATTGAACTGCTAGACGAGCATACAATCAAATCAATCCCAAGTCCCCAGCAACCCAAAATCTGAAAACAATAAGTTCGGGGAGAGGAAGAAATTCCAAACCTTGGCCAAGTAGCCGTCTTGGGACGTGTGTTACGTCGCTTGTGGCTGGGTCTTCCTCTTCGGATCTGCCGTCGGGGTTTAGGGTTCTGCCTTGTTCGATGCTCGCTCTCTGGCGGGTGCTGCGTTGATGCAGGGTTGAGCTGCGGGCACTGGGTTTTAGCTGCTTCTAGCTATCGAGCTTGGGCTTGCCAGCGCGTAAGAAAATCTCGGACAAATAAGTTAAGCAAGAGATGCCGTCAGAAAGAGTTCATTATCAACTAGCTTTGTCAAAATTCCACCTCCTGCTGGAGGAGCTACAAAGGGCCGCTGGGAGCATGGAGTCGCCCACGGCGGGCTGTCCTGGTTGCTGTTGACTCGCGTTGCGGATTTCGTCAACTCTTGCTTTATAGTATTAGTATTAGTATTAGTATCAGTATTAGTATTAGTATTACTATTAGTATTAGTATTAGTATTAGTATCAGTATATTAGTATGAGTATTCGTACTGAGATTTTACTAGGAGGAGCCTCAAGCCCCCAAGCGGCCGGAGTGTTGGTTTCGGAGATGGCATGTTGCCCATTACAGTAGAAACTTCTGTTCTGTGAGAAGAGAGCAATCGGAGAGCCAAGACGGTGGGATATGGCTGGCTAAAATGTATCATCTTCTAGCAGCTCTACCAATTACATCCTTCCCTCAAACGTGAGGCCTCGAAGAAGGTCCTCAAGTTCACCATCCTGGTGGATTCATGCAAAATCGTTCCTGACATGGCAGGCCATGTAGGTTCACGCTACGTTGAACAGGTGGAGCGGGATGCCTGGGATGAAGTGCGTCTCCGAGCCCTCTGTGCCCGCCACGGCTGGGAGTTCGAATGGATGACGGCCTTCTGGCGAACTTAGATTCCTTCCTGCGTGGTGGGAAATGTCTCTGGGTCATGATCGCCTGTTCAGCCTCTAACTACTGGAACTTCGTTTCCTGTGTTCGAAGTCTCTCGAGCAAATGAGATGCTTGAAGCCTTCTTTGTCCCGACTTCAGCTGGGATCTTCAGACGACGATGTGCATGGGTAATCGTGTAACCGGCTTCGGGCCGAACGACGGGTTGTAGCTTTGAGTAGACTGCCCTGCAAGTCGCGCAGCGAAGGAAGATGGAGAGCGTCGCAGAAGAGCCCACGAGCACCAGAGCAAGCGTTTCAGAAGCCGTCTCAAGTGGCGGGACATGGTAGGATTTTCGGAGAGACTTGCAGGAAGCTGGGTGTTTAAACCTTGTCTGACTCAGCTCAGGCAGTGGGACGTCCTGAAACTCTCCACTCCAGCTGCTCCAGCTCTGCCTGGGGACTCCGCAGAGCCAGATGGCGCATCCGGCGCTCCCTGAGGAGCCTCGCCCAGCCCAGTGGCAGGCTGCACACTGCTGAAAGAACTCGAGAATCAGGAGCCAGTACGGTCCCGGAGCATGTCACATCTTTTCACATCACATCATTGTCGCATGGTGATGCTTCGATCAAGGTTGGCTGTTCTCACCCTTGGAAGGAGTGTTCCAATGCCGTGGACGGCATGGGAACAGGATTGTGCGCTGTGCGGGCGAAGAGTCCGCAGAGCATGCTAATTGCGGCACCCGTCAAGCGGGGGCTGTGCCCAGCGGAAACCCGAGACAAAATCAAGAGCTCGCAGGCATCTTCAGTGTTTCTGTTTTGAAGACTTGATGGCCAAAATTGCTACAACATAGGCCATTTTCTGGCTAGACATCCTTTCGTCAAGATGCTGTCCTGTGCTTGAAGTCTTCCCGAAGCATCCTTCGCACACTTCTGCAAACTTCGAGGCTGAGGCTCGGGAGTCTTGCGCTCGAGATCTGGCCGTCCTCAAGGACTTTGGGGGCCTTCCGGGGCCCTGGGGGCTGCAGCCAGAGCTTCCGGATGCTTGCAGAAGAACCGTTGCACGGATGCTGGAGGAAGAGGAGCAGCGAGTGGCGGAGGCTGCGGGCTGCGGTCTGGAACATTATTGATGCTGGATGAGCTGTCACAGGGAAGGAGCGAAGAGTTTGTAGCTGCCCTTAAGGAGTCCTGCACTTAGCGTCGCCTTCTTGCAGCCCTCGCTCCCCAGTCGCCCGAGCATGCCAGATGCTAATTCGAGCCCCATCCAGCAGTCATAATTTAACGCTCGCCTGGCATCCGCCCCCAGAGGCACGCACTCGGTATGCGCAGACCGCAGACGAACTGGAGCGAGATGCCGCGGTCTTAAACGATGACTGGAGTCGCAGAATATGCGCCAGATTGCAGCAAAGATAGGCGCACGAATGGCATAAGGGCGACGGCGATGATGAAAACTGAGACCGGCATGCCAGCGAAAGCAGATCCCAAGTAGGTCGCTGCCAAGCAGCACGAGCTCCAGACCGCAAAGTCCCAGGCCGAGGCCAGTCGTGGCAGCGACAGTAGCTCCCAAGAAAGCCTCTTCAAGCGAGCGTTACTACGTCTGGGACATAGGACATTGCTTCCGGCACCGACCCCCTGCAGCTGCGTTTCTTTCCCAGAATGACAGGAAATCCAGAAAGTGTGCAGCGAGCTTGTCGTTACCTGAGCTGTTTCTTCGCGTCAGATCCAGGATTTGCTGCAGGTTGCGCTGTTTTCGCTGTAGCTGTAGCTCGTCTTCCGTCTCTTACATTCTGTGCAAGCACATGCGAGCACTTTGAACCTTGCGGTGTTGGCGGCCATATCGCTTGAATTCAGGAAAAGACTCGAAGCTCCAGAAGAAGCCTGCTACAGGACAGCTTCCACTCGTCCGATTCAACAATGTTAGGTCTTTGCTAGTGCCTGAAGACTGCCAGTTGAGATTTGCGTGAAATGGGCCGGGGGAGAGGGAGGGCATTGCAAGCGTTAATGCGACTGAAAAATGGAAACTATTCTGAGGAAATTGATGGGAAGCCGGACCGGTATGAAGACATGAGCGACACAGTACTTGTAGAACCTTGTGAACGAAAGGCTGGCATCAAATCAGTGGTATCCATTGCAATAGTCGTGAGCTCGTCACGCAATCCTTATTTAGGATATTGAGTATGATACAACCCCAAAGTGGAAACACATGGAGGTTGCAGAGAAAGGACTCGTAAGGAGACATGCGGCTTTCATATCATTCGTGGACTGCTTTCACAAACATCGAGCAGATGCAGCGTGTTACATTTAAAGAGGAGGCAATCGAAAAACTCCGCACCGGCAGGAAGAGTGGAACTTGGAGAAAGGACATGTCTGCATACACAGGGTAAAACCGCAGTAGAACAGCGAAGTTTGCTGTAGAAAACAGAAGGAGCTAAGCATTGCACGGTTTGCTAGCTGCTTTGGAGATTGGGAACTTCACAGACTGCAGCGAACTGCGGTCCGGCGAAAGTTGAAAACATGCACACTCACGCGCACACACACACACTGTCTGTGCGGTTCTTGAGCCTTTGGCCCAAAAAGTGCTACCACAGCGTCTCGCGACCCTGCTCTGATCTGTCTGTTTGATAGATTCAGTGTGAAGCAGTCTGAGATGCCTGTCCGACACCAATCCTCGTCGGCTATCCTTGCTGTGAGGATCGTTCTGCAGCTTTGCAAGCGGTGCTGCCCCCTGTAGTCAGTTACGGCCAGCAACACTTTGTCAAAGGGCATGTGCGGAAAGGGTCTTCCTATTGCCTTGGCTTGGTTTGCCAGCCTTGCAGGCAGGTTTGCCTGCATCCGCAACTCAAGTTGCACAGCCAAGCTGTCTCCTCGCAGTTCCATGTTCAGTCTCCACCGTTCTCTCGGCTTGTACCAAAATCCGTAAACTGGCAGTAAACGAAACTGTAACTAACTAGCAGACTAGCATGCCATGTGACTTGCCTCCTGACGTTTGCTCCTGACGTCTGAGGCGCAAGCCAGAGCGCATGACCTCGAGGAACCTGCCTACGGCGACAGAAGCAGAAGCATGTGTTTTGTCTTGGGACTTTGGCTGTGATGACTGCTTGGTGCTGGTTCCAGGAGGAGCTTGTGGGCACAGAGGCAGAGCTGGTGAGGGCCCTACGGGCTAGAGGACGAGGACTTGCGCTGGTGGATGTTCGCAGATGAGAAGCGGGCGTGACCACGTGAGCGTTTGTGCAAAACGACGTCTTCATGTTTGACCATCGCGACGGTGAGAGCGACCGAATCCTCGCTGCCGGTATAGCAAACCATAGTACCTGTAGATGCCAGAACTATAACGTCGTCCGCGGAGCCACAGAACTGTGTGCGGGGTCACTGCAGGCAACAGCCGCCACTGAGCTTGAAAGGCTCGAGAAGGACTGTGCCTCCGATTGCCCGCAAGTGATGTGCAGTCTCACAACAACACACATGCGCGGGGATAATCCCGGCAAGGTTGTGGTTCAACATGTGCTCGAAGAGATCAATGCCTTCACAGGAGGAAGTGGAGCGAGCCGCGGAAATCGAGGATGCCAGGCGGTACTTGACACAAAAACAACATGCCCATGGCCTACATTCAAGTTGTCCCGAGTCCCAAGACTGCTGAAGGATTAGGGCAAGGGGCGCGCTTTGACCTCTGATCACCCTGGAGGCAGAAGTTGTCTGAGGTCCAGACGGAGATCGACACCATGCAGGCCCGGGGCCCAGCCCAGGGCCGCACTCTCCTGTGATCGCAGAATCGTCTTTTTCCAGACAGCCGACCGTTCTCTGCCAAACAAGCATGAAGGGCTGCACAAGTGCTTCTGTCAACACTCCATCGCTGGACAACCATCGCAGGCACGTGCCCAGACGTCCAGGCAGGGCATTTGAGCATGTCGGGAATCCTGTTGTCCGATGCATTTGCTGCACTGGAAACGGGTCTGTCTAAGCTCACCGCTGAAGGGGATGCATGCGACTGGCTGCAAAGTTTTGCTCAAGATCAACACACGTTGTTGTCGATTTTTCTCCCACGCTCGTTGAGTCTCCCGGATGCAGCAGATGCGGGAATCCCAAAAAGCAGTCTGCCCCTGCCCTATCTCCGATTTTGAGACTGCGTCCTAGGCCAGACTGGCATTTATCTAGAGTCTAGACTCATTCTAGAGAAGTCGTCGGGTAAAACTCGTCGGAACTTTTCAACCGTTGTTGTTAGCATCCAGCCGAAAGCATGTCTTGAAAGATTCAAGAAAGCCCCGCCACTAAGCTAATCCTCTCGAGGGCTAACAGATCTCTGAATATGGGTTCGTCACTAGTAGCAAAGTCGCTTCATGCGCAAATTGCTGCTCTCAGACTCTTGATTGCAAGTCAAAAGATTCCTGAATGACCCCAAACCTCACCCGCCTGCCGAGTGCGAGTGCAAAAAAGTCATAACATGAAATATAAGCCGATTTCCCATCTCCGGACTCCAGGTCTCCAAGATGGCTGCCGCCGATGCAGTGATGCCCGTGAGCCTGCCGACTGGCGCCGGCACGCGCGAGGCAGCCAACAGAAACGCTGTAGTCATATTCATATAGGGGCCTCGATCATCACCTATACTAGTTTGTGGGATCATTCCTGCAATTATAGTATACCGGGCCCCAAAACCCTTTTCGAATCATTACGGCCCCTACAGAAGGAGGAGTTGGGAATGAGTGTCGACCTCTGGCCCACGCGCGCCTTGTTTGCCTCTCCGCAAGGTTTGTGGGGCTCCGGTGCAGAGCAACCCTGGGCTTTACTTGGAGGTTCATGGGTAGTAGTTATAAGTGGGGTTATATGTCCCCTAATATGGGTTAAGTATAGCTACTTTACTTAGAACCCTACTTATAACTTATAACTACCCATGAACCTCCAAGTAGGGGAGTGCTGCGAGGGTGTGCCGCGCGTGTGCGTGCCGCTCCGATCCGGGCGGCTAGGGGTGGAATTGGACACTTGGCAAGAGCTCGAGCAACAACAGCTCTTCCCTGGATGATCGCCCACTGAAGCACCATGCCACACTGGCTCAGAGACGGGGCATAGCGGGAAGCACGGGACGTGCACAGAACCGGCAGCGAGTTCCGTTCAGGTGCTGTACTAGTATGCTACGATTAGTTTAGCTTGGTGGTGCTTAAACAACATTCGCCACGGGATTGGAGATCCAGCTGCCACAATCGGCAAAGCCTCAACTGGGCCGAGCCTGCAAAACAAGGTATTCTTGAAGGGAAGACAATGTCAATGTCGGACAGATGGTTTCGAGTGTCGGGAGCTGTCGCTATCCAACTCGGCAAATCATTGAGTCTGCAGGTTCTGGATGTGGGCTACCCTGTCCTGAATCTCCAGAAATTGGACAATCCACAGGCGCAAAGTAGAAAGTGTGAAGTTCAGGGGCATCCTGGGGAAGCGTTGGCTTGAGGGAGAGGTTTGTGAGGATTGTCGACCCTGAGATTCCGAATTCATGGTGACAGGAGCTCAGTTGCACGTCAAACGACTTGAGACTGAAGATTCTTGCCTTGTCACAGGCTCGCGAAGGCAGAAGTCAACAGACATTGCGCTCAGTGTCATTGCGCATAGTCTCTAAGGCATCGCCCATGTGCTCTCATCTTCGGTTTTGCATGTCACGGCCATTCCAATCACCTCGTGCTTGCAGCTCCTCCATCCTGGTCGGGAGTCGGAAGTTGCTGTTGCTTGAGCCCGCAGTTTGTAAAACTGAAAAGACACGCGTGCACATGCCACTCACGAACCAAGCCATGCAAACGACAGCATCCGCAGACAGGCCCAAGCTGCCGCACATTCAGTTCAATTGGCAAGCTTCGGCAGGTCTCCATCCACCAGTGTGCTCAGCGCTATGGGTCTCAGGCAGGGACAGCAAAGCGTTCCGATTGGTGCCTTGTGTTGACACACAGGGATCCAGACATGCTGCCAAAATCAGTAGACGCGGCTTTGGCAGGCCATCCGCTCCATCTTCGACACTGGGCCATATTCTGAGCTCTATGCACAAACACATAACAGACATGTACCCGCACATTGACATGAACGTGTATACATGTATACCATTGCATCCATGCCAATAGGCACACATGCACGAGACAGAGCGTTACTGTGTCGAAGCCCCCGACGACGAGCGATGAGTACAAGGTGCATACACTGCCGGGCTCTACAGAAGAATTTACTCTTTTCATGTTCAACACTCATGAAAGTTGTCAGACCTTCGATCCAAGGAGAAACTGGAGGAGCGTCAGTCCCAGCCCGTGCCGGGCACTTAAATACATGTTTTCGACAGACGGAAATGCTACAAAAGGGCTCGCGAACATATTTCAGCAGGAACCACGAATGTACTTCTGGGCCAAACATCGAGTCGTCCGGCGGACACACGATACCGTGGTTCGTAGATGCTTACTTCCCTTCCATCCTCGATTTCAACGACTGCTTGCTGCTTGAAGCCTCATGCAAAGGCGATTCTGAGCTCGAGTGAGGTTTGAGGAGCTCAACCTCTCAGACAACTACGTCGGAGATGATGGCTACCCGGACTGTGGTTGTAGAGTTGCAGCAGTCACTGTTGTCACCGTCGTCCTTTGAGTTTCTGTGTGGCTGGCATGCCGCTCCCAATCCCGCAGGTTCCACAGCCATGTTTAAATCAAAGCACAGCTACGATCCGTGACTAACCTTGTCTTGACCCATCAGACACGCACTATCGTTACAATGACCCATGGCATCAGCCCCGCACCCCATGGTATCACTTGTCGGTGGTGTGGTGTCAAAGTTGTCGTTCTTCGGACCATCATATGAATCGCGCCTGTTGCGGTCGAGTTCGAATCGAAGCAGCTTGTTTTCAGTAACATATTGATGACCTCCGATGATCCTTCTGACATGGCGAAGACGATAGACGATGACAGTGAAGATGATGGTCGTTGTTGGATTCGACCTTATGCCCATACACTGGAAGGTGCTGCCTACCTCAAGGATGGTCTCAAGGGCAACAAGGCCCTCAAGCGACCCTTGGCGGAGAACCGATCGGTGAGATTTGAACCTATGTCCGTAGAAGGCAGGAGCCATCTTCCAGCACCCCTGGAGCTCTTCTCCTTAGCTATCCCTAGCTCAGTGAGCTCTGCTGGGTGGATGTCAATCTGCAAAGAAGGTTAACACAGTTGCAGACCGGTTCGGGTCCCTGCTGCCTGAGGTTTGCTGATGCCACGTGCTGCCATGCGAACTGCCGGATTTCAATCCATCGGCGCTCTTATCGGCACCTGCCCTTCTCTCGCCGCTCGGCATTCAATACCCATCAACTGCCGTCGTCTTTCCGCACCTCCTTGCACACGGAAGGAGATGCTCGTGCTGAGCTCGAACTTGGCTGATGCGGCGGGCGTTGAGGGTGATTTCTCCGCAGGAGGGGGTGGTGCACGTCAGGATTGTACAGCTTGAAGCAAATTCGGTGTTTTCTTCGTGCGGGCCACAATTGACAGACCATCAGGGGATCAGACAGGCATGCTGGCTTGAGCTTGATGGTTTTAAGTTCTAAGGGTCTCGGCAGCAACTGCGAATAAACGAACTTCCCGGATCTCACTTTGCAAGGGGCATGAACTTCCGAACATGCTTCAATCACCAGGACTTGGCAAGAACAAGTCCCTGAAGTCACTGTGCTTGGCAGCTTGCCGCCTCGGCAACGCAGGCGCCGTGCAGAGTTTTGCAGAGCTCTTGAGCATATTGGCGATCATAATACCACCCATGTTTCAAAAATCTTCATCGGTCCATGTCCTCGCCTTTCCTCTATCTCAATTTATGAAATAGGTAGGACAAACACCCACCGCCCATTGACAGCATTCGGTTCATGAAGGGAACACCGGCACTAGTCAATTGCTACCCTTTCCCTAGGGTGAGGAAGCCCCCGATGTATTTCCTGGTTATGAGGAGGGCAGTATTGGACAGCTTACTAACTGACCATGTTCAGAGGGCGGAGTGCAAAAGATGGGCCCGCTGTTTGGAAGAAGAGAGACATGTGCAGTCGAGAGATGAGATCCGAATGGATGTAGATAGCCGCATCTCCGTGTCCATTTTTCAGGGTGAAGCCTTCTATTCAGGAAAATGTTATTCATTCTGTCGCTTCCTTGTTGCGACAGCTATGCCTGCCGCGAATGCTGCAATGAAACTTTACAGCGGGGTCATTCAAGGCAGACCCGAGACAGTCCGATCCTGTCAGGTGTTCAGCAACTCTGTGCTGGGCCCTTGATGACCCATCCTGCGCTGCCTGGCCCAGGATCTTTTTTGAGGTGGGTTTGATCACCCGGATCTGCGACTGAGAGTTGCAGGTGTGCTTAGAACAGAAGCTGCCCATGGTGGCACTCGCTCGGATGTACAGTCGTGGCATGACGGATGGAGACTGGTAGACGGCAGAGCTTGTAGAGCACACGCAAGACTTAATTGCTCTAGGACTTGGTGCTTGCATGCACCGGTTTTGGTGTCGCGTGTTCCAGATGGCAACACAGGAGCTGCATTCGTCAGGTAGAGCCGAGCCTCAGATCGCAAAGCCAAGGCTAGAGCACGTGTCCTTCAACTACAATCGGTTGGAGGATGAGGTTTGCAACAGCGTGTGCAGGATGCCTCTTGCTTTCAACTTAAAATCATCGCCGGTTGTGAGGGCTTCGCTTGCTACAAAACCTACAAACCCTAACGCACAGTTACACAATTGTGCTTATGGTGGATCGCCCTTGGTGTATTTCTTAGTCTTGTGTTGGCACATGGCCAAGATGTCACACTTTGCACCTGGTTGATATGGACAGACAGCTGGGATCGACCTTGGGTTGTAAGATTGACCACCTTTATGCGCATGGAATCGCAGAATGCAGCATTTGCATCGATCATAACCACGGTGCCCACTACTCTGCTGCTTCTCAACTTGCAAGTCCGGTGCAATCAGAAGGAATTCGAAAGGTATTTTGACACAGATGTAAATGCAGCCGGCTTCAGTCAACCAAGAAGCCCAACACTCTGATTTCTTGGCTCCTAATTTCTGGGGCCCCGGCACGGCCGAACCGGAGAGTTAGATGCAGACGGATGGTACACCATGACGAATTAGAAGCCCGTGAGGTAAAGAGCTATGTGATGCCGCTACGAGTTATCCGTACTTCTTGAGCCTCATGAGCCATATCCTGCCCATGCTTGAATGCATGGAATGTCGTTGTAATGCACACACACACACACATATACATATATATATATATATATATATATAAATTATGTCTATATTTATGCATGTACTTATGTTTGATGGTGCTCTGACCTGCCGGGTACCGGCGTCAGGGTTGGAAAGTGTATGTATGTATGTATGTATCTATCTATCTACCCCCCGCCCCGGGAATCCACACCTTTAGCCTGCGTATGCCTAGTATGTCGAAACGATCGCACAATCAATTCAACAAGACGAATCAGACCATTTATCGGGACAGTTCCAACAAATGCAAAAATACCAAAGCCCATATACCAAAACGTGACTGTATTCCTCGAGACAGGCAAAAAGAAAAGATACCAAAGATTCCGGAACCTCTCGGAAATCTGAAATGAGCAGATTCCTAGAGACAGTCCCAAAACAAACACCAAAGCCCAGAGGCCACGAGACACTCTCAGCAAAATTCAACAACATCAAGATTTCGGAACCCCCGCGAAATCTGAAATGAGCAGATTTCTCAAGACAGTTTCAGAAAACTCAAAATACCAAAACCTATAAGCCGAAACATGAGCATTTCCTCATCAACGATATCCCAGCCTCTCCGAAATCCTAAATGGGAATAGAAGCACTCTGCAAACATGTTTGCTTCTTCATACATGAGCTGCTTAAGCACGAGAAAGTGGTTCAGTACTCGCTCGATAGCTGCTTACCACATGATGTTATATGTAGTTATAGCGATTTTTCTAACCAACTTGTTTACCCGATATGTAGTCGACGTTTCATGTCGTAATCAGAGCCAGCAAAACCATCTAAACACTCTATAAACCCTTTAGATACTTCTTCAAGGACATCTGTTGAGCATCTACTGTATAATGTGTAGAATGTGCCAATTACTCCTTTGGTGTCTTTTATCAAATGCATTTATTTCTTCAGGTCTTTAACACTTTCGTAACTTTAGTATGACTAAGTCTAATTTCCATACTACAGAAAAACTTTCAGTCGGCCTTCAACCTGTACTGTTCTTGTCTAACACGTGGTTTTACCATAAGCATAATTAGCAGCAATTAGCATTTCATTGTTATAGGCTTCAGGCCCACCTCACAAATGAATGTTCATGAATGCTCGTCGATCGCAAGAACAAGCTGACATGCTAATGCAACACCGCTGAATTTTAACCTATACACGTAACTCAAGTTAAACAGTTCTGATTGCATATCCGGCAAAACGTCTAGTTCATCTCATGAACGCTTCACTAGTATGTAAATGCTGTTCGCACATGCGTTATTAGGGTCATTTTACGACGTAGTGACTAATGAACCCTTGGCTCGCAGGTTCGAGTCACTTTCTTTTCACGCATTGAGCCGCCGTCTGTAATTGAAGAAGCACTCAACTGTTCAATGGTTTTCTGTCTCATTTGTGTTACTGCACCGGCTGGCTAATTTCAGTATTTGTTAAGAAGTGGATGTCTGTCTGTGAATGTGTTCTAGTGAGTTTATTGGGCCCACTTACATGTGAGGCGAGCACTAGGACGTATTCAACATATACTGAACCGGTATTAGCATCATATCAACGAATGCAGGGGCAGGAATCATTATTGCATCAAGCTAGACAGCAGGCATTGGTAATTAGCTCATAATTACAAATTTCGCTCCAGTACTCGATGAGCAGTATTTGGGCATGTGTGTGTCAGACCGAATAACTCTAACAAAAGTAGTAACACATGGATCGCAATTCCTATTTCATTAAACAGCAGGTAGTATACCGGTATCTTTTGCATACGTGCCTTCCATGCCGCTCGGACTCTTTGCGGGGTTTAGTTCTGGCTGATGGTTTGGAGCCGCAGTTTCTGTGCATAACATTAGACAGCTAGAAAGGAACACAAGTAACAATGCTTTCGTACATTAAATTATTTCTGTTTAAATATGTACTCCCAGGATAGTGCGAACTCGTGATCATGTTCGTGGGTGGGTGAGTGGTGTCGAGAACCTCGCTGACGGTAACACTCTAAGGCAGCAGTCTAAGGCTTTGTTTGTTCCAGTGTTGCGACAGAGAAGGGCAGAAGACAGTACTCTGTTGTCGTACAAATGGATGCGTGATGTCGAGAAGAACACCGACGGCAATACTCTGAGGCTTTGTATTTCTGTTCCGGTGGTGCATAAGAGAAGGCCACAATACAATACATGCAAGACAATACATGGCTACTACAACACTAGACATCCGGATTCCGGATGAGGGGGGATGAGGGTGGTAGCATATACATATGCACATACAAAACCCTGCACTATTTACGAGACTGTGGTATATGTCGTAGAATGCAAGTCGTCATAGACGCACTTATACATACATATATATATATATATATATACACACATACATACACTTCTCATATTTATATGCACAAATACAGATCAAATCTAGTTCAAAGCTACTGGTAGTTACCAACTGCTTTAAACAACCGCATGGTCAGTTGGAGTGGCTCGGATCCGAGGCTGGCGACGAACACACGGCTGCGCTACCTTGAGCTTTGCGGCAACTCCATCGGTCCGGCAGGCGCGAAGGGCCTTGTTTTGCTCAGATTGCTTGTCCGGTTGGCTTTTGATGATTCCATGCAGGACATAATTCAGAATCCTGGCGACAGTTCTGCATATGTATGCATGGGCCGTATGAGGAAAATCTAATGAACATCAACGTGTGCCTGAGTTCCTCACAGAAACCCTCAACCGTTTTGCAGCTGCAGGTGCTGAGGAGCTGGTGAAGGGCCTCATTGCCAACAAGGGCAACCTGCAGAAGCATCCCGATCAGATTTAGGGTCTGGGGTCTAGGCTGTCCACGGTTTGCTTGTGGTACTTGTACTATGGCAAGTATGAAGGATGGATTGCGACACCAGCAGCAGCAAGAGACCATGTTTTCGCAGATTAGCGCAATATGTGCTGCTCGCGGCTTGTCAGGGGTGAAAGCTCAGCAAGACGTGGTATATGAGGGTTAAGGAGTGCATGGTGTCGCTTGGGACGTGTGTAATTGGCTGATTTGGGGGGGGGTGAGTTGCCAATGGACCTGACAGATTTTCCTGACGGTGACCACCTGAGGTCTGTGGTGTCTGGTTGAGTTGCGTAAGCCCAAAATCAGCCCCGGGTCCGAGCGTTGACAGTCCAACTGCCTGACACCACGTCGCGATTGCCAATTCCTTCAAGTGCTCGGCTGAAAATTGTGCTAGCAAGCCAAGAGCCCTTGCACGGAAAGCTTTGACAAGGTTGGGACTGGCGCAGAACACCATCATGCAGAGAGGATGCACCGCTCTCTGCAGCCTTGCAGCAAAAAGTCGACGATACCATGTAGCTCTGGGACTCCTCTTGACACTTGGGGGCAGGTACTCCGGCTTTTCGCTAGGCGGGTCCTTATTTGGCTGGAAGCGCGCACCAAGCGCGAACAGGAACAAACGAAGGCAAAGTTATGAACGGCTTGAGGACTCTGTAAACGTGCTGATTCCTGCTACCTGCGCAGACATCAACATGGTGAGATCGCGCTCCGTTCATGGAAGTGTTGCGACTGTTACGAAAAACGACCCTGCAAAAACAGCAACCCGCGAGGCAAGCATTTCGTCTCCGAGAAGGGAAAGAGCCTCGAGTACCTTGACCTGCGCCACAACAAAGTTGGTGGCTTGGCCGAATTCGTCTGAGATTGGAAGCCTGCAAGGATGGGGATGTGGAAGGTGGGTATAGCGAAGGCAACTTGCCGCGTCTTTGCATGTTACCCTCAGCGAGTATGATGATATATGTGTATATAGATAGATGGGTGGATAGATAGATAGATGTGTATGTACGTGTATCTATCTGTCTATCGATCCATTTACGTATAAATGCATATAGTGAAATATAGTGTACATTTATGTATATGTGACTGTCTCTGTGTGTGTGTGTGTGTGTGTCTGTGTGTGGGGTTCGGAGCTGGGTGTAGTGGAAACATGCTTCCAATATAGGAACAGGATTGTTGCAAGATGCAGTGGTGATCCGTGAGGCTACTACGGCTGCGTGGAGATCCGAGCTATGTTGAAAAAGCCAATGGATGACGACGAGTCGAACAAGGGCTGGATGATCAATTTCGGTGAGAGACAGCTCATGCTCAACGCGCACTGAGTCTCAATCCCGGGCTGGAACTGAATAACTCATACCCAGACATACTAGTGGAATATTCGCAGCACCGTGGTAGAAAAGCACTCAGCTCTTACTGTTGACATGAATTCCCCCAATCAACGGCTGATCTTGGCCGATGCCAGTGGCAGATGCCTGGGAATCTCAGTCGCAAGGAGTGGCTGATCAGGATTGTCTGCAGATGTCTGCAGCATCTGTTGATGTGCTTGCATTCCCATAAGGGTTCCTTGGGATTCGGAATGGAAACGAGGGTTGCCGGATTGGCTTGTTCACCGTGAGACTTGTCCAGAGGCTTTTCGGACTGCCGCTTGTGTCCAGTGCTTCTAAGGATCCGAGCAGCTGAAACTTAGCTACTTTTTTCGACATCCGAGTAGCATTTCTTCCATGCTGCAAATCCTAAGCGGAAGGTGGAGGAAACGTGACAGCTCAGCCAATATAGAGGCACTTGTCATGTTAATTTGTTGTAGCTGAAACTTTGCTCTCCAGCAACCTGTAGAGCTCTCGTCATAGCAATCGCTGTGACTGAGCGCTTTGCATTCGAGCTGTTGGAGACGAGCCACCTGCCAGCCGCACTTGCGACGTATGTCGCCTAATCCCCTGCCGTGCAATGCCGGCACCTGCAGCTTGGGCTACCAAGTCTCCTAGCGAGCCTGCAACGACATGCCATGCACTGGTCGGTTCGAAAATCTTTCTGTCGTCATTCTAATTAGTCAGTTGCAACTGTTTCGTTGCCAACATCACTGTCCATTGCAGCTTGCTCTGGGCCTGTCAGATGCGACATCTGCGCCGCAACGCGTCCTGAAAGGAAAAGAACAAGTCCGGGCGCATACTCGGGTATAGGCAGCTGTATCAGGACAAAAAAAGAGCGAAAGAGCGGGACTTACTCTCGAGAGAGGGAACGACGGAGGAGGGAAGGAGGGAGGCAGATACAGATAAATTGTATATGATCATAAATAGGCGCAGACATGTATCTCGTTAAATGTTGGTTTCTTGCTGAGTGCCGGCTTCTAAGGCTTCTGAGACATCCGCATGATACATCCAAGTGTGCCGTGATGGCAACAGAGAACCTATGGTGAAACGGTGCGCTGAAACCAGCCCTCCTGTGTCACTTCTCCAGCGTGCTGCCAGGGTGGATGATTTGGAAGCCTGTGGCTTAGACGCAGAGCAGCCGTCCATGGAAGCTGGTGGTGTTAGCCGTTTGCTTGGAGAAGAATGCCATGGTCGGCCAGTGGCACAAGATGACAATGAGTAGACATGCCAGAGCAGATAGCACTCATGACTGCTGTGAATAGATTTACTGAAGGATGTCGAAGCCGACGGCATCGTACATTGCGACGAGAAATGCACAGACACGCACAAAGACACACCTCCCGAAAAGCAAAAGCAAGCCGCTACGCACGAGCCCAAGCTCCGAGACAGGCGACCTCGCACGCTCTGGCAGAGAGCCTGCAGAGAGCGGGACAAGAGCCCAGCTCCTGGAATTGCTCGGCTCATCTTGCGGAGAAAGACGTTTGCAATCCTATACCGGGCACTATGCACAGCATGACGGTGTGTTTGAATGGCTTTGTCACCTTGCCAGGCTCTAGCTAGGCTGCTCCCTCCGAAGTGGGAGATCAAAACAGAGTGGTCCGTCGTGATACAGCAGCCTGAGGAACGATGCACCGTGGGTTGTCCATACGATTCCATGAAACTTAAAAACACGCAGCGCCAAGGCGGACAGCAGCCAGAGAGAAACAGGAGGCCTTGAAGGCTGCAGGGAGCTCAGAGTGAGTGGTGCCAAGCACTTCGTGCGTGAGGACACTGCTCGGAGGCTCAGAGGTGTGCGGTCCAGCCCTTTTCAATAAGGAGCTGCAGGAGAGCGAGTCTGACCTCAAGAAGGCGGAGGCAGCATATATGGGGTCTATCAAAACTTGGCGTGTTCTGTGGACGGAACTCTGGAGGTCTTTTAGGAACCTCACCCCTCAAAGCAGTATCGCAGGCCCAGGCGCTTTTGCTCGAAGGCGGAGCAGCCGACTACACCCAGAACGTAGGCTTGCCATGAAGCCGTGGTATCTTGCAGCGGCTATCCTCTGTTGGTCGACACACCGCGCACTCGGTAGCGTCGAGCCCCTGAAGCCGAGTGCGCTCCTTGGCCCGGACCTCCCGCGAATAACATAGTAGCACGGAGAATAATAATAGTAGTGACGATAATAACGACGATAATAATTCTTGACTGACAGTAACTAACACCAATAAATTTCAACCTCTGAAGCTAGAGGCATGCTTGGGTTCGGCATGCCGCATTGGCTACAAGCGAGCGGCTACAAACCCTGAACCGCTATCGTCGGTGTCGTGAAACCCTCTCGATGGTGCAGGTTTTCGAATCGTCGAAGCCGGATCTTTCGCAAGTACAGTGTACAGAGCGGAGCCTTGTACATGATCCGCTCGCCAGGTCACAGACGTTGTATCAGACGAATCTTACCCACGTCGTCACTTGAAGCTAGCATCTATGCCAGACGTGCTTAGAGTTTCTGGCACCTCCCCACTACGTATTTTCCCCCCCAGCATCTTCACTCACCCGAAGGTTTTCGGCTCTTGGCTTCATGCACGTTTTCAAGTCTGGCGGCTCGACCTACGGCGTTGCTCTGGCAAAGTATGCCCGGGCGCACCACATGCCCTTCTTTACGGACATGAGTGGCCTGGCCCACATGCGATTGACCTTCCTTTCCTACATGATGTGAAAGCCCGGAAAGAAAGACGGGCGCAGATAGGACTGCTGAAACATGCTGAAACATCCACCTGAATGCTAGTCCGACACGTCAGCAAAATTGAACGGGCCTGGCCCAACAACGATCATCAACGCTACTCGTATCGGCATCGTGGAGAGATGAGCAGCAGATATCAGACTAGCTAAGATTCACAGCAAGTCCGAAACTAGCAGCATTAGCAGAAGAGGCAAACGGAGGAAAAAGGCGCAGCAGAAGATTCGAGGCCTTGGCCGGCGGTTTGGCCCTGCTACCAACACCGCTGGTCATCCGACAAGCAGCAGTGGTAGTGGTGGTGTTGGCGGGCAGTGGTGGGAAATCCTCGTCGTCGTCGCTGGTTTTGCAGGAGCAGTGGCCACAGCAGCAGGAGGCTTAGGAGGAGTCTGAGCAGTACAACAGCACCAGGTGTTGAAGTCGTCTTCGTCCTCCAACAACAAGTTCAGAAGACGTAGCAACTGTGAAAGGCAGAAGATGTCGCGCACACAGTCAGTACAGCAACATTACTACATTCCGTTGCCATCGTCACCCTTCTACCGAGTCCAACTCGGACACGTGCCCAAGCTGCTGATTATGTACCGGGCGACGACGATGACGGTGACGGTCTTAGGCGGTGAGAGGCTTGCTGCGTTGATGATCATGATGGTGGTGGCAGCGACAGTGTTGATCATGACCCAATGCTAGTGATGCCGATAGTGGTGGTGCTTGGGGAGACTGGGGGACGTTAATGGTGACGGGTGCCGAACCAGCTGACGACGATGACTAGTTGTGGCGACAGGGGAGCCACTGAGTGGTCATGTCCGTTTCATTGCAGTTGCTTACTATAAATTGAAAAAAACGGACATGACGGCGCTAGTGGCGAAAGTTACTGTTGTTGGGCATGGCCCCGCTCATAGTGATGCCGGAAGACGAAGACGAGGAGGCGCAGGAGGAGGAGGAGGAGGATACAGTATGATGAAGAAGGCTGGTGCTGTTGATGGAGCTATGACAGCTATGACGCATCTAAGGAGAGGGCGGCCCATCAGAGGTGCCCAAATACCTTCGCAGCTTCAATCCCAGTGCCAAGCACCTCGCGGCTTCCCGGCCAAGGTCACAGGGGGTAAGTATTCATTGTGTAGGGTTCAGGGCGAGAGGGGTGTGTCCGTGACCGTTTCTATCTTTATCATTGTCTCCGACCATCTCGACATACTGTAGCTGTTCCTACAACATGTACTTCTATCATATGCATGCAGACACCGTCCCGATACACCTAAAGATCGTATCTGCTAACAGTTACTGTTGGCATGACACGACTCGCAGTGAAACACGGACATGATGCGCCGACACTCGTGTCAACTCCGCATGTATGAGCTCATGATGAAGGGTGCATGTGTAGTATCAAGGAACGGGAGCGCGCGCTTGACGCATTCGCATGGAAGCTTCCATCTTGCTGAAACGACACCGCTGGGAGAACAAAGGTTGACGCACCGCCCCCAAAGTCCAACTTCAGTATCTTCCACGGCCATCTGGTCGACATGGGCTTTGGGAACCCCGGCGAAGGGTTTATGACTAAGGGTTACATATAGCTGCAGAGAAGTCTGCCAAGCAGAAGACCAAGCTCAGGAAGTTGAACCATCACCACACTGGAGCCTTCAACCAGTTCTTCCCGAGCCCTGCGATGGCGATGACAAGGGCCCCCCTGTTGGCTGTGGCTCTTCGTGAACCTGCTGCCCGCCTAATGTCGGCCTTTTTGCATCTCGGCGGCCTGGCGTTGCTTGACAGTGGTTCTGTTTTGGAGCCGTGCTGTGAAGACTGTTTCTATGTCTTAATGTGCAGACCTTAGAAGTGCATAAAAGTTGCATAAACATCGACGCTATCCATCATGGACACGGCTAGCATGCCTGCTCACGAGGGAGTTTCAGCGGTTTTCTGCCCAGGGAGAGGCGCACAGACGGTCCCCAGTGCTTTTTGTGAACGAAGGCAGTTGACAGCGGGGCTGGATCACAAGTCAGGTGCCTCCCTGTCCATGGACCCCAATTCTCTTCAAGGAGGCACCATGGACAAGGGCGATGTGGACCTCATGTTCGCCGAGTTCATGAAGCAGCAAGGGGTGGCACAGTGCAGGATTGTACCAAACCAAGTCTTCGGCCCGCGCTTCGCAGCACCCTGTGCTGCAATGAACGACTTGGAACAGGCGCGCCTGGATGCGATGAGTGACCTCCTACGTCAATACATCCTGCCCCTGATCACAGAGCGCGTAGAGGAATCTGCGGCGCTCCTGGATGTATTCTTGGGACATCCGACCCCACCGTCCTTGTTGCAGCTCGTCCGCTATGGACTGCCGGTCCGCTGCAGCAGCTACGAGGGCTGGCGGGAAGGACGGCGGCACGCCATCTTGGAAGAATGTCGCGACACAGGAGACAAGGGCTCTGCCAACCAGGCTGGAGCATTGGTGTCTTCGTCTGTCCGGCGGGTGGTCAGGAAGGTTATGGGTTATGAGCTGTGGTTGTATCGCAATGCGACAGCCATTTTCGAGACCCACTTGAAGCTGTATGACATCCGAGCTCCCGAGCTGTCTACATCCCAAGAATTCGCTTGCAAGCCGAAAACTCTGCAAGGTTGCTCTAAGAAGGAGGCCAAGTTCATCTCCAGGTGGCAGACTAAGCCAAATGCAGAGCTGACGGCGGAGATCAGTCGACTCAAGGGCAACATGGGCAAGTCTGTTACCAGCGACATCAACGCACTCAAAAAGCTTGCATACCTAGAGAAGCTGCTGGGCGCTGCCGCAAAGCCCAAACAGAGTGCAGAATTGTGAGGTTCATCGCTGCGGCTTCTACCATGCGGCTGTTCTCCTGCTGCGGAATAGTCTTTGCAGACCTCTCGTGCCGGTCTATCTGTTAGATGCCACCTGGTCATGCTGGTTTGGAACTTCGTCGAAACATACGGATCTCGTATCTTTACAGACCCTTGAGGATGTTTGATAGGAGAACGAACGCTGCCCTGCGCCGAGAGGGGAAGCAACGTCGATTGACAGCTATTCCGGCATGCCCGCTGCATTAAGCTGCCGTGCGACTGGGGTTGGACCTCATGTTGCAGGAGGACGACATAGATGACAGGCGACAAGTCACCCGTGCCTTCAAGTAGTTATGAGTCGGGCTGTTCCTTGGCAGCTATCTTAACAACTCCAGGCTCGACTGGAGCCGCGGCATAGACTGCATGCTCCGATGCCCTCAACACTCCGCGTTCTGATTATCCCATGCTGCCGCTTCAACGACACCAGCTGCAGCCTGCACCGCTTTCCTGCCTTCGTGGCTTGCGGTTCGTCTGGAAAACACGTGAAAAAAGCGTCTGGCACAAGCTGCGAGAAGATGCCAGGGTCAACACCAAACGACAAAGTTTACCTGCCGGCCCTAAACCTGTAACTGCGCCCCGGCTCCTGTTTCTCGGCCGGCTGCGGGGCTATGAGCTGCAAGGCTCCATGCACTGGCGTCGTGCGAGAGTCAAACGCCGCAGGCCGAAGTCGCTTCGCTCACCGGGGAGCTCGAGAAGGCACAGTCTGAGGCGGGGTGACCGATTGTCAGGGTGGAATGGAGGTGTAAGTACTTTACTACTAGTACAACAACAACTACTACTACTACTACTACTACTACTACTACTACTACTACTACTACCACTGCTCCTGCTCCTGCTCCTGCTCCTGCTCCTGCTCCTGCTCCTGCTGCTGCTGCTCCTGCTGCTGCTCTTGCTGCTGCTCCTCCTCCTGCTGCTGCTGCTGCTGCTGCTATTACTACAACTGCCACTGCGACGGCTACTACCGCTGCTGCTGCTGCTACTATCACTGCTACTAAAATTGTGAATAGCTGTGCATAGTATATCATTGGCGAATTGCGTGTGTTACTGAGCACTTGTTGCAGAATCAGGAAACCCTAACTAGCCGGGCCGCTAGCCAGCAACAGAGGAGAGAAGTCAGAGGGCTAAACGGATACACAATTCGACTCTTTGGAGCTATTTGGAGCTGACACCGATACACAACCCCAGAGCCCTGACACTAACATGTAACATCTGCCGTAAGGTTTCACGAAAGTGATGATAGCGGCAATGGCCAGGCAGAGTCTCTGACTGAGCAAGTGAACAACCTGCTCCAGTCCAGCAGCGGAGACAAGTCGAAGCCGGGACCTTGAATGAAGGACGATGCATCATGAACACAAGTTCGAACAGCACCCGCCAGAAACGTGCTAGGAGACCCTCCAAGACAAACCTCTCCATGTATGCGTGTCAAGTATACGTTCCGGCTGCCAGATTCTTGCTAGTGTCTTTTGCATGTGCGACGTTTCGATAGCCAGTCTATTTGCTGGATTGACTCGCGCACACTATCGCACCCGGCTTCGTTGAATTTTGGAAGGACAGGGGTTGTCGCCTTTCATGCACCGAAAAGCTTACTCAGCGTCAAGATTTGAGAGGGGCACTTTGGACAAGGCCCTGGAACTGTTGGTGCAAGTAGGGACAGCTCAGTCGTTGTGAGTTGAAGCCCCACATCACGCCGAGGGCCGAGACACTGCAGAAGAGTGTGGAGGCTCCAGACTCGGGCCAAGCCTTCTACAGTACGGGAAAGACTCCCGCACCGGCCTCCCCTCCAGTGCAGCGAAGCTTCTGTTTCGGATGTGCATGCAAAGTCTATCCGCTGACATGGTCGGAATGAGACCCCAGCTGAGAGGACTCTTGCAGCGTCTGGAGGGGTTTGTGATGGTGTTAGAGCTTTCAGAGTCGCTCTGAAGGGTTAATTTATAAGGCAGCTAAGCAGCTAAGCCATGCCCCGCAAGCAGTGGCTGCGTAATTTTGGCAGGCAGCAAGCCACCGTAGTAGATCCTGCCTCGACACGAACTATGTGGCTGTCGCAAGGCAAACAACAAGGAGCTGGACGCCACCCGAGGCTCCGGGCTGCAGTGTAGCGAAGAGCGTGTTGGCGACTCTAAGACTGAAGGGGTCAAGCTGGAGCTTGCAGAAACCAAGCCGTGCTGGCAGGACTGCTTGTCACTCGTCAGCTGGAGGTGGAAGCGCCTAGCCCCCGGGATACAGGAATGCTGTTGTGCCGATTCCCTCAGTCCACGTGTGCTTGTGAGTGTAGTGTCGTGTCGGGTGCAGATTCGGGTTGAGGGCCGGGGTCTTGAGATGGTGTTTGCAAGCTGACCGGGCCGCAAACGCCCACTTCGTGACCTGCTGCCTCCACTCCAGTCGTCGAAACCAGCCATGCGGGCGTCAAACCTCCACGGAAGGAGCAAAGCCACGTACTTGGAGAACCATCCACGGTGCATGTATCCGTAGCTTTCGCAAGTCTCAATAGATACTTAAAGTCTTTACAGTGTTTACAGTAAGGCAGTGTCAGGCATGACGGCAGTGGGATCTCATTCGGTGCGAGCTTTAGTTGCAAGCAGTGCAGCATGCGTATGATGGATGGAACCTAGACCCCAGACCCTTCGGAACGATCTCGCCTGGCCGGTGCCCCGCTGCGCATGCTGAAGCCAGACACTGTCGCTTGCAGCTATGGCTCATGCAGCTGCAGGAAGCTTTGAGGCCTGTTTGGAACACGAAGCCTGTACATATGATGACACTCGCACAAGCCACAAGCGCATATGCATGTTTGTTTTTGCGATATGCATGTACTGGCCCCTTACATGGACCAATCTTGCATTCAAGTTTGCTAACGTGGTTCTAGTTCCAGGAGCTGGGCGTTTTGGAAGTCCCAAAATCAGACAAGTCGCTGTTTCAACATTTGGCATGGTTTTGATGCCCCCGATATGAGCCGTGGAATCCCCTAGACTTAAAGTGAAGAGGCAAACAGCAGATTCGGTGCTGAAGGGTGGGATAGCACTCACATTAGTGGGAATGTGCAGACCTCCGAAGATGCATAGTATAAGGAGGTGCTAGAAGAACCGGTAATGGCAGTCGCAGTGCGCCTGTCCCGAGCAGGCAAGACGAGCATGAGCCAGTCCTTGGCAGCCCTGGCAGCCCTCGAGTCGTTGCTTGGGCTCACTTCTGTGCTCTCTCGGGCGCGCACAGCAAAGCGTAAGAGGACCGGGCTCCTTGCAAAGGGAGCATCGCGTTTGAGGCTGCCGCAGCCTCATCTTCGAGTGCTTTGTGGAACCACCAGTCATGGCGTCAACGCAGATGGCCGTGACTGCATGAGTCTCGGCTCTATGAGAGCGATAGAGGCAAGCATGCAGCAGTTCGCAGACTGTTGTCATGACAGACACGGAGGCTACAGGCGAATCCGGGCGATCAGACAAGCCTCTCTGCCGACCCTTGCTTGCAGAAGGTGACATGGCAGAAGCCTGAGACAGATTGGATGTCTCTGGTCTCTCTGCCTCACTCTCTCTCTCGCTCTCGCCGTCTCTGTGTTCGTGCACATACAAGGAGCCCCCGCAGTGGACGTTCGTGGTCACACCGGCACTTGAAGCTTTGCTGCGCCGCTCAGATGTAGAACGCATGTGTGACAGATGCCTTAGGTACACGGGCTTGAGATTTCGCAGCTTTGGGGTCTAGGGCGTGTGGTGCTTGGACTTACAAAGGATGAGATGAAGATGATGCTGCATCGAGCAGGTAGGTCTGGGTTGCCTCCTAGTGAAGGACTCAACGCGAGGACTCCGGCTCTGCGATTTGATATTGACCATCGTAAGACCATGTAAGACCATGTGACGATTTAAGGACAAGAGCCTCAGTGGCGCCTATATCTCCGTGCCCAGTCCCTGGCAGGCACGGGAGTCTACGGCCTGAAATCACTGGCGACTGCCAGGTGCGACAGCACCGCGAGTCTAGAATGGACGCCCGAGCTGCCAAGGTGCTGACTCGGGTACCTCGCTGCGTGTGGTTCGAAATGAAGATCTGGCAGGTGTCCTGGCTGATGTTGTTCACGGTCTCCTCTTCATGCATAAGGTTATCACATGACGTCCTTAATGACATGAGCGGTAGCCCTTGTCTGCTTGAAGCTTGCAGGTCTTCGGATGAGCACAACCTCCATTACCGTGGCTGCCATTTTGGAGGCCCGCAAGAAATAAGCCCACCACGGTGTGTCAGCTTCAGCAGGTGGCAACGGGCCGAAGATGAGATTACCTTGCTAGTTATTGCAGATAGAAGATCGTCAGATATTCACGTCGTTTCATAGTCATAGTTCCTATGATGGCTAACTCTAAGAAGTGAAGACTTTGGTAGAGGAGCGTGCTCAGAGCAGGCATCTCCCATCCAGCAACCATGGTACATTGGGGCCCGCTCCCACCTACCCTGCGCTGAGATGGTGGCAGACGCGGCCTCGGCCTTTCAGGGATTCACGAAATTTCTTGGGAGGTCCGCGACATGGTTTTGGGCTTTGTTGGAGCTGCCTTGTCTTGAGGAAAGTGCCGGGATCCGCGGTCGAGGGCTGCTGGTGCCTTGGCAGACCGTTCTCGTTTCTTGGCAGAGCAGGAGCGGAGGAGACGGCCCTTGGAAAACATCCAAGGAGGTGCCCAGTGCAGGCAAGGCTGCGACCTCTCCCTTCGGCCTTTTCTGCGATGGCTGGTGGGAGGCTATGGGTCAGTGGGATCACTTCCTACAGCTCAGACTTCAACAGTGTGCTGCATCCGGCAAAGGCTGTCCTGCAGGATCCGCGACCCAAATCTGACGAGGCACTTTTCCTGGAGGAGCACAGGGTCAACGGGCGCAGAATGCAAGTCTGTCTGCTTGTCTGTCTCTCTCTGTGTCTGTGTGTGGGGGTGTGTGCGTGTGTGCGTGTGTCTGTCTGTCTGTCTGTCTGTCTGTCGGTGTGTGGGTGTGTCTCTCTTTGTG